TTAAGATGATAAGAAATTAGTGCAGGGATAGACAAACTGACCAGTGGAATTGACAGCCCAGAAACACACTCACATATGTGCATAAATGGAGCTCTGGTACAGGACAGAGGTAGCTTTTCATGCTAGTAAGGAGAGGACCTCTTCAATGAATGGTGCTGGAAACAACAGGAATCCACAGAGAAAAGAATGAAGTCAGATCTCTACCTCACACCATACACTCAAATCAACCAAAGATAAAGAACAAAGTCAGATCTCTACCTCACACCATACACTCAAATCAACCAAAGATAAAGAATGAAGTTAGATCTCTACCTCACACCATACACTCAAATCAACCAAAGATAAAGAATGAAGTTAGATCTCTACCTCACACCATACACTCAAATCAACCAAAGATAAAGAATGAAGTTAGATCTCTACCTCACACCATACACTCAAATCAACCAAAGATAAAGAATGAAGTTAGATCTCTACCTCACACCATACACTCAAATCAACCAAAGATAAAGAATGAAGTTAGATCTCTACCTCACACCATACACTCAAATCAACCAAAGATAAAGACTTGGCCCACAAAATCAAAAACTTAAAACTCTTAGTAGAAATAATAGATGGCTATCTTTTGGATATTTTGGTGGAAAGATTCATTAACCAAGACCAAAAAGCATTCTTATACAATATGTATAAATGTGACTACCTTTTAATGCATGCTCTATTTATAGAATGGTATGTTAAATTAAACACAAGTTAAGCTGCACATAGACTTTACCTGTAATTCACCCAACTGACAAAAGTTTTGTATGAAGAATATATAGAAATTCATATAAATCAACAAGAAAAGCACAAAGAGTCCAGTGGATAAATGGACTAGGAACATGAGCAAGTGCTTCATGGAAAAGGAAACTCATGTGGCTCACATGTGTTCAGCTCCATTCACAGTGAGGGAAATACTGAAATAGGCCAGAACAAGCTGCCAGTTCACACTACCTGAGAGTCAACTCCAAGTGTTGGCGAGGACACGAAGGGATAGGACTTCTTATACCTTGCAGTGAGAGTGTAACATGTGCAGCACCTTTAGAAAACAGTGGCCTTGTCTCTGTGAGCTGGACATTGGTATACCTAGCAATTGCACCCCTAGGAATAGCCCCAGGAGAAATGCTTGCACCTGTATAACAGGAGGTCTGTCAAGATTGGGCAGCACAGCTGTGGAGCAACAAATGGGAAACCGTCTCAATGCACAACCATGGCAGAGCGGGTAATTAAGTGTGGCGTGGTGTGGAACAGCCACAGAAGCAAACGCAAACAGACTACAGCAACGCACGGTAGGGACAGACCTTTGCAATTTAGTATTAAGCAAAGAAGATGATTCCCCAAAGATTCCAGATATTACATATACACAATGATCTTTCTGTAAAAAAGAAAAACTAACCAATGTATTGCGTGTATGGACTTTTTAGGAATACACATCTGTATCTACATAGATATCTAAGGAACAAAATTTAAAAGAAAGCTAAAGAGTAAAGAGCATGAGCAGGTGCAAGGACTTGGGCCGGGGCCGCAAGCAGACAAAGGCCACCTCAGACTCTGCTTTTGTTCTTGGTACTTCTTTCATCATTGTAAATAAACCACACATGGAGTCAATGGAGAAAGCAGGTCACTCACAGATCAATGACGAATCCGTGCTCCCAATCCAGGACTGGGGATTCGTGTGATTCTGGGCACCTGAGGCCCAAGCTCAGGGAAACAGGCAACCACCATTCACTGAGCATCCCTGAGCCAGACCCGGGCGGTGGCATTCGCAGCTCCAGGAGCACATACGACCTTCCCGGGAAGAGATGTTAATGGCCCCCGCTTCCTTATGCGGAATAGGGGCTCAGGTCTAAAAGCCTACTTGAGTTTATAGAACCAGCAGCATCTCCACGCTAGCCCAGAACCCAGGTCTGACTGGCCCCCAAGTCTAAATGCAAGTTATGCTGCCAGGTAGTTTCTAATCACTCTGCTAAGAGCTGCGGGCTTTGGATTCCTGTGAAGAGTGAGAGAGGTAGGCCTGGGAGGCCTCTGGGACATATCAGAGCAGCAGATCAGACACAGGTCCTGGATGGAGCCTCACAGGCTTGGTCTGGGGTGCAGGCCAGTCCCCATCAGACTCTCAGTGACTGTGGCCACTGGGGTCAAGGGCCGGGGTGTGACCTTCCATGGCCAGAATGGGGCTCTCCCAAGTGGAGCAAAAGATAAAGCCTAGATCTTCGGGTCTTTCTGAATCTCTGGTGCCACAGAAGGAAAACTGGGCACTGCTGCCCAATGGGGACAGGAGGGGGTCAAGCTGTGCAGCCCCTCCTCTTGCTGCGCAGCCTTTTGGGAGGGAACACCCAGGATACCTGCCAGGACCTGCACCCTTCGCCTTATGCCCTTTGCTGGGTGTACGTGTGCTCAGCTCTTGGTGCAGAGACACAGTTCTATGGTAGCCGCACCTTCCCTCCTCTCCTCTCCGAGCTCCTCTCTGCCTGAGCTGCCCTCCGGGTGTGGGTCCAGACCTGACCACACGTCTGTGCTGTGTCCTCAGTGCTCCCGGCTGAGCCTCACCTGCAGGCCCCCTCACTCAGTTCCCCTTGGACGTCTGCATGTGTCCCCAACACACTCACATGCTCCATGTTTTACCATCAGTTACATACACACACACGCGCGCGCACACACACACACGTACACACACGCACACACACACACACACGCATGCACACACACCATCTTTAATCCCCACCTGTCTCCTACATGCAGTTTTCCCAACATTTTCTTAAATTTCAAACATAAACAAGACCGGAAGGGGCTTTACAGAGAAAAAACCAAACCCTAAATCCAGCACCTGCATGCTGCCAGGGCTACTGTTTGTCCCCCGCCCCATCGCAGGACTCTCCCCCGCCCCGTCACAGGACTGTCCCCCCCCGACGCAGGGCTGTCCACCGCCCCATCGCAGGACTCTCCCCCGCCCTGTCACAGGACTGTCCCCCGCCCCGTCACAGGACTGTCTCCTGCCCCGACGCAGGGCTCTCCCCGCTCCCGACGCAGGGCTATCCCCCGCCCTGTCACAGGACTGTCCCCCCCCGACGCAGGGCTGTCCCCCGCCCTGTCACAGGACTGTCCCCCCCCGACGCAGGGCTGTCCACCGCCCCATCGCAGGACTCTCCCCCGCCCCGTCACAGGACTGTCCCCTGCCCGGTCGCAGGACTCTCCCCCGCCCTGTCACAGGACTGTCCCCCCTGCCCCCCGAGGCAGGGCTGTCCCCCGCCCCATCGCAGGACTTTCCCCCGCCCCATCGCAGGACTCTCCCCCGCCCCGTCACAGGACTGTCCCCCCCCGACGCAGGGCTGTCCACCGCCCCATCGCAGGACTCTCCCCTGCCCCGTCACAGGACTGTCCCCCCCCGACGCAGGGCTGTCCACCGCCCCATCGCAGGACTCTCCCCCGCCCCGTCACAGGACTGTCCCCCCCCGACGCAGGGCTGTCCACCGCCCCATCGCAGGACTCTCCCCTGCCCCATCACAGGACTGTCACCCCATTGCTCTGCAGTCGGCTGCTTTGCAGACATCCACACACCTCACCGAAACACACACAGCACTTCTGCCACAGCAGACCTGATTTTGCATTGTGTCTGCTTCTGTCTCTCTCTTACACACACACACACACACACGCTTCACAGTTGGAAATATTTTCAGTCCCTGATGTTTTCTTGTACCACACCCACCTTTGTTGCTGGTGGCACGAAAGGACCCTTCAGGACCCTTCCCGTAGACGCAGTGTCTGTGTCCCCCAGATTCACATGCTCCAGTCCTCACCCCAGGGTGGCATGTCCTAAAGCAGAGCCTTTGGTGTCAGCTCCTGACCGTGGGGTCCTGATGGCAGGATTTGTGACTGCCTCTATGAGAACAGGCACACGAGTCTGATCTCACTCTCAACGCCGTGCCCTGTGAGGACAACCAGAGGAGGCTGTCCGGGAACCAGGAAGTGGCCCTCACCAGATACCGAGTCTGCCGGCACCTTGACCTTGGACCTCCCAGGCTCTGGAATGGTGAGAAATAAATACCTGTGGCCTAAGTCCTAGAGTTGAGGGGTTTTTTTTTTTGTCTGTAAAGCCCTTTCCAGTCTTGTTTATGTTTGAAATTTTAATAAAATGTTGGGAAAATTGTGCACATAGGAGACAGGTGGGGATTAAAGATGGTGTGTGTGTGTGTGTGTGTGTGTGTGTAAGTGATGGTCAAAGACGGGCCTAAGCGTGTGGTATTTCTGTTGAAGAAGGCTGAACAGACTGAAACACCTATGCGTACTCACAATTAGTCAAATAAGCAACTGGGAACACCTTGTAACCCCACTGTGCAGGAACACTGGTGCTCCCTGCAGGGAAGAGGCCAGCGGCTTCTGGCATACCCCGGGCGACCAGGTCCTTTCCAGATACCAACAGCGGCAGGGCTCAGGCTCAAGCCCTGGGAGGGAGACAGGAGCTCCTCCTGACCCTCTCTGCTGGAAGCGCAGGAGAAAGGAAAGACACGTGCCAGCAAAGCGGGGTCTTGCTTTGGGGAGGAGCTCACAACAGGCCACTGAGGGCCGCAGAGTGCTGGACAAGCACCATTACCGTGTCAGTAGGAGCCCGGGAACGCAGCTCCTGGGAGGCCGTGTGAGTGCTCAGAGGTGTATTCCACAGCAGACACCACCTGGCATGCCACGCACACGGAAAGTACTCTGGATGCTGCTGGCGGGACCAACAAGACGGAAATAAATGTGTAGAAACAGATCTGAGTCCAGTGCTCATGGGAAGCACTAGAAAAGGGGGGCTTTGCATTAGATGGGGAAGGGTGTATTATTTCATAAATGAGGCAGTGACCGTTAGTTAAGCCTTCAAGATAAAGTAATGTTAGCTCTCTCCTTGTATGCAAAAGTATGTTCAAGATGGCTTGAAAATCAAAATATAAGGAAAACCGAAAGAGAAAAATTATGAAAACATCAACAAAGAGTTTTGATGATTTTTTTATAACCCTGGAGTGAAAAGACTTTTTAAAGCAAGACAGGGACATTTGACAACTTTGACTTCAGAAAAATGTATGACCTTCACATTGCAAAAGACATGATAAACACACACTTTTAAAAGACAGACTGAAAGAAGTGTTTGAAACACACAGATCAGAGAATCCTTATCCCCAATGTGCAAAGACCGCTTAATATTGATAATCAAACACCACCATTTAAAAGTGCACAAAATCTGAAAAGCCAATTCACACAAGAAGAACTGTGAAATGGTAAAAAAAAAAAAAAATGGCATTATGTCCAGTCTCATCAGTAATAAGGAAAATGCACATTGAAACAATTAATGTGTTATGTGGACAAAACTAAAAATAGCCTGTTAATATCTGGTGCTGAAAAGAGTGAGGAAACTGAAGGAAACTTTCACTGTTCCAAGCTTTTGGTAAAGTAAGCAAAAAGAAACTACGAAGAATTAAAACGCAAATGCCCTTTGCCTTTCAAGCGTTGTACAGAAGCAGAACAATGTTGTCAGTACCTGACTGCACAGGCACAAAGGCGCTTTTTGCCACGTTGTTTGCAAACCTAAAGTTGGTCGTAAACTGAATATCCCTTGCTGAACAATGGCTGACTAAGCCACGGTACATGCACATCATGGAAGAGGGTGAAGCTCCCGACGAGAGGAAAGCACATCTGCATGAAGCGTCAGGACCCCTGCCGTCCTGTGGAAGAAGCCAGAAAGGAGGCTGCAGAATAGTTCACGTGGTGCACGTTAACCTCTCTGTGTGAGTGAATGTAATTGTGTATGCTGTATTCACCCTCTGTTATTAAAATGGCATTTGGAGGTGGTACTCAGAAAGGGGGCTGCAGAATATTTTTAACTTATGTACTATTGTATTCAAACTGACACAAGCAGCATGTGACAAGGTTGTAGGTTCTAAGCATAAGTTAGGTATCAAATTCTCCCCCATCTAAACACAGCCAGACACGGTGGCTCACAGGTGTAGTCTCAGCACTTCAGGAGGCTGAGGCAGGCAAATTACTTGAGCCTAAGAGCTCGAGACCAGCCTGGGCAACACGGTGAAACCACAGCATGGTGGCATGAGCCTGTGGTCCCAGCTACTTGGGAGGCTGAGGCGGGAGGATTGCTAGAATCCAAGTGGCAAAGGCTGTAGTGGGCCGAGATCATGCCACTGCACTGCAGCCTGGATGACAGAGTAAGATTCTGTCTCAAGAAATAAAAAAAATAAATAAATGCTGCTCCCCGATCCAGGGCAGCTGGGTTGGGAGGATGAAGCCAACTGGGAGCACTGATCTGTGAGGGGGAGACCTGGGAGCCATGTGGTGCCCTCAGCAGTCTGGGGTCCCAGGGGCCTCCAGAGGAACCCCAGGCAGCTCTGAGTCATAGGGTGTGGGTGCTTCTTCTCTCCAGCACGAGGAGCCTCCCTCACACACCCTCTTCAAATAATGTTTGCTCTGTCTCTGGGCTTATGTCCACTGGGACCTGCCCGGTTTGGTTGTCTAGTCGCCCTCAGCAGCATGACCTACTGGGATGGTGGCAGAGACCCCAGAGGTCCTGAGCCAGGACAGCTGCAGCTGCTGGGCACCCAGAGTGGAGGACAGGGCCATTCCATGCAGGCTGGGGCAGGTGCTTCCCCTGTGGGACCATCGGGGACTCCCTGAAGTGATGGGGGAAGTATGGCAGGCTGGGTGGGACCAGGACGTGATGGAGGGCAGGAGGGAGGCTGTGCCAGTGTGAGAGAGTGTGTGCATGCGTGTGTGACTATGCGTGTGACTCTGTGAGACAGTGTGTGTACATATGTGTGGTGGGCGTCCCTGTGTCTGCGCACCTGGGGTGGTTTGAGTCAAGGACTTACTTTTCCATTTCGTTTTATTTGAGATTGTATTAAATGGTTCTAGATGAAACTTACTGCAGAGGGTAGGAATGCAACATCCCTGAAACCCTGGGAAGTGTTGTACAAAGTTGCTTTGTAAAATGTAGAGTTAATATGTGTTCATGTTATGGAAAGAAAAACGAAAGGGTAAACAAGGAGTAAACAACCGACTCACCGTCATGCGTGAGTAGGTTTCCTGTCACTCCACCTTCTGTGAGAAGCGCATCCTGTACTTGAGGTTCTCTGGAAAGAGTACGTCCTTGTTACGCTGCACACAACTTTATTTCATTGTGGAACAGGGAACCCTTAAAAATGTGTGCTTAAAACTGGGTCAGGCAGCTTTCGTAGTTTGGAGGGGAGAGAAGTCACAGGCAGTTGAGCTGGATTTGTGCAGTGTTGGGGCAGACCTGGCATCAGGGACAATTTACAGGTGAAATGATAAGACCTGACTCTCGACAAAACACTATGAGAAACATTAAAAACCATTCAGACTCACACAGTGCACGTGTTGAAAGGAAGTCTTAGAAAATAACTATGCTTGGCCTTATTTTTGCTCGTGAATTCAGATGCTAGTTATGAAGAATTCTATAACGTTTCCAAGTAAAATAAGTGCGATGAGCTACATGAATACCTACAAACGTTAAGTGAAACCTTTTTATTTTCCATTATGTCATCGGTTTATGTGAACATGTTAAATAGATGACATATTTCCTTAAGTAATTTAAGACACGTGTACAACTATGTGACAGACAGAACATTCCCAGGAAGCTCACAAACGTACCCACATGAAGACGGACTCAGGGCACCCTCTGCTCCTGTGGGGAAATGAAGCAAAATTCATAGGATGAAAAACGACACTGTCGACATTAAACTTAAAATTCAAGCTCGTTGCTAGTCAGTTCTGGGTAACGCTCCTTCAAGGATGGCTGGATCTCAAGATAGGATTTAAGTGATGGCACAGCCCCCTTCCTCCCCATGCTTGTATTACGGGCTGAACTGTGTCCTCCAAATTCATAGGCCGACATCCCAACACCCAGCATCTTAGAGTGTGTTGTGTGTGGAGACAGGGTCTTCAACGAGGTAACGGACACATCTCTACTCCCATCTGCCTCCTACACACAGTCCTTCCTCAGCATTTATTTTTAAAATATGGCACATTGATTCTGCCACAGCTAACAATTTCTCTCCATCCTTTATCACAGAACTGTCCCAAGCTGCGTGTTCTGGGTCCTTTAGAGCCTGCCCTGGGCTCTGTGTTACCACAGCCTGATCAGCGCACTCCAGTGCTAGGGGCTCCCGCTTTGGCACCTGTCTGTCTCTCTCACGCTCAGCTGGGAAGCGTTCCTGCCTCTCACTGGATCTCTCTTCTGTGCTCCACCCACCATCATTCCCATGTGGGTAGCACCCTTGGACACAGAGTGCCTCCATTCTGAATGCTGCCCTAACCTCAGCCTGGGGGGACCTCAGACCACACATTCTGCACAGGGCTCTGTCCTCGGGGACCAGTGCCCGGCGGCCATAACTTACCTGTGCCAACGAGACCCTGTCCGGGGTTACGGGAATGGAGACGGGGCACAGGCAGTTGGGCATCAGCAGGGACTTGTTGGCCTCGACTCTGGTGGGACGGGCAGGAGGAGAAAAACCCATCTCAGCTTTGTGGGGGGGCTCAGGACAGTGCTGGGGGCTGCAGTGTGTCCTGTAAACACCACTGCTGTGGGGCCATGTGTCTCAGAACCTGGAGACCAGCAGCTCCTAGGAGGTTGTGTGAGTGCTCCCGGGTTACTGTGCAGTGGGAAAGGGAAGGAGCTTCTCGTATAAAGGACCATGACTCCCTCCCACTGGGACACTGTAAAGCAGGGCCTCCTCCCACCGTGTGGGCCCCACCCCAGACCAGTGCCTCAGCCAGGTTCTGACGGGTGATGGCAGATAGGAAACAGGTCTGATGAGCACCTCCCACTAGGACAGAGGACAGCAGGTGGAGACTCACAGCGCGGACTTTCACTCTGGGAACCACATTACGGGAGTGTACCAGGAAAACCAAAAACATTCACAGAGCCTTTGGAAGAAGCTGCAGGCCGCTGTGAATTCCACAGGATGGGCGACTACTCTGCTGCTCTCTTAGAAGTGCCACTTCCTGGCTTGAGGCCACCCAGCTCAGGACATGACAGCAACTCATGACAGAACCACCCTGCTCCTGGGAAGGAGAAAACAAGAGCTAATTCCTCTGCAACAACCAGAATAACCAGAGGTCCCGAGTCTGCCCATGTGACAACTTCACTGCTAGAATCACCAGCGTCTGAGAAAGTCAGCACAGTAAACCCAACCACAGCCCAGGACCCCCACAGAGTCCACTTCACTCCCCTGCCACCTCCGCTGAAGCAGCTGCTGGCACCCACAGCTGGGAGACCTGAAGGCAGATCACATCATAGGACTCTGTGCAGACATCCCCAGCACCAGCCTGGAAGCCCTGATGGGTGGAGAGACCCAGAAGAACAATAACAATCGTTGCAGTCTCATTTGCAAGAAGCCCCATCCCTAGGGTAAGGGGGAGCGCCCCAGTCAAGGGACCACCCCATGGGCAAAAGAATCTGACCAGCAGCCCTTAAGTTCCAGCCCTTCCCACTGAAATAATCTACATGAATGAGAAGGAATTAGAAAATTAATCATTCTACCCTCAGAAGACCACACTGGCTCCCCAGCAATGGAACCAAACCAAGAAGAAAATCTCCGGATTGCCAGATAAAGAATTTGAATTATTCAGCCACTCAAGAGAATACCAGAAAAAGATGAAAACCAACTTAAATCAATAAAGGATATAGCTGAAACTTAATTCAGAAGAATAGAGATTATAAAGAAGAAACAATCACAACTTCTGGAAATGAATGACACACTTAGATAAATAGAAAAATGCACTGAAAAGTTTCAACAGTGGAATCGAACAACAACAAGAAAGAACGTCAGAGCTCAGAAACAGGCCTTTTGAATTAACCCTGTCAAATAAAGAGAAAGAAAAAATAAATTTTAAAAAAAGCCTCCAAGAAAATTGGAATTATGTTAAATGGCCAAACCTAAGAATAATGAGTATCCCTAAGGAAAAGGACAAATCTACAAGTTTGGATCCTCAAGGAAACCTTCCCCGGCCTTGTGAGGGTTCTGGACATCCAAAGGCAAGAAGCTCATTGCAGACAGATCATCACCCAGGCACACAGTCAGCAGGTGACCTACAGTCAAGACAAAGCAAGGAGTCTTCAGAGCTGTGTGAGGCAAAAGCAACGTATAAAGGAAACCCTATCAGATTAGCAGCACATTTCCCAGCAGAAACTCTACAAGCCAGAAGGGATCGGCCTCCTATCTTCAGCCTCCTCAAACAAGTTAACTGACAGCCAAGGATTTTGTATTCAGTAAAACTAAGCTTCATAAATGAAGGAGAGATCATGTCTTTTTCAGACAAACAAATGCTGAGGAAACTAGCCGTTACCAAGCCAGTACTATAAGAAATGCTAAAAGGAGTTCTAAATCTTTTTTTTTTTTTTGAGATGGAGTTACGCTCTTGTTACCCAGGCTGGAGTGCAATGGCGCAATCTCGGCTCACCGCAGCCTCCGCCTCCTGGGTTCAGGCAATTCTCCTGCCTCAGCCTCCTGAGTAGCTGGGATTACAGGCACGCGCCACCATGCCCAGCTAATTTTTGTATTTTTAGTAGAGACGGGGTTTCACCTTGTTGACCAGGATGGTCTCGATCTCTTCACTTCATGATCCACCTGCCTCGGCCTCCCAAAGTGCTGGGATTACTGGCGTGAGCCACCGCGCCTGGCCAGGAGTTCTAAATCTTAAAACAAAACCTCAAAATATACCAAAATAGGACCTTCTTAAAGCTTAAATCTCATGGACTTACAAAACAGTAACACAAAGAAAAAACCAAGGTATTCAAGCAACAACTAGCATGATAAATAAAACAGCAGCTTATGGAGTATAAATGGCCTCAATGCTCCACTTAAAAGATACAGAAAGGCAGAATGGAGAAAAATTCACAACCAAGTGTCTTCTGTCTTCAAGAGACACGTAATGTATAAGGATTGACAGAAACTTATGGTAACGGGTGGAAAAGATACTCCATGAAAACAGAAACAAAAAGCAAAGCAAGCAGGAGCAATTATTCTTGTATCAGACAAAACAGACTTTAAAGCAACAATTAAAAAAGACAAAGAGAAACATTATACAATGATAAAAGCATCACTCCAACAGGAAAATAGCACAATCCTAAACAGATATGCATCTAACATGGAGGATCTAAAATTTATAAAACAATAAGAAACTGGACATAAGAAATAAGATAGATGGCAACCCAGTACTCGTGAGGCACTCAGTACTCCTGACAGGACTGGACCGCTCATCGAGACAGACGGTCAAGAAGCAAACAGTGGACTTAAACTCTACCCTAGGACACATGGACTTGATGGGTATTTACATAACATTCTGCCCAACAGCTGCAGAATCTACATTCTTTTCATCAGTACATGGAACATTCTCTAAGGTACAGCATATGGTAGGCCACAAAACAAGTCTCGATGAATTTAAGAAAATCAAAACTGTATCAGGTATCTTTTCAGATTATAGTGGAATAAAATTGGAACTCCAAAAGGAACCTGCAAAGTTACACAAATACATGGAAATTAAATAATTGCTCCTGAATGATCTTTGGGAGGAAATTTAAAAATTATTTGAACTGAATGAGAACCGTGACACAACGTATCAAAACCTCTAGGACACAGCAGAAGCCATGCTAAGAGAAACGTTCGTAGCATTAAATGCCTACCTCAAAAAGTCCGAAAGGCACAAATAGGCAATCTAAGGTCACACCTCAGGTCACTAGAGAAACAAAAACAAACCAAGCCCACACCTAACAAAAGAAAAGAAATAACAAAGATCAGAGCAGAATTAAATGAAACTGAAACAAACAACACAAAAGATAAATGAAACAAAAAGCTGGTTCTTTGAAAAGATAAAATTGATAGATCATTAGTGAGATTAACCAAGAATAGAAGAGAGAAGATGCAAATAAGCTCACTTAGAAAGGAAATGGGAAATATTACAACTGACACCACAAAAATACAAAATATCATTTAAGGCTACTATGAACAGGTTTATGCACACAAACTAGAAAATCTAGAGGAGACACATATATATCTGGAAACATACAACCCTCGTAGATTAAATCAGGAAGCAACAGAAACTCTTAGCAGATCAATACCAAGTGGTGAGATTAAAACACTAATAGGCTGGGCGCCGTAGCTCATGCCTGTAATCCCAGTACTTTGGGAGGCCAAGGTGGTCAGATCACCTGAGGCCAGATGGGCAAGACCACTCTGGCAACATGGTGAAACCCTGTCTCTACTAAAAATGGAAAAAATTAGCTGGCCATGGTGGCACATGCCTATAATCCCAGCTACTTGGGAGGGTGAGGTGGGAGAAGCGCTTGAACCTGGGAGGCAGAGGTTGCAGTTAACCGAGATCATGCCACTGCACTCCAGCCTGGGCAACAGGGTGAGATTCCATCTGAGAGAGAGAGAGAGAGAGAGAGAGAGAGAGCGCAAAGCAAAGCAAAAAGAGAAACAGTAAATAAAAAGTGAAATGTCCAGGATGAATTCACAGCTGAATTCTATCCAGCATTCAAAGAATTGCTACCAATCATATAGAAACGATTCCAAAATTAAAGAGGGAACTCTCCCTAAATCATTCCATGAAGGCAGTAGCACTCTAATACCAAAACCAGGAAAGGACATAACAAAAACAGAACACTACAGACTGATATCTCCCACAAATATGGTTGCAAAAATCCTCAACAAAATACTAGCTAACTGAATCAACCAGCACAACGGAAAGATAATACATTGTGGTCAAGTGAGTTTCACACCAGGGATGCAGGAATGCTTTAACATATGAAAGTGTGTAAATGTGATACCTGACATAAACAGAATTAGAAACAAAAATCATAGATTATCTCAATAGACGGAAAAAAAAATATTTAACAAAATCCAGCACCCATTTTACAATTAAAACACTCAGTAAAATCAGCATAGAATGTACACGACAAGGTAATAAAAACCCTATAGGACAAACCCATAGCCAACATTATACTGAATGGGGAAAAGTTGAAAGCAATTTCCCCTGAGACCTGGAACAAGACAAGGATGCCCACTTTCACCACTTCTATTCGACATAATACTAGATGCCCTAGCCACAGCAATCAGACAAGAGAAAGGAATAAAGAGCATCCAAGTTGGTGAGCAGGAAGGCATACTGCCTCTTCTCTGATGATAGGATTGTATAACTAGAATACCCTACAGACTGAATGAAAAAGCTCCTAGATCTAATAAACGAATTCAGTAAGGTATCATGATGCAAAATCGGTGTACACAAATCAGTAACACTGCTATATGCCAACAATGAGCAAGCTGAGGAACAAATGAAGAAGTCAACGCCCGTCCCAACAGCTGCAAAAAACAGAGGCAAACAAACAGAACACTTAGGAACATACCTTACCCAGAAGATAAAAGATCTCTACAACGAAACTACAAAATACTGCTCAAAGAAATCATAGACAACACAGATAAATGGAAACACACGCCATGATCATGGATGGGTAGAATCAGTAGCGTGACAATGACCATATTGTCAAATGCAATCTACAAATTCAAGGCAATTTCCATCAAAACGCCATCATCATTCTTCACAGAACTAAAAAAAAAAAATTCTAAAGTTTATATGGAACCAAAAAAGACCCCATATATCCAAGAAAGACTAACCAAATAAAAAATGTGGAGGCATCACACTACCCGACTTCAAACCATACTACAAGGCTACAGTTTCCAAAACAGCATGATACCGATATAAAAATAGGCATGTAGACCAACGGAACAGAATAGAGAACCCATAAATAAAGCCAAATACTTAGAGCCAACTGAGCTTCAACAAAGCAAACAAAATCATCAAGTGGGGAATGGACACCTTATTCAACCAACGGTGCTGGGATGATTTGCAAGCCACATGTAGAGGAATCGAGCTGTATCTTCATCTCTCACCTTATACAAATATCAACTCAAGATGGATCAAAGACTTAAGTCTAAGACCTGAAACCATAAACAATCTACAAGATAACATCAGAAAAACTCTTCTAGATGTTGGCTTAGGCAAAGAGTTCCTGACCAAGAATCCAAAAGCAAATACAACAAAAACAAAGATACATAGATGGGACTAAACTAAAAAGCTTCTGCAAAAGAAACAATCATCAGAGTAAACATAACCCACAGAAAGGGAGAAAATACAATCTATAAATCTAACGAAGGACTAATATACAGAATCTAAAAGGAACTCAAATCAGCAAGAATAAAACATACAGTCAGGTGTGGTGGCTCATGACTATAATCCCAGTACTTTGGGAGGCTAAGGCAGGTGGGTCACTTTATGTTAAGAGTTCGAGACCAATGCCCATCGATGATAGACTGGACAGGAAAAATGTGGCACATATACACCATGGAATATTATGCAGCCATAAAAAATGATGAGTTCATGTCCTTTGTAGGGACATGGATGAACCTGGAGACCATCATTCTCAGCAAACTGACACAAGAACAGAAAATGAAATACTGCATGTTCTCACTCATAGGCGGCTGTTGAATAATGAGAACACATGGGCACAGGGAGGGGAGTACTACACACTGGGGTCTGTTGGGGGGAATAGGGGAGGGACAGCCACGGGGTAGGGAGTTGGGGAGAGATAACATGGGGAGAAATGCCAGATATAGGTGAAGGGGAGGAAGGCAGCAAATCACACTGCCACGTGTGTACCTATGCAACTATCTTACATGTTCTTCACATGTACCCCAAAACCTAAAATGCAATTAAAAAAACAAAGAGTTCGAGACCAGCCTGGCCAACATACTGAAACCCCATCTCTACTAAAAATACAAGAATTAGCCAGGTGTGGTGGTGGGCATCTGTAATCCCAGCTACTCGGGAGGCTGGGGCAGAAGATTCACTTGAACCCACGAGGCCAAGGCTTCAGTGAGCCAAGGTCATGCCGCTGCACTCCAGCCAGGGCAACAGAGTGAGACTGTCTCAAAAACAAACAAAGAAACCAACAAAAAACCCCAGCAAAAACTGGGCAAAGGACATAAATAGAAGATTCTCAAAGAAGATATACAAATGCCTAACAAATACATGAGAAAAGGCTCAATAGCACTAATTATCAGGGAAACGCAAATCACAACCACAATGCAACCTAACTCCTGTGGGAATAAAAACAGAAACAAACAAAAACAGAGGCTGCCACGGATGCGGTGAAAGGGACACTTTTACACCGCTGGTGGGAACGTCACCTAGTGCAACCACTGTGGAAAACAGTATTTAGACTCCATAAAGAACAAAAGGTAGAACTATCATTGGATCCAGCAATCCCACTACTGGGTATCTACCCAGAGGAAAAGAAGTCATCTTTTGAAAAAGAGACTTGCACCCACATGTTTATAGCAGCACAGTGTGCAATTCCAAGACTATGGAACCAGCTTAAATCAACCAGCCTATACATATATCACCTTTTCTCTATCCGCTGATTTGTATGTATGTATACACAATAGAATACTACTCAGCCATAAAAAGGAATGAAATAATGGCACCCACACAACCTGGATGGAGCTGCAGACTATGATTCTAAGTGAGCAACTGAGGAATGGAAATCCAAACATCACACGTTCTCACTTATTAGTGGGAGCTAGGCTACGAGGATGCAAAGGCATAAGAATGATAGAAGGGGCACTTGCTATTTGGGGGAATGGTGGGAAAAGGGTGACAGTCAACGACTACACAGTGGGTACAGTGTACATGGCTCGGGTGGACGGGGCACCTAAATCTCAGAAATCAACACTAAAGAACTTTTCCATGCAACCAAACACCACTTGTTCCCAAAAACTATTGAAATAATAAAAAGTATGACTATATAAGCAAAGAGTATTAGATGATATTTGTTTACCCTTAGGGTAAAGAAATTTTTCAAAAGACAGTCAAAAGGAAATTATAACAAATTTTGCTTCAGAAAAGCTGACGACGTCTACACTGTGAAAGACGCCATCGGGTCCCTAACATGCAAAGCGCTCTTACATTTGATAATTCAAGTAAGCAACTAATTCATGCAAGAAAAATTGTAAGATGGTCAAAGCATGAAAAAATGTCTTCCTGGTTGTAAAGAAATGAAATGTTACATTTCACTGAAATAAAACCAAATATACTTTTGTATCTCATGCTAAAGACTGGCAGAGTTGAAGGAAGTGTGAACTGACCTGATATTCCGGGAAAGTCATCAGAAATAGTCTGTGGAGATTGAAATGCATGTGCCCATTGACTCTCAGCCTCCAAAATAAAATGACCTACATGGCACAACACTCGCTCAAATATGATATAGGAGTTCTTGAAACCATGTTTAAGAAGCCAACGGGACGAGTATATAACTATGTCACGGAGAGAGAAAACCTTCCCGTGAAGCCCACAAACTTACTCATGTGAAGATGAACTTGAGGAGGCACCATCTGCTTCCTGTGGGGAAGTGAAGCGAAATTCATAGGATGAACAAAGACATTACTGACATTACATTTCTTCTTAAAGAATATTCAAGTTCATTTCTAGTCAGTTCTCAGCAATGGTACCTCAAGGATGGTTGGATCTCAGGACAGGATCTCAGTGGTGGCACAGCACCCCTTCCTCCCAATCTCATTTAACAGGCTAAACTGTGTCCTCTTCTAAATTCATACATCGACATCCTAATACCCAGTACCTTGGCATGTGACTATACGTGGAGACAGCATCTTGAAAGAGGTAACTGATGTTAGATGAGGCTATTAGGGTGAGCCCTCATCCAGAGTGACTGGTGTCCTCATAAGAAGGGGAGATGACAACAGAGACACAAACAGAGGGAAGACTGTGGGAGGACGCAGAGAGCAGGCGGCCATCTACAAGCCAAGCAGAGAGGCCTCGGGAGACAGCAACCCTGCAGACACCTGCCCTGGGACTTCCAGCCTCCACGATGAGCAAATACATTTCTTGTTTCCACCCCATGTGTGGTTCCTGCTTGTGGAAGCTCTAGCAATGAAAAACAGCTGCTCCATGTGCACATGCTGTTTCAGTGCCCTTGGGAAAGAACCTGGGAGTGGGCGTGCTGGGTCATATGATAAGTGTATGCTCGCATCGGAAGCTTCGTGAAACTGCATCATTCATCTCCATTAGCAAATGGATGAGACTGCCAATTCTCCCACCTCTTCATCAACACTTGGTATTGTTCATCTTTCTTTTTAAGTATTATTATTTCTTTAGAGACAGGGTTTTGCTGTGTTGTCCAGACTGGTCTCAAAGCTCCTGGCCTCTAGGGGTCCTTCTGCCTCATGGGTCACCAGAAGCTCTGAGACATCAGTGGAACCACCATGCCTGGATGGTGGCGTTACTCATTTTTCTTGTGGCCATTCTAAGATGGGCAGAGCAGCACCATATTGTGGTTTAGCTTGTGGTTCCCTGATATCAAATGATGTTGGGCACCATTTTGTGTGCTTTCCTTCTCATCAGTATCGTTGCCTTGGAGAAGACTATGCTCAACTATTTTGCCCATTTAAAAACTGAACTGTTTCCTTATTATTGAGTTTTCATGATTCCTTAAATATTCTGGATATAAGTATATGACTTACAAATATTTTATTTCAATCTGTGGCTAATATTTTCACTCTCTTAATGGTGACAACTGAAGAAATAAAAGCAAATGCTTAAAGTCACATTTATCCTTTTCTTCTGAAATAGTGTCTGTGGTGTCTATAAAAAAATCCCCTAACAGAAAATCTCAAAGATGTTCTCTGATGTTACAGAAATGTTCAAGTTTCCCCTCTTACTACGAGGTCTGTGATGGATTCTGCATTGCTTGCTGAGGAGCTGAGCTGTGTGTGTGAGTGTGGCATGTGGTCATCCTGCTGCTGCAGCACGTTCACTAAAAACGCTTCCATTTCCCCCACTGCCTCGCCACCTTCCATTAGAGCCAAAGACCGGAAATGGAGAGAAGGGCTTGTTTCTGGAGTTTCCAGTTTGTTCCATTCACCAACTCAGGGTGTGTTCCCTGCGCGACGCTGTAGGCAGCTGGGGCCCACTCCGAGGGGAGGCCGTGGACTGCAGGTCTGTGAAGCTCAGCACTGGGCTGTGCCACGGACACGGGTCAGTGACGTTACGCTCATTTTCAGATGGAATTCTCCTCCCCGATGTGAACAGTGAACCAGCAGTGTCATTTCCACAGGATTCCCCTGGAGCCCACGGAGACGCAGGGTTGAGATTCAATGCTGACAGACCTTCTCTGCTTCAGACCGGGCACCATATTGCTTCACACAAGGGTGACTATAAGTCGTCATCCACCCCGAGATGCTGCAGAGAGACCGAGGGGACTCACAGTTGCACCCAGGCAACAGGTGTCAATGCGGACGATCCCAGGCAGAGAAAATCCCATGAGTCCATGTGCCACGTGGAGGGAGGGAACTTTGGTGGCTGAGTCTGGGCTGGGGCTCCATCAGTTCCCACTGAGTGTGTCTCCCTCTTTGGTGGAAGTGCAGACAAGGGGCAAGGCTTGGACGCCAGTGTCACTGTTCCTCCAGGCCGGGGCTGAGCCGTTTTAATTTCCAAGTCTCTGGAGCCCATTCCCTGAAGTCATGGGGAGTACGGTGAGGTGGCACTGCCTGCACAGGGATGGAGAAGTCACCTGTCACCCCCAGAAGCTGAAGATGGCCTCCTGACAAAGCCTGCTCAAAAGGGCGCTCCCCACCCTGTGACCAGGTGTGATGGCTCACACCTATAATCCCAGTGTCATGAGGCCTGAGGGTTGCTTGAGACCAGAAGTTACAACCAGCCTGGGCAACAGAGTGAGACACCTGTTTATTTGTTAATAAAAAAATAAATTAGCTGGGTATGGTGGTACCTGCCTATGCTTTTGGCTACTCTGGAGGCAGAGGTGGGAAGATCACCTGAGCCCAGGAGATGGAGGCTGCCTTGAGCCCTGATCCCACCACTGCAATCCATCCTGGGTGACAGAGTGAGATCCCATCTCTAAAAAATAAATAATGACCCAGCAGAAAGAACTGAAAGCCGACCCTGCGCAGAAACAGAAATAGGTGGCCCTAAAGCCAGCAGCCATGCTGGGCTCTTCCTGTGAAGGACGGACACAAGTCCATGGAATAAACACACACCACTCACATACATATACACATGACCACACCCCACACACGTAACCACACACCACACACAAAACCACACACGTAACCACACACCCGGACACAAGTCCATGGAATAAACACACACCACTCACATACATATACACATAACCACACACCACACACGTAACCACACAGCACACACAAAACCACACACATAACCACACACCACACACAAAACCACACACGTAACCACACACCACACACGTAACCACACACCACACACAAAACCACACACATAACCACACACCCCACACAAAACCACACATGCAACCACACACCACACACAAAATCACATGTGTAACCACACACCCCACACAAAACCACACACATAACCACACACCCCACACAAAACCACACACGTAACCACAAACCACACACAAAACCACACACAAAACCACACATGCAACCACACACTACAGACATGCACATGTGACCACACACCTCTATTCCCACCTGTCTCCTACACACAGTCCTTCCTCAGCATTTATTTTAAAAACAGCACATTGATTCTGCCATGACTAACCACATCCTTTATCAGAGCACTGTCCCCTGCTGCGTGTTCTGGGCCCTTCAGAGCCTGCCCTGGGCTCTGTGTTACCACAGCCTGATCAGCTCACTCCAGTGCTGGGGGCTCCCGCTTTGGCACCCGTCTGTCTCTCTCACCCTCAGCTGGGAAGCATTCCTGCCTCTCACTGGATCTCTCTTCTGTGCTCCACCCACCATCATTCCCATGTGGGTAGCATCCTTGGACACAGAGTGCCTCCATTCTGAATGCTGCCCTAACCTCAACCTGGGGGGACCTCAGACCACACGTTCTGCACAGGGCTCTGTCCTCGGGGCCCAGTGCCTGGCGACCACAACTTACCTGTGCTGATGAGCCCCGTCTGGGTGTACGGGAGTGGAGAGGGGGCACAGGTAGTTGGGCATCAGCAGGGACTTTTTGGCCTTGACCCTGGTGGGACGGGCAGGAGGAAAGAAACTCATCTCAGCTTTGTGAGGGCCTAAGGGTAGCTGGGGGCTGCAGCGTGTCCTATAAGCACCACTGCTGTGAGGCCACATGTCTCAAAACCTGGAGACCAGCAGCTCCCGGGAGGTTGTGTGAGTGCTCCCAGGTTACTGCACAGTGGGAAATGGAAGGAGATTTGCGTGTAAAGGACCATGACTCCCTCCCACTGGGACGCTGTAAAGCAGGGCTTTCTCCCACTGTGCGGGCCCCACCCTAGACCAGTGCCTTAGCCAGCAGGTATAGCCTGGCTCACTGCTACATGGCAGAATGGCGTCTTGGGGCCCACAGCGTTCCACATTTGTGGCAATCTCTCACAGCAGGCAGAGGACCCTAAGACAGGAGCAGGGACGTGGATTGTCCTCACAGGCCCCAGTAATCACCTGAGCCTCAGAAAACAGAAGTGAGAAGGAAGAACCCGGAGAATGAAAGCAGGAGGAGGATACTACGACCCCCTGTGCTTATGGGGGCCTTATGGTGGTGCCTCAGAAAACCGTGATGCCCAGCGCATCCTGAAGGAGCTTGGGACAGATTCTTCCTCAGGAGCCCCAGAGAGCACTCTGGCCCCTGACCGTGGCTGCTGCCCTGCAAGGCCCTAGGCACAGACCCTCTGGGCCAGCCCAGGCCTGAGACCCACGGAGCCGACATGCCTGGATCTGTGGTCATTTGTTGTGGCAGGTGGGAAGCTAACAGCAGCCACTTCGTGGACACGAGCCGATGGGAGCCCCCTGAAGCTGTACAGAAAGCCTGTGGGACCCTGCTGGGTGTCCGTGTTTCCATCCCACCCCCGTGTTTACTGATCCACAGTAGTGCAGAGCAACACAGGCAACGACAGACCGCTCTCGGTGGACTGGCCTGAGAACCACCATTGGAACAGACTGTCCCCTCTTCCCGAAGCTCCCACCTAGCTGTGCCCGGGCCCGAATCCTCGCTCTCCACAGGCATTTGGTGACTGGATTGTTCTGTACTGAAACAATGTCACGGGTGTAGATGACTTTCCCCATTTGGAAGAACTCTGACTGTGATGGGCTAGGTCAGGCTTGCACTGAAGACGAAGGCTGAGAGTCGTCAGGTGTCCATGTGGTCCACTGTTCCAAACGCCCAGGTGGCCCCGCAGGCAGTTCCTGTGGCAGAAGACGGGCACTGGAGTCCTGCTGCCCACCGCGCCTGGGGACTCATGAACTTGCATCGTCCACTATCCCATTCAAACACCCTAACCCTCCCACACAAGGCCAGCTCGGCAGTCTTTTGGAAAAGCACAGGATGACTGAAAGTCAAACGCACGATTCCAGAAATAGGGACTATCACAGATCCCAAAGCTGCGGTGATTTATACCCACACAAGCCACTCTTTCTTCCTTTATCAGAACAGTGTTCACAGTATTTGAAGTTGAAAAAGCAGGCTCGGAAACAGTTGTACAAGGTGCCTGTGGTCGGATAAATCAGCACATTATGCACGTCAAGCACAGAAGAAACATTCCAAAGGACAACCTGAAAGAGGCCAGTCCAGATGCCCACAGTAGCTGCTGGTGGGTCAGGGACCCTGTGTGACTTTCACTTTTACCTGGGAATCTTTGCAATTCCCCAATTTCCTATAATACACACGATGATCTGGCAATCACTAAAATTTTTTTCATTTTGTTTTGGTTTTAGAGTGGAAGTTTACAATTCTGGTCACACTTAGGTTTCTATTAATCTTGCCCAAAATGCATAACAGAGAAAGCATTTTTATATTTTACTTAAAGGACCATGGTTCCGTGATCATACAAAGTGAAATTCAAATGCTTTGCTGCCTCTCTGTGGGGGCTGGATGCGGGCCCCTCCCAAGGGCAGGCCTGTCGCTGATGTAACTCCAGTTCGAATTCCACGTTTCTTGGAACTAGACAAAGTGATTTTAGAGCTCATATTTGAAAATAGATGTGGGGCCAAGCGCGGTGGCTCATGCCTGTAATCCCAGCACTTTGGGAGGCCGAGGCTGGTGGATCACAAGGTCAAGAGATCGAGACCATGCTGGTTAACATGGTGAAACCCCATCTCTACTAAAAATATAAAAAATTTGCTGGGCACGGTGATGCGTGCCTGTAATCCCAGCTACTCAGGAGGCTGAGGCAGGAGAATTGCCTGAACCCGGGAGGCAGAGGTTGCGGTGAGCCGAGATCACGCCATTGCACTCCAGCCTGGGTAATGAGAGCAAAACTCCATCTCAAAAAAAAAAAAAAGAAAAGAAATGTGTAAGAACTATCTAAAGTAAATAGAAAAAATCTTTAGACAGAGGTTTGCCTGCCAGATACTAAAATATGGTAGCTAAATGAGGCCCTGTAATTTAAAGAGGTGGTGCAGCCCCAGGACACAGACCCACGAGACAGACATGAGCCCCCAGACAGACCTGGGCCTGTGCTTACGGGAACACAGAGAACCAGAAAAGGCCTTTAGACTTGAGGGCTGAAAAACCAAGCGTTACTTTGTTGGGATGAAATGACCTTCACTCCTCTGTCACCAAATACAAAGATCAATGCCCTCTGGCCCGAAAAGTCAAAAGGTAAAGGTACAAATAAAAAATATGACTATATTAACAGAGTATTGGAGGATATTTGTATAACCTTGGAATAAAGAAGCCTTTTTAAAGCAAGACGAAAGGAAATTGTAACACATCTGGCTTCAGAGAAGTCTACAGCATCTACACTGTGAAAGATACCGCAGGATTCCGAAAGCACCAAGAGCCGTTATGTTTGCTGGTCCAGTAACCCAGCTGCTGACCGCTAATTCACACGAGAAAGCTTGGAAACTGGTAAAACGTGAAAAAAGTTCAGTCGTAATGGTATTAAGGAAATGCATACTAAAATACTACATGTTTCATTTGCATAAAGCTAAATATACTGTTAGCACGTCATGCTGAAAGGGGGACAGAGTTGAAGGAAGTGTGAAGTGTGTCACCCTTTTGGGAAAGTCATCGGAAAGAGTCTGTGAAGACTGAAAATGCACATGACCTTTGACTCAGCCTCTAAAATAAAATGACCAGCACCACACAACACTGGCTCACAGAAGCTTCTTGAAACCTGTTTGGGAAGCCAAGCCTGGGCCTCCTGGGCAGCGCTCTGGGGTGAAGGCATCATCAGTGCCCACATTTACTCAGCATCTTGGCTCAGGAATGGGCGGACCCTCAGAGCTTACGACGGACACCAAACACTGCTAGAGGCCATAAGAAAAACACTGAGACTCACAGCTCCCACGGGCTCATGGAGAGACGTAGAAATGAATAAGCTGGTCTTATTCTTGCACCTACTCTAGATGTTAGTTATGACAAAGGGACAGAAAAACACAGTTTCTGCAAGTAAGAGAAGCGCGACGAGACAGAGGAATCGGAATAATTCAACAGAACTCTTTAAAATATCTCATCGTAGGTGAATTGTTTTCCAAAGTCATTCGAGGTAATAAAGGAACAGAGCTATCCTTCAGAGAGATCATGCACCTGCAGGAAGCTTACAACTTACCCCTGTGCGGAAGAGCCCAGGGCGCCGTCTCCTTCTCTTTGCTGTGGGGTAAACGAAAAGTTGTAAAATGAAAAAGGAAGATGCTGACATGCAGTTTACATTCTTACATAAAGGACAAGACTGTTAAGAGTGAGTTCTAATAGTACCTGGAGATGTCCTGAGTCCTGAGCCAGGATCTCAGAAACACTTACATGTGCACCTGTTTTCATTTCTCTCTGGTTAGAAATGGGAGTGGAATGGTGGTCCCATAATAAAACATTATCTTTTGATGAAATGCCAAAAACCTCTCCAGAGACCTGGCAGTTGACACCCTCATTTCACTTCCACTAGCCACATGAGACACTTTACACTCTCATTTCACTCCCACCAGCCACAGATGACACACTTAACAAACTCATTTCACTCCCAGTAGCCTTTTGTAAGACACTTTACAATCTCATTTCACTCCCACTAGTCACAGATGAGACACTTTACACTCATTTCACTCCCACCGGCCATAGATGAGACACTTTACACTCATTTCACTCCCACTAGTCACAGATGAGACACTTTACACTCATTTCACTCCCACTAGCCACAGATGAGACACTTTACACTCGTTTCACTCCCACTAGCCACAGATGACACTTTACACTCTCATTTCACTCCCACCGGCCACAGATGAGACACTTTACACTCATTTCACTCCCACCGGCCACAGATGAGACACTTCACACTCTCATTTCGCTCCCACCAGCTACAGATGAGACACTTTACACTCATTTCACTCCCACCAGCCATAGATGAGACACTTTACACTCTTATTTCACTGCCACTAGTCACAGATGAGACACTTTACACTCATTTCACTCCCACTAGCCACAGATGAGACACTTTATACTCATTTCACTCCCACCAGCCACAGATGAGACACTTTACACTCATTTCACTCCCACCATCCACAGATGAGACACTTTACACTCTCATTTCACTCCCACTAGCCACAGATGAGACACTTTACACTCGTTTCACTCCCACTAGCCACATGAGACACTTTACAGTCTCATGTCATGGCCTCCAGCCATGCTTGAGACTTGCAATTTCTCTAGTTTTACCCACCCTTGCTGGTGTCTGTCTTTTTGCTGACTGGCATTCTCCTGGGTGTGTGGTCATATCTGATTGTGATTTAAGTTTGTGGCTACCTGATGTAGAATGATGCTGAGCATTTTTCCATGTGCTTATATGCCATCCATATATCTTCCTTGTTAAGGAGTTCATTCACATCTTTTGTCCATTTTACGTATGTTTCTGTGTATGTATTTTTATTTTTGTCGAGATGGGGCATCTCTCAGTTGTCCAGGCAGGTCTTGAACTCCTGTCCTCAAGCAATCCTCTTGCTTGGACTCTCAAATTACTGAGAATATAGATGCTTGTCACTGTGCCCAGCCCTGTTGCCCATTTTAAAAACTGGGTTTTTGGTGTTTTTTTTTACAATTGCCTTTGAAAGCTCTTTGAGTCTGTGTATTCTCGCATCAGCCTAAGACTTGAAAATACTTTGTTTCCCTGTAGCCTGCACGGGAATGAACATCTCACTTTCATGTGTTTGCTTCACCGCACTTCACAGATACTGTGTTTTTGTTTTTACAAATTGAGGGTTTACAGTGGCCCTGGTCAAGCAAGTGACCGCTATCCCAGCATATCGGTGCCATGTTCCTGGCAGTGTGCTCACTTCGAGTGTCTGTGTAAGCCGCTTTTAGCAATAAAGCACTTTTAAGTCAGACACAGACACTGCTTTTCAACGTGACGTTGCTGCGCGGGGGTAGCATAAACATGACTTTTACATGCACTGGGAAGCCAGAGAAATTCATGGGACTTGGTTTCCTGAGATGTTCACTGTATTGCGGTGTTTTACACCAACACCTGCCATATCTCTGATGTGTGCCTGTATTTCTATTTTCTTAGTGGGGACTTTCGAAGAGCAAATAGTTTCAATTTTGATAAAGTCCAAACTATGATTTTTTTTCTTCCATAGGCAGTGATTTTGGTGTCATATCAAACAAAAGCTTTGTCTCACTCGAGATCACAGAGATCTCATTCTATGCTTCCTTCTAGAAGTGTTCTATGTTCAGCTTTTAAGTGTCAGATAGATTTGGGGCCAACTATTTGTGTGGGGAATGAAGTGGCCCTGAGCCATCTTCATACAGGTTTGAAGAACTCAATTTTCTTTTTTTGTTTCCCATGTGGACATTCAATTGTTCTAATATCACTTGTTAAACTATAATTTCTCCCCATTTAATTATTTTAGTGCTGTTATTTCACATCAACTGGCCATAAATGAAATGTTTAATTTTGGACCTTTCTTCTGGTCCATTTATCTATGTCCCTCTCTTTGTCAATGCCACACTGTTTTTATTACTGTAGCTTTATGTTTGTCTCTATGTCAGTGCCACACTGTTTTTATTACTGTAGCTTTATGTCTGTCTCTATGTCAGTGCCACACTGTTTTTATTACTGTAGCTTTATAGTAAAATTTAAGGTCTGGCTGTGTAAGTTCCCCAATTTCATTTTTTCTCAATATTGTTTTGGCTAATATCGTAGAGTAGGTAGCCTAGGTCTTTTAAATTTGCATAGACATTTTAGCACCACCTTGCCATTTCTGCTAAAACAAAAGCCTGCTGGGGTTCAGCAGGGATTGTGGTGAATTTGCAGATCAGTTTTGGGGAAAATTGCTCTTTTAACAGTATTTTTTTCCAGTGTATGAATGCTGTGGCCCTTTTCATTCGACAGATTGTCTTCAACTTCTGTCAGTGGTGGTGTGTAGCTTTCAGCGTATGTATATGCACACAGTTTGTTGAATTTATTCTTTTTTATAAGATTGTGAATCGAAGTTATAAAAACATAACCTGGATTTTTCATTGCTGGTGTACAGAGATCCGTGAGTGTGTATTTTAATATGTGCCCCACATCCTTGTTAAGTGGTTTTATTATCTCAACTAGGTTGAGTTAAACATAGTTAAAACTATGTTTTAAACATCGTTTTTAGGATTTTGTTGCCTGCAAATAGACATGGTTTTACTTTATGTTCTGCGTGCCTTCATATTCCCTGCGGCACTGGGCTGGCCAGAATGTTCCTGCTAGGTCAGAAGTAGGGGGAAGGGGTGTCCTTGCCTGTCCCCAGCCTCGAGGAGAGCGCCCTCAGCCTTTCACCAGGAAGTGTGACATCAGGTGCGCAGAATGCTTTCCTATCATTCCGAGGTCGCCGAGATTTTAAAATCATGAATGGGCACTTGAGGGTGGCACACCTTTTCTGCACTGATTGGCGTGATCACATGGTTCCTGTTCTCTGTTGTACTAACATGCTGGGCTACAGTCACTGATGTCCAGGCCTGAAGCCACTGTAGCACCCTGGAGTAACAGCACCTGGCTACGGTGCGTGCGCCTGCCCTGTGCTGCTGGGATTGGTTTGCCAGGGTCTCGTCAGTGACCTTTCCTGTGTTTCTGGAGGTTACTGGCTCATGAATATCTGGCTTTGATGTCAGGTTGGTACCGGCACTGCCGAGCGAGTGGGGAAGTGTTGCTTCCCTCTCCATTGTCTGAAGGAGTGTGTATGTAGTTGGTATTACATTTTTTCTTAAAATCTTTGCTACAATTCATCCATGAAGACTTCAGGGCCTGGAAATTTTTCTTCACTGGAAGATTTCAAATCAATAGTTCAGTCTCTTGGCTGTTCTATGTCTATTGAGATTTTCTATGTCTTCTTGAGTTAGTTATAGTAATTAGTGTCACTTAACTGGAAAAAAAACTAACTACCTTAAGTTAAAAAGCATTGTTTCGGGCCAGGCACAGCAGCTCACGCCTGCTATCCCAGCATGTCGGGAGGCCAAGGTGGGAGGATAACTTGAAGCAGAAGTTTGAGACCAGCCTGGCATGTCAAAACCGCGTCGCTACTAAAAATACAAAAATCAGCTGGATGTAGCTGGATCTGCCATCCCAGCTAGTTGGGAGGCTGAGGCGGGCAAATTGTTTGAACCCGGGAGTCAGAGGCTGCAGTGAGCTGAGATTTCACCACTTCACTCCAGCCTGGGCAACAGAGCGAGAGTCTGTTTCAAAACAAAATGAAACAAAACACGCAAAAAGCATCTGTGTGCTGACACTACGGCTGGTGAAGAGAAAGAAAAGCACACTTCAACCTTAGAGGGTCGATAATGAAGCATAGACATGTTTAAGAAACCCAGTTCCATTGCTACATTTGCACTAGGAAGTCATCTGTGCACGCTGGGTGTTTATGTTCACAAAGACACATCACGCACAGCCTCACACACACTCACAGCAGAGTCCATGGGCCACACCAGCACTGAAGCACAGGAGAGTGGCTGAGAGCTCCCAGCCACAGAGCAACTTGGACATGGTCCCAGGCCTTGACAAATGGAGCAGAGAGACAGGTGGTACCTGAAGATATCCTTCCCCCATTTGCACGGATGGATCTTTCCTCTCTGCTTAGCATTTTAAACTCTCTTCATTTTCACGGGTCTGAGTGAGATAATCAAGGGTGGTCAACTTCTTGACCTCTAGAAAGGGGAAAGGAGGAACAGGACAAGTCACCCACCCTGCCACCTTGCACTGTGCCCACACAACAGCTCAGCAGGGCGGCCAGCGCCCCACCTACCCACCAGGGAGCACTGCTCTGCCCACCATGCAGGCCCTGTAAGGCCAGGGTAGATACAGGTACCTTGTGGGCCCAGCTCTGCAGCTGGCTGATGGTCAGCAAGAGAGGTCTGCAGGTGTTAGGTGGGGACCGGCGCTGGCCTGCGTCCCACCGCCCACCAAGGCCTCACTGAGCTGCATTGTCAGTGGGGTCAGAAGAGAAGGGGCCTCTCATGGGCCTGGGTCCCCCCACACCACACAGCCTGAGAGGTTGCTCCGGATCCCCTGGGGATTGCTGATGGGGTGTGAGGCAAGCTCCAGAGGGGCCACTCTGTCTGAGGGTCCAGTGCCCTGTGGGGGTCCTTACATCTGGACAATGGATGGGCACACTTTGGGGGAGGCACAGAGACCCCAAAGTCAGAGGACCACGTGGTACAGCAGCCACCCCTATGCGCTGGCCGGCGGGTCCTGGGACCACACACTCCTGCGGGTGCTCGGAGCCCCAGGCCCAGGAGGTGAACCCAAGTGCCACAGGTGTCACTCAGCACAGCCTCTGATGGGGCTGAGACAGGTTACCACAGACAGCTCAGCAGGGTGGCCAGCACCCCACCCACCCGGCCAGCCCTGCAAGCAGCAAAACAGCCCAGGGAAGCAAAGCAAAACCCGAGACGCCCATTTATCTAAAAGCCGTGTTAATAAATGTTAATAAAATGGGCTCTGCATCAATTTCAGCCACGAGCTTCCACAGAGGGGCCAAACTCTCCATGCTGCTTTCCTGAAACACCAGCACCGTGAGAGCCGATGGCTCGTGACTATTCCTGGAGAGCCAGGTGGCCGTCCAGGGAGGAGCAGATGGCGGCAGTGGGTGCCCTGAGGAGCTGCCTGTGGTGGCACAGCCCTGTTGCCTGCAGCGGGTGCTCTGCTCTGGCCGGGTCCTGAGCCACTCGATGTGGCTCTGGCTAGTTCTCCATACTCCCCAGAACCTGTCGTGGTTTCAGCACACAACCTCATGCTTGTTTATATTCGAGTTAAAATATATGTACTTTTGCCCCGGTTTGCAGAAACACATCAAGAGCACATCTTCAGTGTGCTCCGTGCTCCCGGGGGCTGCATGGTACGGGCCAAGCTCCATAGAAACAGTTAACCTGAGTGTCACAGTGACCTTGAAGGCTTGCAGGGCAGCCGCAGAACCTCCAGGCAGGGCCAGGCTCTCCAGTGCAGCCAGTGCTCCCTGGTGGGCTGAGCGACATGGGGAAGGCTGTGCTTCCTGGACCTCATTCAACAGGTTTTCTCTGCTGTCTGCCGTGCACGTGGCTTCCACCCACCTCTGGAAGGCAGCCCCACATCACACGCCTGCCCAGGAGATCACATCCTCACCACACACACTGAGCACTCATCAAGGTCTGTCCTCCAAGCTTCAAAACAGAGACTGAGTGAGCAGCTGCTTCTGACCCGGCTCCCCACAGCCTCCCATGGGGCTCAGGCAGAGCAGGGGCCACACCCAACACCTGCCCGCAGATGAACAGAGCACGCACACATGCCAGGATACGCCTCCAGGAGCCTGCATGGGAACTGGCGACCTCACCCTGAGGACCGCCCTCCAGAGTTGCCTCAACCTCATGGAACAGGAGGCAGACTGCCCGTCGGGCCCCCGGATGAGAGCGCAGCGCAGTGCCCAGGGGGACGACTCTCCAGGGACCCTGGCAGAGACCCAGCTCAGAGGTGCTGCCCTCCTGACGACAGAAGCTGAGGTGATGAGGTGCTGTTCTGAGCACTGAGTTTGCGGCAGTTTTACCAGAACTAACAATAATCCTCCGACATTTTCCTAGAACTCTGCTCTTTGAATCAACACATTCAGCCCTGGCTCCTTCGGGGTCTGAGAGGCCCCTGGCCCTCGTTCGGCTCAGGGAAGCATCCAGTCCCAGGTGCCTGGGTTGGGACCCAGGGGCCCACGAAGGCCCTGTCCTCACGGCGACCTCAGTGGGCCTTTAAGTGCCGTTGGTTTTGCGTCCAGGACAGCTCCCAGCCCACCCTTCCTCATATCTGAGAGCTTGCCATGACGTCTGGATGACCGAGAAGGCTGCCTGCCAGCTCCCTGGCCCTGGCTTCTCTCCCGGCTGTCGGGCACAAGGTGGCCAGCACTCCTCACTGCCTGCCCTGCCCACATCCAGACCCTTCGGGAGGCATCTCAGCTCCTCGCTGCCCCCATGCCCGCCGCTGCACCCCCCACAGCCTGAGGCGTGGGCCAGCTTCTCCACAGCACGAGGCCATCCACACGCATTCACGCCTCATTTTTTGTCCCCTCCACAACGTGCAGGCGACCATGCCCAGTCCACAGAAGCCTCAGCCCCTATGCACTCGGCACACAGTGGGTATTTGCCCTATGTTAACCCGGGAGTAAGTTTTGTGCACAAAGTTGGAAAAAACTGACAAGTACAGACTTTGTATGCCTGGGCAGTCTGGGCATGTGTTCACCTGTAGCACAAGTGGAAAAAACCACGTGGGCCCCAAGACGCGCCCCGTGGATGGCCTGAGCCCAGCTGAGTCTTGTGTTGTGGGGAACTTGCTCGACTCTGGGCATCTGAGGGGCACAGATTTTCTGATAATGACAGATGATAAATTCTGGGTGAGGTGAAACTCCAGAAAAGCTTTCAAAAAAATTAAACAGAGATATTTCTAGATAATTCTAGAAAGTACTTTAAAAACTATTCCTGGTTCTAAGAGGGGTGGACAGTTTTGAACAAATAGGCCTCGCTCTGAAGGGTTTAAGCTGCAGGAAGGGGCGGCCCGTGCACCTCTGTGAAGTCACAGCTGAGACTTCCGTTCCATTCCGTTCAGTAAACATACCCCAAGCACCTGCTCGACGCAGGCACCAGCCTTGACACCAGAACTAAAACTCTGAAAGCATCACACTCAGCACTGCGTCCATAGGGTTTCATCCGTTCATCTTCACTGCACTTTCTTCCTTTTTTTTTCCGAGACAGAGTCTTGTTCTGTCACCCAAGCTGGAGTGCAGTGGTGCGATCTCGGCTCACTGCAACCTCTGCCTCCCGGATTCAAGAGATTCTCCTGTCTCAGACTCCCACCCCAAGTAGCTGGGATAACAAGCACACATCACCATGTCCAGCTAATTTTTTGTATTTTTAGTAGAGATGGGGTTGCACCATGTTGGCCTGGCTGATCTTGATTTCCTGACTTTGTGATTCCCCCACCTTGGCCTCTCAAAGTGCTGGGATTACAGGCGTGCACCACTGTGCCTGGCCCACTGCACTTTCATTAAGAAACAATTCAAGCCTCAGGCAAGACAACAGTGACTTGCTAGAAAACATTCCCAGGGCCGTGTGCCACCGTGGGTTGTGGGGTAACCTGTGGTTCGAATAGGAGCCTCTTGGTGGGGCGTGCTCATTTTGAGCTGGGCCTTCTCGCCACAGGCGCAGACAGGGGCTGTTCCGGAGATGCAGTGGTCTCGGTGAGCCCACCCGACTCCCTCTGCTCTGAGCTGGGGTTGGCCAGGCTGTCAGGAACAGGGTATTCTCGGGGGCTGGGCCTGGACACACTCTGCAGCCCATGCCGAGAGATACCCCCTGAGATGCCGCAGCTAAGGGCAGCCACTGCCCAGAGAATGAAAGACACTTTACGGGTGGCCTGCCATGACCAACAGCTGGTGCCAGGAGGAGGCAGGTGGCTGTTTCTTCCAACAACAGGTTTCCTTGGGGGTGGGGAGGAGGTTGCCCTCCCTCATTCAGGAACATGACTGACCACCTGCCACTGTGCCCGAGGTGAGACAAGATGCAGCAAGACCGGAAGCTCTGGCCTCAACTGCCTACCGCTGTGCCCATTGTAAGACCCAGCAGGACCAGAAGCTCTCACTTCAACCACCTGCCACTGTGCCCGCCGTGAGACTCAGCAGGACCAGCAGCTCTGGCCTCCACCACCCGCCGCTGTGCCTGCCGTGAGACTCAGCAGGACCGCCAGCTCTCACCACCACCCGCCACTGTGCCCGCCGTGAGACTCAGCAGGACCGCCAGCTCTCACCTCGCTTGTGTGGTTAGTGGGCAACCTGCTCGTACTTTCCGTCATTGGAATTTCTATTTGGTGCTCTTCCGAGTCCACCGGTTCTTATTTCATAATGTCCTGTTCTTGCCTAAGAGATGCCATTCCTTTGTCTCTGAACATTTTAAACTTGTTACTTCAAGCACTCGGCACCGCTCCTGAGGTCTTGGGTGTGAGTTCAGTTCCTTGCTGGGTCTGCTGGGCCCTTACGGATTTCATTTCTTCCTGTGATTTGCCCTTTTTGCCCATGATCTCATTTCTGGCAGAGGCTGACCGTGAACACGGTCAGGGGAGGTGGCAAAGAATCCAGCCCCAAGTGTCGGGGGCTCAGGGCAGGGGATGTACTCAGGTGGATGTGGAAGATGAGCAGCTCTAACCACCCAGGCTCAGGGGTTTTGGGGGGCTCAGGGGGTGCAGGGGACGTACTCAGGTGGATGTGGAAGATGAGCAGCTCTGACCACCCAGGCTCAGGGGTTTTGGGGGGCTCGGGGGGTGCAGGGGACATACTCAGGTGGATGTGGAAGATGAGCAGCTCTGACCACCCAGGCTCAGGGGTTTTGGGGGACTTGGGGGGTGCAGGGGACGTACTCAGGTGGATGTGGAAGATGAGCAGCTCTGACCACCCAGGCTCGGGAGTCTCAGGGGGTCCGGGGGTGCAAGGGACATACTCAGGTAGATGTGGAACATGAGCAGCTGCCCTAGCTGGAGCAAGCCAAGCAGGTCCAGCAGGAACACAGCCGCCCCGATGACTATGACCATCGGGGTCTTCAGCTTCACTGGGAACAGCGGGAGGAACAGCAGCCATGTGTTCGCACTCCTGACATCTGTGGAGACAAGGGAGAGACACCATGTCCGGCACCTGCTGATGGGCACCGCATCGGGTGGACATCGCAGACCAGAGCTAGCTGGGGATGGGGCAGCGTGGGGACAGGGCAGCGTGGGGACGGGGCAGCGTGGGGACGGCCTCCCGAGTAGCTGGGACTACAGGTGCTCGGACTTTGTCCCTGCCCAGGTGGACGGCCCCCTTACCTGAGTGCCCCTCAGGCCCGCTGCCTGCAGGTGGTTTCTATGACCCCAGCTTTACGGATCTGGAGGTGAGGCTGCAACAGGGTCACTAACTGCAGGGGTCACCATGTCTGCCGGCTCCGCTGGCCCCAGCACCCACCCCTTCTTCACTGGCCACACTGCCTCCCTGGACCCTCTGTACCCTAAAACCGCTGCCTTCAAACAGAACAGGAAAGTCAGAGCTCTCGCCTGGGGCATTTCTAAGATACGGTCCTCTGTGACCTGGGGCTGCCAACACCCAAAACAACACTTCCAAAAATCAGGCATGAGAAAGATGCTGAGGGGCTGTACGAGGCTGGATGGCAGAAGGTGGATTCAGCCTGGATATGTGTGGGTGACAGGTGCTGCCTGGAACTGGCGGCCTTGGGGGCCATCCTAGAGGCAAACACCACACTCGGCACGACGGGGCTGCAGCGGCACGTGCACAGCCAGGCTGGACCCACGCTGCCCTCTTAGCCAGTGATGTCATGAGGCGTTCAGCCCATGAGAGCGAGAAGCCCCACTGGCTTTGAAGCCCTGCAGAATCTTCCAGAACAGCAAACCCAGCAAACCCAGGAAATGGCTCAATCCACGGTCCATGCCTCTGCCCTGCCATGCAGAAGCAGCGTGTTCCAGGAGAGAAGCCGGTGTGGCCGCTCCAGCTGCCTCTGCCCTCTCCCTCTCCTGGCATCCCCTGGAGTGAGTGCCCAGACAGCACGAGGCTGCTGGGGAAGGTGAGTTGCCGTAGAGGGAGGAAGGCAACAGCTGTGGTCCTGGGCTCAAGGCCGCTGAGGTCAGGGCTCATCAGGTGGAGCTGGCTTTCAGAAAGTGCTTCGGGGCGCCTGGGAGGCCCTGGTGGCACCCATCACGATTCAAGGTAGACGGAGGAGCTTTAGGCCTTTACTACAGAGCTGGCAAAGCTCATTCTTGAAAAACACGGAATGTTCTGGAACGAGGGCCACGTGAGTGGTCCTATCAATACCCAGGCCATGTGCAGTGTGGGCACAGCCACACCTGGAGCTGAGACTGGCAGTCTTGACCCACAGCCCGAGGGCTGTCTGGCCCAGGTACTCCTGGTCAGGGTCCCGGCGCTGCAGCCATGAGTATGTCAAGCGACGTGGGGGTCGGGGGCAGCTTCCACAGCAGACGCTTGCAGTCCCACACAGGGACATTCTGCTGCCGGCCAGGCACTGCCTCCAGAGGCTCCAGGGAGGTCCTCCCACCGCTGCCAGCTCCTGTGGCTCCGGCCACCCCGGGCTGTGGCCATGTCACTCCACCGTGCCTCTGTCCTCACAGGGCTGCCTCCCTCTGTGTCTCTCCTTTCTCTTATAAGCACACTCGTGGCTAAATTTGGGCCCCTGGGACAACCCAGCACAACCCTCTGACCTCAAATCCTAAGTCACAGCCACAGACACATTTCCCGGGACGCTGGCATCATGGGATCTGGGTTAGGTGTGGACTCGACTCTGGAGCCCACAGTCCACCACTGCCACTTCTTTCCTGTGGCTCAGTGCAGGCAACAGTTCCTAAGGGCCCACTTGGCCAAGAGCCTTAGCACCCCACGGCCTACAGCCCCCACCCCTAGACCCACCTCCGCTCTCCCCTCCCCACGTGGCCCACAGGGAAGGCATGGCAGGCACTGCAAAGCTGACTGTGGAGGCCTGGGCAGCAGTGACCCACACTCTCTTGCCTGACATGACCTGGAAGCACCCACAGAGGAGCGTGGCCAGCGCCGTCCCAAGCCTGCCTCCTGGGCACTGGGGGCTGCTGGACTGTGTGGGCCTGGGCTGCTGCCTTTGGCCCAGGCCAGAGTCTGCCTGGGGCTGCGCACTCCGGCCTCTCCCTGGGCCAAACGGGGCCAACCATCCCCAGACCCGATACTACCACCTGGAAAGACGGCTGGAGGCGAGGCTGTGGCCAAGCCGGCTCACAGCAGCCCTGGCAGAGGCCCCGCCATGAGTGGCAGCCACATACCTTCATACTTGGGGTCTGTGCGGAGCACCCAGGGGTTCACGAAGTACTGGATGAGGATGTACAGCAGGATGGCGATCACGCAGAGCAGGCCAGCCACGGCTGAGGCCACAGTGCTGAAGAAGAACCTGCAGGGAGACGCACAGGCAGGCATGGGGGGGCCGTGCTGGGGCAGGTGAGGGCGCGTGGGGGAGGGGGTACACATGGGCAGGTGGGGGTGAGCACTGAGGGCAGCGCAGGGGGGCATCTGGGGCCTGCACGGTGGAAGTGACAGGTCAGTGTGGGCGTCCACTGAGAGAAGGCGCCTGGCCAAGGCCCGATGCTGGCCCCAAACTCCACTTTCAACCACACTGGAAGCTCAGGCTCCCATCTCAGTCCCATCCTGTGGCGCTCCCCAGGGTCTCCAGGCCTCCCGCTGGGGAGGGATGGCCATGGCCCACTCTCACCAGCTTACATGCCTGACAATTGACGCAGCGCTTCTTGCAAACGTGATTTCATTTAATCCCCAGAAGGAACAAGGAGGTTGTGAGGAGGGGGAACCAGCCCTTCTCAAAAGTGAGGAAACTGAGGCCAGAGACACAGTATGAATCGACCAAGCCCACCTGGCCAGCAGAGCGTGAGGGTCACATGCATCCCCAGCATCACAGTTCTGGGGCCTCTGCCTGCACCTCTCCACCCCACCTCATTCAGACAGGGGCTCTCTCCCAGCCAAGGAGCACGTGGGCTGAGTCCACTTGGGGGCCCTGAGCCTGGTCTGTGTCAGGGTCTCATGGCACCGCTCAAGGCAAGGGCACTGAAGCCAGGGAAGGTGAGGGCCGCAAGAGCACCGTGGCACCCGAGAGGGTCTGTGGGCACCTAGGAGGGCAGGCACACCAGGGGCCTGCAGGCTCAGGGAATTGGATCTCTGCACCCAAAGGGAACTTGGGCTGAGGAGGCCATGGAGGGGCTGAGGCACAGCCTCTTTCTCCAACGGTCCTGTGCGCATTTGAGCCAGAAGCCACATCCACGCTGTGGACCCAAAACCACCCAGTCTCTCGTCTTTGCTAAAAGATGCCGAGAATGATCCACCCAGAAAACCCAATTCTCCGCAGCAGTTCCTGGAACACCCTCATCCACATCCCGGAACACCCTCATCCACATCCTGGAGCACCCTCATCCATGCCCCTGAACACCCTCATCCACGTCCCTGGACACCCTCATCCACATCCCGGGACACCCTCATCCACATCCCCACACACCCTCATCCACATCCCCGGACACACTCATCCACGCCCTGGAAGACCCTCATCCATCCACGTCCCGGGACACCCTCATCCACACCCCAGAAGACCCTCATCCACATCCCGGAACACCCTCATCCACATCCCGGAACACCCTCATCCACATCCCGGAACACCCTCATCCACATCCTGGAGCACCCTCATCCACGCCTCTTAACACCCTCATCCACGCCCCCGAACACCCTCATCCACGTCCCCGGACACCCTCATCCACGTCCCGGAACACCCTCATCCACGTCCCGGAACACCCTCATCCACGCCCCGGAGCACCCTCATTCACGCCCCGGGACACCCTCATCCACGTCCCCGGACACCCTCATCCACGTCCCCGGACACCCTCATCCACGTCCCGGGACACCCTCATCCACGTCCCGGGACACCCTCATCCACGTCCCCGAACACCCTCATCCACGTCCCGGGACACCCTCATCCACGTCCCGGAACACCCTCATCCACGTCCCGGAGCACCCTCATTCACGCCCCCGAACACCCTCATCCACGTCCCCGGACACCCTCATCCACGTCCCGGGACACCCTCATCCACGTCCCCAGACACCCTCATCCACGTCCCCGGACACCCTCATCCACGCCCTGGAAGACCCTCATCCATCCACGTCCCGGGACACCCTCATCCACACCCTGGAAGACCCTCATCCACATCCCGGGACACCCTCATCCACGCCCCGGAAGACCCTCATCCACGTCCCCAGACACCCTCATCCATGTCCCCAGACACCCTCATCCATCCACGTCCCGGGACACCCTCATCCACACCCCGGAAGACCCTCATCCACATCCCGGGACACCCTCATCCACGCCCCGGAACACCTTCATCCACGCCCCGGAAGACCCTCATCCACGTCCCGGAACACCCTCATCCACGTCCCGGAACACCCTCATCCACGTCCCCGAACACCCTCATCCACGTCCCGGGACACCCTCATCCACGTCCCGGAACACCCTCATCCACGTCCCCGGACACCCTCATTCACGCCCCCGAACACCCTCATCCACGTCCCCGGACACCCTCATCCACGTCCCGGGACACCCTCATCCACGTCCCCAGACACCCTCATCCACGTCCCCGGACACCCTCATCCACGCCCTGGAAGACCCTCATCCATCCACGTCCCGGGACACCCTCATCCACACCCTGGAAGACCCTCATCCACATCCCGGGACACCCTCATCCACGCCCCGGAAGACCCTCATCCACGTCCCCAGACACCCTCATCCATGTCCCCAGACACCCTCATCCATCCACGTCCCGGGACACCCTCATCCACACCCCGGAAGACCCTCATCCACATCCCAGGACACCCTCATCCACGCCCCGGAACACCTTCATCCACGCCCCGGAAGACCCTCATCCACGTCCCGGAACACCCTCATCCACGTCCCCGAACACCCTCATCCACGTCCCCGAACACCCTCATCCACGTCCCGGGACACCCTCATCCACACCCTGGAAGACCCTCATCCACATCCCGGGACACCCTCATCCACGCCCTCATCCACGCCCCGGGACACCCTCATCCACGCCCCGGAAGACCCTCATCCACATCCCGGGACACCCTCATCCACGCCCCGGAACACCTTCATCCATGCCCCGGAAGACCCTCATCCACGTCCCGGAACACCCTCATCCACGTCCCCGAACACCCTCATCCACATCCCGGAACACCCTCATCCACGTCCCGGGACACCCTCATCCACGCCCCGGACACCCTCATCCACGTCCCGGACACCCTCATCCACGTCCCGGAACACTCTCATCCACGTCCCCGGAAGACCCTCATCCACGTCCCCGAACACCCTCATCCACGTCCCGGGACACCCTCATCCACGTCCCGGAACACCCTCATCCACGCCCCGGACACCCTCATCCACGTCCCGGAACACCCTCATCCACGTCCCGGAACACCCTCATCCACGTCCCGGAACACCCTCATCCACGCCCCCGAACACCCTCATCCACATCCCGGAACACCCTCATCCACGTCCCCGAACACCCTCATCCACATCCCGGAAGACCCTCATCCACGTCCCCGAACACCCTCATCCACACCCCGGAACACCCTCATCCACGTCCCCGAACACCTTCATCCACGTCCCGGAACACCCTCATCCACGTCCCAGAACACCCTCATCCACACCCCGGAACACCCTCATCCATGGCCCGGAACACCCTCATCCACACCCCAGAACACCCTCATCCATGGCCCGGAACACCCTCATCCACACCCCGGAACACCCTCATCCACGTCCTCATTGCGCCAAAGTGTCTTCCGTTGGTCTTTCCATGAATATGATATTTTTTAAAAGGTTCCTCTAATCTCCTTTAACTTCCTCCTATATATTCTGTTCACCTAAACGTATGAAATTCCTTTTCATGCTTTCAGCTGGAGGCCAGAGTATGAATCCCACAGTCTTCTGAGGATGTTGGTGGGGGGTTGGGGGGGCCAGGCAGCTGCCTTCCAGGCACTCCTCCTCCCTCCAAGAGTCTTGAGAGTCTTCCAGAAGATCCAAGGGCAGGGTGGCTCCAGGTGTGAGGAGGCTCAGGGGTGGGGACGACTCTGGGCAGAGGGGCTCAGGGGGTCCCTGACTCCCGCTCCCTCTCACTGTCTTCCCTCCCACAGTGACAACCAGGCGGATGGTCCCGAGCACTCCCTGATGTCACCAACACGCTCTCCGGTAAGTGCCGAGCCTGGTATCCTGGCCTGGATGTGGCCGCGCAGGGCGAGGACTGGCAAGGCCTTTCATGCCTGGCTTTTGTTTCCAAAGAAGCAATCCCTCCAGGCAGCGGTGCCCTACCCTGCCCTCAGTCCCCCAGGGTCTTAGCCCACTCAGTGAGTAAAGACCCCATGTCTTTACCCTGCTGTCTGTACAGGACTCCCCTCTTCAGCCAGTAAAAAAAGGTGGGTCTCCAAGACCGCAGAGCCCAAAACCCATGAGGCCGGGCAGAGCCATTCACACAGGGCTCCTCTTCCCACTGCCACCCAGGGCCGCTCTCCTCTCTGTCAGCAGGTCAGCACCCACAGTTGGAGGCCAGCTCTCTAGGTCTGAGGACGCCAGGGCCACCCGCTTCCTCCTCTCCATCTCCCTTCCTCTCTCATCAGGAAGCAGCAAACAGCCTCCCTCTCAGGGGCTCTGCCTTCAACTCTGTCAACTTCCCAGGCCAGAGGGCACCCGTGCCCCCAGCCCTGCTCTCCTGACGCCCCTTTCCCACGCACAGGCTGCGGCATCTGTCTGCACTGGGCACCCACACAGCGCCTCTCCCTTACCCCTCCTGGGGAAGGCAGGCCCTCTCCTTGCCACCTGCCTGTGGGCCCTTGCCCCTCACCTTCCCCACCAGGCCTCATGGACAAGCCAGCTCAAGGCACCAGAGCACAGAGTCCAGAAGGAAGCGGTGCCCAGGGCTCCCAGAGGAGCTGGCCCTACCGTGGCCTTCAGAGCTGCTCTTCTCCAGTGGGGAGGTGGGTGGGTCTCCCCGGCCCTTCCCGCCTCACGTGGCCTCTGGCCTTGCTCTGCAGTGGCACAGTCTCTCTGTCCTTGCTGGGCTGAACACACTTTGTGCTCAATGCAGGAGGGCAGGGAGGCAGGTCAGGTACCCCACAGTGCATCCCGTGACACCAGACAGCGTTGGTCCCCATTCCCGCCCACACCAAGGCCTCTTACAGCTCAGCACAGAGTAGCTGGGGGCACGCATGGCTCTTTTCCCTGGTGATCTTCACAACTCAAAAGTGCCACGGACAGCCGGGGCTCAGAACATGGGGCCTTGAGAGTCCCTGGATCCTCCACAATGCTCAAAGAAATACCTCTCTTCCATGCGCTGGGTGCCCACTGCCCCTCCGTGGCCCCACCACTGTGCTCCACAAGCCGGCAGCCTTGGCAGAGAGAGGGCAGCCCGGCCCAGGACAGCACAGGCAGGCCACCTCAGCCAATGTGCCCAAGGGGTGCCCACATGGGGGCCTCCAAGGGACTTCCCCTGTGGACAAGCCTGTCCAGAGATGGCTGCACCACAGCCCCAGAACCAGACAGGAGGCCGGGGCATGCGGGCACAGAGCGCCAGCATGCCAGGACAGGGATGCGGCCCCAAAAGGACCCCTGCCCACAGACCCCTCCTTCCGAATCCCCCCGCCCAGCCCCACCTGGCCCCGCTGTGCACCTCACCAGTAGTTCCGGCTCCCCACACAGTTGTTGAGCCATTTGCAGTGGTGGTCAAAGCCGGACACACACTTGTTGCAGGCAATGCAGTGCTTGGCTTTCTTGGTCCTGGAGGGAAGAATCGGGGAGCAGTCGTCAGGCCCCCAGCCTGCAGCCTGCAGCCTGGGGCAGGGATACAGCCCCATCACCGAGGGCCAGGCACCTCTAGGGAACCAGGCCTGTGCGGCGTGGGGAGGGGGTGTCCGGTGGGAACAGGAGGCTGGGGGAAGGTGCTGAGGCCCGTGGGGAGGAGGAGAAGCAGGACAGCTCTGGACGGAGGCAGCCACAGAGCAGGAGGAGGTGTGTCTGCACTGGGTGTGGCCACCTTGAGTGCAGGGGGCCCAGGAGCTGAGTGGGGTCTTGGATTCCACCTGTGCGTACAGGTCCCCCTTGCAGCCAACAGCCCTGCAGCTGCCCCCTAGGCCACCATGGACCAGGGCCCCTGCAGACATGGGGACCATCCTCCCTTTCTTTAGGGCTTGTCTTGAAAATCCCCAAGAACAATAGCACCCTCTTGCCCCTGGGCCCCAGGGGAGGGACCTGTGTGCACAAAATCCACTGGGGATCAACCGTGCCTGAGTGCAGACATAGCCTCAGCCTCAGCCCTGCCTGCAGAGCGGGGGGCGGCCCAGCACTGTGTCCCCTTCACAGGGGACTAGGGGCTGTTCACCTCACAGACTGTGGCCAGGGCCACTCCCCGGAAGCCCCATTAGCACCGGCTGCAGCCATGGCAGGGGCCCTAAGGGACGGGCAGTTCCCTGAGCCCCTGCACCCCTGGAGCTGACCCTGACAGCGCGGGGCCTCAGCGAGGGCGGGAACTCACACAGTGACCTTGCACAGATTGCAGTAATGGTTCTGGATCACGTGTGCGTGTTTGGATCTGTCGAAGATGGGCAAGGGCTGAGAATAGTCCTTGAGTCTCACGCTGGGGTCAGCTGGGTCGATGTAGCAGGCGATCAGGTGAAAGATGAGGTGGAAAAAGAAAATCCCCCCGGCCACCTGGCACGTCAAGGAAGAATCTGGCCTGGGTCCTGTCAGCCTGGCTCAAGGCATCCCCTTGAGGCCCAAGAGCCCAGAGGAGGTGAGGACGCAGATCAGTCTGGCTCACCCAGCCCTGCTCACCCAGCCCTGCACACCCAGCCCTGCACGCCCTGCTCACCTCAGCCCTGCACACTCAGCCCTGCTCACCTCAGCCCTGCACACCCAGTCCTACTCATCTGAGCCCTGCACACCCAACCCTGCACACCCAGCCCTGCTCACCTCAGCCCTGCACACCCAGCTGTGCTCACCCAGCCCTGCTCACCTCAGCCCTGCATACCCAGCCCTGCTTATCTGAGCCCTGCACACCCAGCACCACATACCCAGCCGCGCTCACCCAGCCCTGCTCACCTCAGCCCTGCACACCCAACCCTGCTCACCTCAGCCCTGCACACCCAGCCATGCTCACCCAGCCCTGCACACCCAGCCCTGCTTATCTGAGCCCTGCACACCCAGCACCACACACCCAGCCGTGCTCACCCAGCCATGCTCACCCAGCCCTGCATACCAAGCCCTGCTCACCTGAGCCCTGCACTCCCAGCCCTGCTCACCTCAGCCCTGCACACCCAACCCTGCTCACCTCAGCCCTGCACACCCAGCCCTGCTCACCTCAGCCCTGCACTCCTTGCTCACCTGAGCCCAGCTCACCCAGCCCTGCATACCCAGCCCTGCATTCCCTGCTCACCCAGCCCTGTCCCTGCTCAGCCCTGCTCACCTCAGCCCTGCACTCCTTGCTCACCTGAATCCAGCTCACCCAGCCCTGCATTCCCTGCTCACCCAGCCCTGTCCCTGCTCAGCCCTGCTCACCTCAGCCCTGCACTCCTTGCTCACCTGAATCCAGCTCACCCAGCCCTGCATACCCAGCCCTGCATTCCCTGCTCACCCAGCCCTGCTCACTGGAGCCCTGCACACCTGAGTCCTGCATTCCCTGCTCACCTGAGCCCGGCTCATTCAGCCCTGCACACACTGCTCTGCACACCCAGCCCTGCAGACCTGGCCCTGCACCCACAGCCCTGCACACCTGGCCCTGCTCCCCCAGCCCTGTTCACCTGGCTCTGCTCCCTCAGCCCTGTTCACCTGGCTCTGCTCCCCAGCCCTCCTCACCTGGCTCTGCTCACCCAGCCCTGCACACCTGGCTCTGCTCCCCCCAGGCCCAGAGGAGGTGAAGCCACCCAATAGCCTTGCACACACAGCCCTGTGCCCAGCAGGGGTGGGGACCAGGATGGCTGCCCCCACAACCCTTTTGGTTTATCCCTGTTGGACACAGGACAAATTCCTGACAGAAGGCCCTGTACCCCAAGAGGCTCAGCCAGGCCAGCCAAGCACAGTGACCTCAAAACCCTTTACACCTGAGAGACAGAACAGGACTGCAGGAAGGATGCCTAGGTGTGAACATGGCCAGATGCAGCCCCTACAGCCCTGGGGAAGCCTGGGTTGCTTCACACCAGAGACCACTAAGCACCAGGAGAGAAGCACAGACTCAGCAGGAGCAGGGAGAGGAGGAAGGGAGCTGCACAACCTACCCACTCCCTCCAGACCCCAGACGGCTTATCAGGGAACCCCAACTCCCTCCAGACCACAGACGGCTCATCAGGGCCCCCCCCCGACTCCCTCCAGACCCCAGATGGCTCATCAGGGACCCCCCTGACTCCCTCCAGACCCCACACAGCTCATCAGGGACCCCCCCCCGACTCCCTCCAGACCCCACACGGCTCATCAGGGACCCCCCCGACTCCCTCCAGACCCCAGATGGCTCATCAGGGACCCCCCCCCAACTCCCTCCAGACCCCAGACAGCTCATCAGGGACCCCCCCCCGCCTCCCTCTAGACCCTAGACAGCTCATCAGGGACCCCCCCGACTCCCTCCAGACCCCAGACAGCTCATGAGCGACACCCCCCAACTTCCTCCAGACCCCAGACGGCTCATCAGGTACCCCCCCAACTCCCTCTAGACCCCAGGCAGCTCATCAGGGACCACCCCCCACTCCCTCTAGAACCCAGACGGCTCATCAGGGACCCTCCCGACTCCCTCTAGACCCCAGATGGCTCATCAGGGACCCCCCAGACTCCCTCTAGACCCCAGATGGCTCACTTAAGGCCACCCTGAAGACCTGCTCAGGGACCCCAGACTCAGGGCCCCCCAGACTCTCTCAGGGGCTCCAGACTTGCTAAGGGACCCCCAACCTGCTTGGGACCCCCGAGACTCTTTCAAGGACCCCAGATAGCTCACTCAGGGACCCTGGGCCTCTATCTTGGGCCCCCTGGCTCGGAGCCTGGCTGCAGGGGCCCTGGGGAGAGAGCCTTTGTCCCCTGGAGCCAGCAGAAGCTGGGCTCCCCATGACTGGGACGTCCGCTCCCGCCTTCAGATCCTGGCTCCCTCCTCCTCTTGCCCTGGGACCAACACAGCCTCCCCATGACAACCAAACAGATGGGGTGGAGCACGGGGCCTCCCATCACCCTGCCTGTCCCCTGGGCTGCCTTCCAGCCAGGAGTTCAGGGTTGACGGACATCTCCGCAGGGCGACCCAGCAGCCCTCATAGTGTGGCCTGAGTTTGGCATAGAGACGTGGGCCACCTGCCCTTGGGACACAGTGCCGTCCTCCTTGGCACCAGGGGCAAAAGACCCTGCAGGGATTTCAGCAGAAGGAGGGCTGCCAGCAGGGCAGCAGGGATTTCAACAGAAGGAAGGCTGCCAGCAGGGTGGGTCCTGTGCTGGGCCAGGGGCTCCATCCCTCCCAACCCAGCCCCTCTCTGGAGCCCCCGCAGGCAATGCTGGACAGCTCCGCACTGCTGGGATCACACTCAGGCTCTTCCTGGCACCACCTTGGGGTGTGGGGCTGGGGTTTCTGTGTAGTGGCCCTTCCCCGACAAGGGTCCCATAAGAAATACACTGCAATGTCCAGGAAGCCTAAGTGTGAAGCTGCTTCCGACTGAAACCCAAACACAGGTGCCGAAGCCCTCAGCGGGCAGGCCGTACACCCTGCATCTTCTAAGCACCCATGTGGCCCCAGGCCCCGGGTGCTTTCGGGCATGAGCTTGGGAGGAAGCTCCGAGGGCGCAGACCTGGCCACAAGGAAGACAGACAAGAACAATCTGGATGTCAAGGGGATGGGATTGGGAAGCTCCTGCCCAGGCCGGGGCGAGGGGGAGCTGGACGGTGGCGCGGGGGACCAGCCAGGCCTTGGGTGACTCACATGGGGCCAGGACTGATCGGACTCCTGCAGTGGCCACTCTGATCCCAGCATGCTAGAGGAGAGGGCTGCAGTGGGCCCACCTGGCTGGGGAGTGAGGCTGCAGGGTGTAGGTCAGCAGGGCCAGGCGCAGGGCTCACTGTGCAGCTGGTGACACCGACGTGACCGAGCCTGCCTCCTGGCTGCTGTCTCCCGCACCCGCTCCCCTTCAGGCTGAGCCGGGGACGCAGCACTGTTTGTGTGGTTGCTGGGGCAACAGGGAGCACATCCAGAGCCTTGGGAGGCTAGCGGGTGGCAGCTGAGGACAATGAGATGGGGCAGGAAGCTGTGCAGTGGCTGGGGGGCAGCCCCTTCCTCTGAAGAGCTGGAGCAGCACTTCCTTCACTGGAAACTAGCAGGCGGGGAAGGTGGGGCCAGGTGGGGCCTCTGCCTGGGTAGCAGGTGAAGCTCAGGCTGAAGAGACCCACCCAGGCCCTTGGCTGCCACGGCCGGCAATAGCCTCACCCTTGAGGCATGGCACACACAAGCCTGCTGCTAGGGAGACAGTGCAGGGGGCCACCAGCAGACAGCCTGGGGACAGAGTGGCCCTAACCGGGACCCTGCGACCTCCACGTGGAGGAGCTCAGGGCTGTCCTGAGGCTGACCCTGCCAGGCAAACCCCGAGGAGCTGCCCGAGCCCGTCCTCGAGCTGGTTCCCAAACCTGCAGGTGCCAGGGCCAGGCAGCCACCCTGAAGGCATCTGCCCAGGAACAAAAGCGTTCAGCTGCCAAGGGACCCCCAGAGATTCCGGGGCAGCGACTCCCCTGGACAGTTCCCTGGGACACAAAGCTTTCTGCACGAGAACCGGGTTGACGCGGATCTTTCACCGCACACCCCGGTGCTCTGCTGTCCCTCAGCTGCGCGCTGGCCAGGGAGGTCCACACTGCGTAGGAGCTTGGGTCGTCCTCCTGGGACACCCGTCTCCCACAGGAATGGCGCTGGTGACCTTAAGCTGGCCATGTTTTGCCCAGGCTGACCTAGCTAGCCACTGTGCCCTTCATGCACCTGAGTAACCCTCCCTGAGCTGGTGGGGAGCCCAGGATAGAGGTGACATGGGGCACTGTGTTCTCAACTTTCTCTGCTCTTACTTTCACATTTAATTTTATCCCTGTAGTGTTTTATGTTTCAGTGAGCAATCAAAAGCAAAAGCAGCAGAGTCAACGTCTCCCTTTCATCATGCAGACCGCCTGCCCTCTGGAAGTTTGGGCTCAAGCTGTCCTGAGCACTGCAGCTACGCCGGAACCTCCCCTAGCAACAATCTGTATTTTGTAAATAAACAGTGCAGCCGCGCCAGCCCAGGATACACACCCCGGCGCCCTTTGTAACACTGCTAACCTCTCCCCGCCCAGTTCTGCAGGCTGGAAGCGAGGGGGCGCAGAGCAAGCCACAGCCCCTGCTCCTGGTGCCCAGCGTGGCCATGTCTTGTCGTTCTGTCAATCCCCGTGGGACTTGAAGCTGACACGTGTGGCTGAAGGCACAGTGCCACTCAATGCTGGCGAACTTCCCGCTGTGCTGCCAAGCCCGTGCCGCCCTGGGCCACTGGACTTTGCTGGGAAGAGATTTCTCCGGACTAAACAGCTATCCAGATTCCAAACCCTTCCACGCGGCGGGCCCTGTGGACGCAGCAGTGACAGTGGAGCCTGTTTCCCTCTGCAGAAGAACAGATGCGGGCGCCTGCACCAGAGCGTGCTCCTGAAGGGTCCATGTACGAGGCTGCTGGACAGCAGGCTGCGCCTGGCAGTCAAATGTCCACCTAACCAGGGGTCTTTATTCCGTTTCTTCCCTGGTCTCTACAATGAATTGTCCCTTACCCTGATCCTGATCCTGACCCTGGACGGTGACCTCCCCTGGGGTCGGGGGCTGCAGCCACTGGGCCTGGGCAGTCACTTCTCAGACACACCAGTTCCTGCAGGTGCCACATAGCATGGGCACCCTCCAGTGGCCACAATGCAAGGCCACATGCTGCTGGCCCAGGGACCCATCCTGAGCCCAGTGCCGGCCAGAGGAGGGGCAGCATGGATGAGGGCTAGGCCACCGAGGGCTGGGCTGGGGCTCCTTGAAAAACAGGTCCAGGTGTGAAGTGGGGGTGCAGGGGGGGCCACAGAGGGTTCACCTACCAGAGAGCAGGTGACAGCTCAGAGGCAGACACAGTGGGAACACAGGGCCGAAACAAGGCCGAGCCAGAGGCAGAAGGGAGAATACAGGGAATGGATTCCAAAGGCACGGTAAGTAGCCCGGTGCTGAGGGGCAAATCCACCCCCTACACAGGTCCAAGCCCAACCCCTGCACCTGTGGATGTGACCTGACTTGGAAATAGGGTCTTTGCAGATGACCAGTTAGGCCAATGTCGTTTCGGGCGGGGGGGCCTACTCCAGTGACTGGTGTCTTTACCAAAACAGAAACTGAACAGCAGCAGACACATGCAGAGGAAAGACAGTGTGAACACGAGAAGGTGAGCCATGGAGCATGGCCAGAACCGTTCCCTCCAGCAGCTTCACGGGGAGCAGGCCAGCACCTGATTCCAGACCCCGGGCCCCAGAACTGTGAGACCAGAAGCATCTGCTGCTGTAGGCACCCGGTTTGTGGTGCTTTGTGACGGCAGCCCCAGGACGCACCGCAGCCACCCGGTGATGCTGGTGGAGAGGGAGATGGTGGACGGGGCAGCGGGGCAGGGCGCCGCCCTCTGCAGAGCGTGCATGGGGCCATGCGGTAGAATTGCAGATGGAAACACAGCATTTTACACCGCCGCGTAACTGTGATTCAGGCAAGCGTTACAACAGAAAGAAACACACTTCAGAGGCCCAGAGTCCACCCCTGTGCACTGCTCTGGACTGGCAGGGGCAGGGACCCGCAGGGACCCAGGCTCTGGGGGTGTGGGGGCTGTGGCTGCAGGTGGAGAACTCGGAGGCCAGTTACATCAGAAGCTGGGTTAGTGCCAGGGGACCTGGCGATGCCAGCAGAGGTGTACCTCAGGCCTGGCAGACAGGTCACCACTCAGAACAATGATCTGTCCTGACAAGACGAGGGGTGCCAGGCTGGCAGTGTGTGCTGGGTGGAGACACGAGCTGCCACCTTCCAGCCCTGCCAATGTCAAACCCCAATACCCACACGTGTGTCCAGGCATGGCCTTAGACCCCCACAGAACCCCCACTCTGGCGACTGATTACACTCAAGGCCTCTCGGCAAAGGCCTCCTCTTGGGAAGTGAGAACCATTTCCCTAAATCCCCTAGGATTGGGGAGGCCAGGGAGCAGATGGGGGACACAAAGTCTTTTACTCACAACCTGGCCAGCCCTCCCAGCCAAGATGGCCACTCCCAGCCCCAGATGGCCACTCACAGCCCCAGACGGCCACTCCCAGCCCCAGATGGCCACTCCCAGACCCAGGAGGCCACTCATTCCCAGCCCCAGACAGTCACTCCCAGCCCCAGATGGCCACTCACAGACCCAGGAGGCCACTCACAGACCCAGATGGCCACTCACAGACCCAGACAGCCAGTGGCTGAGGTGCTAAGGCCAGCGGGCTACGGTCCCCATGGCACCTGCTCACTCTGCATCCGGTCCCTGAGCCTCCCTGCCTGTGTGGCAGCAACACACACCAGGCTCGCCATTCACCTGCCCAGGATGGCCCAGCCCTAGGAGCATGTGGTGGTGGGCCACTTCCCCACTGAGGAAGGCTCCACTGGGGAGTGATGCGTCCCACTTTAGAAATATGGCTCCAGTGCCCCTGGGCACTGGACGCAGCCCCACCATCCTCAGATCCCTTTGTCCCCACACACCCATGTCTCAGCCACCCTAGGGGGCCCGGGGTTTCTCAACTGAATGCCATGGTTGGCTGGGGGTACTGCAGAGCCCACATGCTCCACGGACATCCACGCTGGAGACAGGAGCGGGCACGGGCCCCCACCCACTGCAAGACGGGAGAGGAAGCCCCCCCGCCCACTGGGAGATGATGGGAGAGGCAGGCCTCCCACCGCCCACTGGGAGACGATGAGAGTAGACACAGACCACCACCCATTGGGAGATGGGAGAGGAAGCCCCCTCCCCACCTGCTGGGAGATTATGGGATCAGATGCCGGACCCTCACCTTTTTCTGCACTGCATCCCTGGGGACCCACGTGAACTCCCTCTGCCATGAGCCAGCCAGGCAGGGCTGACCAGGACACTCTGTTGCACCTGCAAACAGATGTCACAGCACACACTGGCCACATCGGGACAGAACCTTCAGCTGTGCCTCGCCCAGGCCTTAGTATTCTCCTTAAGTCCCTTTTCATTAAATTTTCAGTATTATTCACTGAACAACACGGATTGGCCCCTTAGCCGAAATGGCCAAAGTCCTCCACCATGGCCTTTGTGCTCCCCGCATGGCTCCCCTCCTCTGCCTCGGCATGGGTGCTCCCCGCATGGCTCCCCTCCTCTGCCTCGGCATGGGTGCTCCCCGCATGGCTCCCCTCCTCTGCCTCGGCATGGGTGCTCCCCGCATGGCTCCCCTCCTCTGCCTCGGCATGGGTGCTCCCCGCATGGCTCCCCTCCTCTGCCTCGGCATGGGTGCTCCCCGCATGGCTCCCCTCCTCTGCCTCGGCATGGGTGCTCCCCGCATGGCTCCCCTCCTCTGCCTCGGCATGTGTGCTCCCCGCATGGCTCCCCTCCTCTGCCTCGGCATGGGTGCTCCCCGCATGGCTCCCCTCCTCTGCCTCGGCATGGGTGCTCCCCGCATGGCTCCCCTCCTCTGCCTCGGCATGGGTGCTCCCCGCATGGCTCCCCTCCTCTGCCTAGGCATGGGTGCTCCCCTCCTCTGCCTCGGCATTGGTGCTCGCCGCCAGGCCCCCTCACGGCTCCCCCCAGGCATGTCCCCCTCCCCTCCTCTGCCCCGGCCTTCCTTTGTGCTACCCCAATGGCACATGCCCCCTCCCCACACCATCCAGCAGGCTCCCCTCCGCAGTGGCAGAGGCCAGGGGAGCTCCAACATGAGGCAGGTGCTTCATGGGTGGAGGGTGTGGATGTGCGTCCTGTCCACGTCTCCAGGGTTGCAAGCGGGCCTGATGGGAGGTGTTTGGGTTGTGGGGTGGGTCCCTGTGAGCGGCTCGGTGCTGTCCTTGTGGTAGTGAGTGAACTCCCAGAGTTCATGAGAAATCTGGTCATTTAAAAAAGTGTGGGACTGGCCGGGCGCGGTGGCTCAGGCCTGTAATCCCAGCACTTTGGGAGGCCGAGGCAGGTGGATCACGAGGTCAAGAGATCGAGACCATCCTGGTCAACAAGGTGAAACCCCATCTCTACTAAAAATACAAAAATTAGCTGGGCATGGTGGCGCGGGCCTGTAATCCCAGCTACTCAGGAGGCTGAGGCAGGAGAATTGCCTGAACCCAGGAGGCGGGATCACACCATTGCACTCCAGCCTGGGTAACAAGAGCGAAACTCCATCTCAAAAAAAAAAAGAAAAAAGTGCGGGACCTCCCTCCCCCTCATCTTGCTTGAACCTGCTCTGGCCACGTGACCTGCCTGCTCCCCTTGACCTCCCACCACAAGTGAAGGCTCCTGAGGCTTCCCCGGAAGTGGAGCAGATGCCGGCCCGCAATTCCTGAAGAGCCCACCTCACTGTCAGCTGATTAAACTTCTTTTCTTCGTAAATTACCCAGCCTGGGATCTCCTTTACAGCCGCGCAAGAACAGCCTGATGTGGGGTCAACGGTCGACCCTGAGTCGTGTGGGAACAGCCTGACACAGACTCAGTGGCTGCCCTGTCCACCCCGACCCTGAGCAGGGGCTGCAGGAGCATGAGTGCCCATGGAGCCCACCCGCAGGCGCTGGGCATATGTCTGGTTTAGGGCAGGTGACTGGTGCCACCGGGCAGCCATGGCCTGGACCCCAGACCAGGTCCATTGCAAGGTCTAGACTGCGCCACGGTGAAAAGGATACCACGTAGGCGATGTATTTCCACGTGTGAGGCAGGAAGGGAATGAAGATTCCGAAGATGGCCAAGGACAGGGTCAGGAAGATGGCCCAGGACACTGACTGGAAGGCATTCCTAGGCGGTGAACAGCCATTCACTCGGGAGATTCGGGGTGGCAAGGCCAGCTTTGTGCTATTGCCTGTGGCTTCAGGGGGGCCGGAACTCTGGGGAGTGTCCATCTGCAGGAAGAGAAGGGGAGGACCTATGCCATCAGCCCCAGGGAGGGCCAGCCCCACCTGCCTCTGTCAGGGGAACCACAGGGGGACTAGGAACACAGACCCCAGGACCAGCACTGAGAACCCACAGCCCAGCACTGCCCAGGGCCACATCCCAATAGAGCGAGCTGGGCTGGGCTGCAGCCAGAGCAGGGCCCTGCATGGGGAGTGAACTGCCATGCTGCAGAATCTGACCGTGGCCAGAGCCATGCGGCTGTGGGAAGTGGCCCTCCAGGGCTGTGAGCCTGGCAAGGCCCCCGATGCCCATGCTGCCACCCCTCAGTAGACCCGAGGCTTTGATGGGTTCTGCAGAGCCCTCAACGACCCCCACACAGCGAGAGGTCCTGGAACTCATCCATGCATACACAGGCTCGCCCAAGACTCCTCAAGTGGGAAAGGAAAACCCCCATCAGAAAGAGGCCACACTGAGCAGAGGGGTGCTCCTGGGGGAAACTGAGGCAATGCCAGAAGAGCTCATAAGCCATTGCTAACAGGTGCAACACTTAAATCTGCCAGATCCTCACCGAGAACCTTCTGTGAGTTTCCCAGAGGAGCAGAACCAGAGAGCTCACTCTACAGGGTCCTGTGTGTCTCCCCTTCCACAGGACAGGAAGCCCAGATGGCCTCTCGGGGCTGGGACCTCAGCACGGGTGGACAGTGACTGGGAGGGAACTCCCTGCGGCCGCTCCTGGCCAGGCAGTTAGGGAGGGCAGTGGGGAAAGAGGTGTCACATTGGGGCAGGGAAAGGTGGTCAGCAGCCGCTGCGGGTGGGGGGATCCTGCGGGCCGGGGAGGTCTCTACCAGGAGTTTTCGGAAAAGCCCTGCCACATTATGCCTCACACAAAGTCCTTGTTGTGTCTTTGGGGAAAAAAAAAACAAAGAGAAAATGAAGTTGATATAAATGTATTACTTTGGGAAGAAAGACATTGAGAAATAGTTAAAAATTCTTCTTCCTTGCAGTCGTGAAAGTCAACACCTCAGTGCTCTGCACTGCCTCTCGCGGCTCCTCCCTGGTCCTTGACTGTGACACCAGGCGGATGTGGGGCTGCGGGACCCTGGGCTTGAGTCACACAAGAATGTCTCAGGGCGACCTGAGAGACTCGCAATCATTAAACAAGACCGAGGCACCTCGGCAGGGCGTGGGGCTCACACCTGTGATCTCCAGCTCTGTGGGAGGCTGAGGCAGGTGGATCATGAGGTCAGGAGTTCCAGACCAGCCTGGGCAACATGGTGAAACCACATCTCTACTAAAAACACAAAAATTAGCCGGGCGTGGTGGCGCATGCCTCTAATCCCAGCTACTCAGGAGGCTGAGGCACAAGAATCCTTTGAACCCGGGAAGTCGAGGCTGCAGTGAGCTGAGATTGCAGCACTGCATTCCAGCCTGGGCAACGGAGAGAGAGAGAGACTCCATCTAAAAAAAAAAAAAAAAAAAAAAAAGACCAAGGTGCCAAGGAAGGAGAGAGAACAGAAAGACAATTCTGAACATTAAAAACACAATTCCCAACTAAAACAAAGTCCAAATGGAAGTGCCAACACACAGAAATGCTGCTGCCAAAAACCAGACTGGTCACGTGGACGCTGAAGGACGATCACAGATCTCAGAGCAGAGAGGAGAGGAAGGGAGTCCTCAGTGGTGTGGAAACGTGGACGCTGAAGGACGATCTCAGATCTCAGAGCAGAGAGGAGAGGAGGGGAGTCCTCAGTGGTGTGGAAACATGGACGCTGAAGGACGATCTCAGATCTCAGAGCAGAGAGGAGAGGAGGGGAGTCCTCAGTGGTGTGGAAACATGGACGCTGAAGGACAATCACAGATCTCAGAGCAGAGAGGAGAGGAGGGGAGTCCTCAGTGGTGTGGAAACGTGGACGCTGAATAATGACAGATCTCCGAGCAGAGAGGAGAGGAAGGGAGTCCTCAGTGGTGTGGAAACATGGACGCTGAAGGACGATCTCAGATCTCAGAGCAGAGAGGAGAGGAGGGGAGTCCTCAGTGGTGTGGAAACATGGACGCTGAATAATGACAGATCTCAGAGCAGAGAGGAGAGGAGGGGAGTCCTCAGTGGTGTGGAAACATGGACGCTGAAGGAACGATCTCAGATCTCCGAGCAGAGAGGAGAGGAGGGGAGTCCTCAGTGGTGTGGAAACATGGACGCTGAAGGACGATCTCAGATCTCAGAGCAGAGAGGAGAGGAGGGGAGTCCTCAGTGGTGTGGAAACATGGACGCTGAAAGACGATCACAGATCTCAGAGCAGAGAGGAGAGGAGGGGAGTCCTCAGTGGTGTGGAAACATGGACGCTGAAGGACGATCACAGATCTCAGAGCAGAGAGGAGAGGAGGGGAGTCCTCAGTGGTGTGGAAACGTGGACGCTGAAGGACGATCACAGATCTCCGAGCAGAGAGGAGAGGAGGGGAGTCCTCAGTGGTGTGGAAACATGGACGCTGAAGGAACGATCTCAGATCTCCGAGCAGAGAGGAGAGGAGGGGAGTCCTCAGTGGTGTGGAAACATGGACGCTGAAGGAACGATCTCAGATCTCCGAGCAGAGAGGAGAGGAGGGGAGTCCTCAGTGGTGTGGAAACATGGACGCTGAAGGAACGATCACAGATCTCAGAGCAGAGAGGAGAGGAGGGGAGTCCTCAGTGGTGTGGAAACGTGGACGCTGAAGGACGATCTCAGATCTCAGAGCAGAGAGGAGAGGAAGGGAGTCCTCAGTGGTGTGGAAACATGGACGCTGAAGGACGATCACAGATCTCAGAGCAGAGAGGAGAGGAAGGGAGTCCTCAGTGGTGTGGAAACATGGACGCTGAATAATGACAGATCTCAGAGCAGAGAGGAGAGGAGGGGAGTCCTCAGTGGTGTGGAAACATGGACGCTGAAGGAACGATCTCAGATCTCCGAGCAGAGAGGAGAGGAGGGGAGTCCTCAGTGGTGTGGAAACATGGACGCTGAATAATGACAGATCTCCGAGCAGAGAGGAGAGGAGGGGAGTCCTCAGTGGTGTGGAAACATGGACGCTGAAGGAACGATCACAGATCTCAGAGCAGAGAGGAGAGGAGGGGAGTCCTCAGTGGTGTGGAAACGTGGACGCTGAAGGACGATCTCAGATCTCAGAGCAGAGAGGAGAGGAAGGGAGTCCTCAGTGGTGTGGAAACATGGACGCTGAAGGACGATCACAGATCTCAGAGCAGAGAGGAGAGGAAGGGAGTCCTCAGTGGTGTGGAAACATGGACGCTGAAGGACGATCACAGATCTCAGAGCAGAGAGGAGAGGAAGGGAGTCCTCAGTGGTGTGGAAACGTGGACACTGAATAATGACAGATCTCCGAGCAGAGAGGAGAGGAGGGGAGTCCTCAGTGGCATGGAAATGTGGACACTGAAGGATAATGACAGATCTCAGAGCAGAGAGGAGAGGAGGGGAGTCCTCAGTGGCATGGAAATGTGGACACTGAAGGATAATGACAGATCTCAGAGCAGAGAGGAGAGGAGGGGAGTCCTCAGTGGCATGGAAATGTGGACACTGAAGGATAATGACAGATCTCAGAGCAGAGAGGAGAGGAGGGGAGTCCTCAGAGGTGTGGAAACGTGGACGCTGAAGGACGATCACAGATCTCAGAGCAGAGAGGAGAGGAGGGGAGTCCTCAGCGGCATGGAAACGTGGACACTGAAGGATAATGACAGATCTCACAGCAGAGAGGAGAGGAGGGGAGTCCTCAGAGGTGTGGAAACGTGGACGCTGAATAATGACAGATCTCCAAGCAGAGAGGAGAGGAGGGGAGTCCTCAGCGGCGTGGAAACGTGGACACTGAAGGATAATGACAGATCTCACAGCAGAGAGGAGAGGAGGGGAGTCCTCAGAGGTGTGGAAACATGGACGCTGAAGAATAATGACAGATCTCAGAGCAGAGAGGAGAGGAGGGGAGTCCTCAGTGGTGCAGAGCCTTGAGCCTGGAGACACGTGATCATCTGCTGGGATTTCAGAAGAGGAAGGTGGAGAGTACATGAGAGAAACAGTGAGGAACTTTGAGAAGACAGAAGCCTTCAGCTTAACACTGCACCGAGGGCCTGAAAGGACAACTGGAAAAGGAAATACATCCATGCCAGTGAAAACATGAACCACAGGATACAGAGCAAAATCCTACACAAGTTCTCAGGAGAAAACAAGAGATTAATTACAACATATGAATACCTACACATTGTACTGCATCCGTGTTTTAAAACAATACAACATAAAACAATTCTTCAAGTTCTGAGAGCATTTTAATCTAAAATGGACCTGGCCAAAGGACAAAGTTTGAGAGAAAGCAGATACTTTTGGGACATGTGAATATTCAAAGTACACCAACAATTAATCATTTCCAAAAGAATCATGGAAAGAATAGTACCCTGACAAATTATCACAGTTAAACATTGTGAGTCAATTGATCTAAAATTATATCTACATTAAATCCAAAACAAAACAAATCTATGTGACAGACGACAGAGCCATGAATCTGTGCAACTGGCCGCAGGCGCAGAGTCTTGGGGACGGGCTGTTCTGCAGAGCCGTGCACAGGGGCATGGGAACCGCAAGCTCACCAGCCACAGACGTCTCCGCACGGGATCCGCACGGGCGCAGGACAGCCACACCACCCAGCAGCAGGCGCAGGTGATCACCTCAAGGAGGACGGCGAGGGCAGGGCAGGGCAGGGGAGGAGGGTACAGACCTCAAGACAGCCATGGAAGATGCCAGGACAGCTCCTTCCCTTCAATTCACACTCAGCCTCCATCCCACCATGGCCTGTGAGAACCCTCACACACCACACACACACACCACACAGACCACACCCACATGCCACACACTGTGTGGTGTGTTTCTGGTTGGCATCTGGTACGTGTCGTGTGGTGCACGTGCAGTGTGTGGTGTGTGGTGTGTGGGGGGGGGTCAGAGGGGGACGAGGACACACTCAGGGTCCAGAGGGGGACAAGCCCCACACAACACACACACCACAGAACACACAACAGACTACACTCCACACACCACACAACACACACACACCAGACACCACACATCACATACAGCGCACAACACATACCACAGTACCACACCACACACTGCACACAGCACACATACCACACACCACACATATCACCACACACAGCCCACCTCACATACCACATAGTATACAGCACACACCACACATCACCACATACCACACCACATACACCACACACCACACCATACACACTAAACAACACACCACATGTCCGTACACAACATACCAATGTCTGTACACTACACATGCACATGTACCACACACCACACAGCAAACACATACCACCCACACACACTTCACACCACACTGCAAACACATACAGAACACACACACATACACACACATTTGTACCACATATGCACTACACGCCACACAAACCACACACACCATACTCGCACCACACACACGCACCACACGACACGTACCAGACGCCAACCAGAAACATACCACACACCACACAGGCACCACACACACCACACACTGCACGTGCACCACACGACACGCACCAGACACCACACACACACCACACACCATATAGGCACCACATGCCACACACACCAGATGCTGCATACCACACACCACACACAGAACACATTGCACATCACACACACTGCACAGACCACATACTCCAAACCCCCCAGAAAATACCACACACACCACAGTGCACACACTCCCACACACAATTCAATTCAAGTGAAAGGAACATCTGTGTGTCTTGACACAGAAGACATGTAACGTTTGGTTGAGGAAGCTGGCATGGCTGAGGCAGGATGGGCACCCCGTGATTGATGCCACACGATGCCCAGAGAACTCACTGTGCTGTGTGGTGGGTTTGGGAAGTTGGCATGACTGAGGCTGATGCCACCCCCCACCATTTTATGACACCAGACTGATGCCCGGGGAACTCGCCATTCTGCCCAGGGCTGCAGCACAATCCTGCATGGTGAACCCAGGCGTCTCTTGTCTGCCCCCATCTATGAATGGGGTGACAGCCCCCTTCCCTGACTGGGCCTCCCTCTACAACACCGCACGTGAGAACCAGCCTTACACGGACCCCAGAGAACACAGGTGCCCATCCCACCCTCTCAGGCCTTTAAGACGCCATGGTCTCCCAGGTCTTTCCTGCTCACACGCATGTATATGACACTGTGGTCCTGAGTCTGTCCTCCTCATCCCCGTTCCCGCCTTTATGACACTGTGGTACCTGAGTCTGTCCTGACCCTGTCCCTGCCCTTGACAATGTGGTCCCCCTGAGCATGTCCTCACACCCCTCATCCCCCTCCCAACCCCGAGCGTGTCCTCAACCCCCTCCCGACCCCGAACATGTCCTCGTCCCCCTCCTGCCCCCAAGCATGCCCTCATCCTCCTCCGGACCCCAAGCGTGTCCTCATCCCCCTCCCGCCCCCGAGCGTGTCCTCATCCCCCTCTGGACCCCAAGCGTGTCCTCGTCCCCCTCCCGCCCCCAAGCGTGTCCTCATCTCCCTCTGGACCCAGAGCATGTCCTCGTCCCACTCCAGACCCCGAGCGTGTCCTCATCCCCCTCCTGACCCTGAGCGTGTCCTCGTCACACTCCGGACCCCGACCGTGTCCTCATCCCCCTCTGGACCCCGAGTGTGTCCTCAACCCCCTCCCGACCCCGAGCATGTCCTCGTCCCCCTCCTGACCCTGAGCGTGTCCTTGTCTGCTTCCAGACCCTGAGTGTGTCCTTGTCCCCCTCTGACCCCCGAGTGTGTCCTCATCCTCCTCAGGACCTGCTCAGCCATGCTTACTCCGAGGGGAGCCTTGGATGCCACCCCACCTTGGCGAAACCTCCCAGTACCCTACTCCCCGCAGTGGAAACGTCTTCTCTGAGCCCCACATGAGACACAGCCTCACAGCCTGAGCCCCGGACAGCCTTGCTGTGTTCCATTTACTGCTTGACTCCTTAAGGAGTGCAGGGATTGCATCTGCCTTCTGGGAACACGGGAAGGTGAGCCCCCACTTACCTTACCGCCAAAACTCGCAGGTCCTCGTCTCACAGGTCAGGAAAAGAGCAAGGGAGGCCACGTCCATTGCAGGTCAGGGACAAAGAGCAAGAGAGGCCATGTCCATCGCAGGTCAGGGACAAAGAGCAAGGAACAATCAGTCCCTGCCCTTGACAATGTGGTCCCCCTGAGCATGTCCACTCCAGAAGTGAGAAGTGAGTGGCATCCCTGGTTGTCATGGCAGCCACAGAACCCAGGACACCTCATAAAGCCATGGTGGTTGGGAGGAAGCAGAGCAAGGGGGCATGAGGAGGGAGGAAAAACATGAAACCAACTCGGGTGTAGGTGAAAGAAAACGTCAACAGTGGTCCATTTCCAGGACAAGGTGCCTTGAACTGGCCTAGGTCAGCGAACTCCAGAAGCCTGCTTGTTGGCCTCCCCTCTGTGCCTTCCCACCTTCCCACCTTCCCACCCATCTAGTTGCCCTCACCTGAACCAAAGTAGTTTAATGTCAAAACTCACTAGCCGGCAAAATAGCTCCTTTTATCTGTTCTTATCAGCCTGCCAGCGACTTAGGTCATAAGCCAAATACCTGAAGAGCCCCGGAGCTGACTGGGATTGCAGTGCTTTGTGGGGGGCAACGAAATGCAGTGGTACACCCCTAAAACAAACACCTAATGCCCCTGCCCAACAGCTAACAGGCGAGGTCTGGGAAGACTGCGGCAACCTTCAAGGTACTCAGCCTATGAGGAACCAGGGGAGGGGCCCACACATGAGGGGATCAATGGCGTGTTTCTGACCCAGCGGGACATGCCTGCCACTCCCACACCCGGTCCTGCAAAACCATAATTAAAAGTCTCGCTTTGCTGTTCTCCAGGTCTGGGAGTCCGTTCTTTGGGTGTGAACAGCTGAGTCTGTTCTCACAGTAGGGCACTGCTCCGGCCCTGCCTCGTGGGGGCGGGGGCAGGGGATGGTGGGGGCAGGGGCAGGGGCAGGGGCAGGGGCAGGGTAGGAGTGGGGCACTCTGAATCAGAGCCGCCTCCGCTGCCGCCCACCGTGAGTGATGCCCCAAACACTAGACGCAAGCACTGGTGCAGGGAGAGGAAAGAAAAGCTTTATGTTGAAAGTTGACCCCCAGGGAGACAGAAATCCCACTCAAATCCACCTCCCTGCGCTGTGCTGGGTTCAAGGCACTATTGCTACGGCCAAAGTCTCAGGGTAGATTCTGAGATTGGTGGCTGACGGATGGAAGGAAAGGGAAGGCCTGGAAAGCCCCTGGACCTGGGCGGTTCTCTTCATGCTGCCTCATGGACCACATGGCAAATTCGGGCAGACTTACCATGAAGCACATGTGACATTCAGGCTGTGACATCAGCGAGCTGGTTCTGGGCAAATGCACTGGCTCCATTTTTCCTTAATCTCACAAGCGGAGGGAGTCTCTGCATTTGAGCAAGTTGTTTCATTGGCAGTCCTGTAAGCTCAGGACTTCAGTCACTGCCTTAACTCGGGGCACAGTTTCACCAGGACCCACGCCAGGGAAGGGACTCTCCTGAGAAGGGTCAGCCTGTTTAACGGCATCCCCTCCTGTCCCTGCCGCCCCATCCCTCAGAACTCGAGGCACTTCCAGTTCCCCTGGGCGGGGGTCTCCAAGGACTCCTATCTGAGTGCCTCTGATGCCGGCCAGCTGCTGACATTGCCTTTGGGGCGAGGACAGGAAGGTGGGTAGGGATGAAACAAACACCCCATCTTGTAGCCTGGAGTGGCTATGAAGAGTCTCTACCAAAGGTTTTCTTGCCAAACTCAGGAACACTGGCTTTTATTCACCAAGGTCTGAAGTTAATGTCCCCTGACACCTGCAGGTATCCTGGCCCCAATGTGGTCTAAAAATTGAGTCAAACACCCTCCAACACCCTTGCACACGCCCACCTGCACGCCCAGGCTTTGTCCTCATGTGCTGCTATAACAGAATACCGGAGAAAGCATCATTTCAAAGAACAGAATCTGTCCGGGCGCGGTGGCTCACACCTGTATTCCAGCACTTTGGGAGGCCGAGGCGGGTGGATCACGAGGTCAAGAGATCAAGACCATCCTGGTCAACATAGCGAAACCCCGTCTCTACTAAAAAAAAAACAATACAAAAAATTAGCTGGACCTGGTGGTGCGTGCCTGTAATCCCAGCTACTCGGGAGGCTGAGGCAGGAGAATTGCCTGAACCCGGGAGGCAGATGTTGCGGTGAGCCGAGATTGCGCCATTGCTCTCCAGCCTGGGTAACAAGAGCGAAACTCTGTCTCAAAAAAATAAAAAAAAATTAAAAAATTTAAAAAAAAAAAGAATAGAATCTTATCTCTTGCCGTTCTGAAGGCTGGAAGCATAAGATTCAGAAGCCAACAGGTCTGCTGTCTGGTCAAGGCTATGCTCAGCTTCCAAGGTGGCATCTTTCTGCAGCATCCTGCAGAGGGGACGGATGCTCTGTCCTCACGTGGAGGGTGGGAGGGTGAGAGGACCCTGCTGCCTGAGACCTGGTCTGCAAGGACCCTCATCCCCTTCACAGGCTAACCTCTCCTAACACCATCACCTCTCCTAAATTTTGGTGAAGACAAAAACCACAGCACACTCACTCACACACCCCCACTGCTCACACTATACACCAGGCAATAGCACACCCACACACCGATACCTGTACCCCATATGCACCTGCACACCCTCATACCTGTACCCCACATATACCTGCACACCCCATACCTGCACCCCATATACACCTGCACACTCCCATACCTGCACCCCATATACACCTGCACACCCCATACCTACATCCCAAAAACACCTGCACACCCCCATACCTGCACCCCAAACACACCTGCACACCCCCATACTTGCACCCAATATACACCTGCACACCCCCATACCTGTACCCCATATACACCTGCACACCCCCATACCTGTACCCCACATACACCTGCACATCCCATACCTGCACCCCAAACACACCTGCACACCCCCATACCTGCACCCGATATATACCTACACACCCCAGACCTGCACCCCACATACACCTGCACACCCCATACCTGCACCCCATATACACCTGCACACCCCCTACCTGCACCCCATATACACCTGCACACCCCCATACCTGCACCCCATATACACCTGCACACCCCCATACCTGCACCACATATAAACCTGCACACCCCATACCTGCACCACATATAAACCTGCACACCCCATACCTGCACCCCATATACACCTACACACCCCATACCTGCACCCCATATACACCTGCACACCCCATACCTGCACCCCACACCTGCACACTCCATACCTGCACCCCATATACAGCTGCACACCCCATACCTGCACCACATATACACCTGCACACCCCCATACCTGCACCCCATACACCTGCACACCCCCATACCTGCACCCATATACCTACACACCCCAGACCTGCACCCCACATACACCTGCACACCCCATACCTGCACCCCATATACACCTGCACACCCCATACCTGCACCCCATACACCTGCACACTCCCATACCTGCACCCCATATACACCTGCACATTCCCATACCTGTACCCCAAACACACCTGCACATATCCCCACCTGCACCCCACATACACCTACACACCCCAGACCTGCACCCCACATACACCTGTACACCCCCATACCTGCACCCCATATACACCTGCACACCCCCATACCTGCACCCCATATACATCTGCACACCCCATACCTGCACCCCATATACACCTACACACCCCAGACCTGCACCCCACATACACCTGCACACCCCATACCTGAACCCCATATACACCTGCACACCCCATACCTGCACCCCAAACACCTGCACACATCCCCAACTGCACATGTACCCCATATACACTTGCACACCACCATACCTGCACCCCAAACACACCTACACACATCCCCACCTGCACCTGCACCCCATTCACACCACACACACCCCATCATACACACTACACACCCCATCATCCACACCTGCACAACCCCCCTCACTTGTACCCCAACACCTACACACACCTCCCCACCTACAGCCCATGCACACTTGCACCCCCTGCCCACAGACTGAGGGTCTCAGAGGAGACCCTTTGCCCCTCCTCTGCCTCCAGATTCAGAACAGGAAGCTATGAGCTCGGGGAGGACTGACAAGGGTCCAAGGTTCACAGCTGGTGGGGCAGGCTCAGCCTAGGGTAGCTCTAGGTGATGGGGCATCTGCTTCAGTTTCCACATCCGAAACAAGGCCCTGAGGGCACCGCAGGGTGAGCAGATGCTGCGTCCCACACAGCAGGTCCCACCACCCTCCTGCTTCCTGGCTGAGACGCGCACAAGCTCACAGGGCGCTGGCTAAGGGTGCATGGCTGCAGGCCCTCATGCCCTAGTCTGCAGGTGGGGGTGCACAGCTGCGGGCCCTCATGCCCCAGTCTGCAGGTGGGGGTGCACGGATGCGGGCCCTCACGCCCCAGTCTGCAGGTGGGGGTGCACGGATGCGGGCCCTCACGCCCCAGTCTGCAGGTGGGGGTGCACGGATGTGGGCCCTCACGCCCCAGTCTGCAAGTGGTCTGTCACTGCCGCCCTCTGCTCCCAGTTGCCTCCCTGTCCCCTGCCCAGGTTCTGCCCAGGGAGCCAGCGTGGCAGTGGTGGTGGCTGCCCCAGCCTGCACAAGGGAAGTTGGAGCCACACCCCCAGCTGTCCCCCAGGCTCAGACACAGCCATGCCTGCGGAGCCTACCTGAAAAGCTCTTGTGTCTTGTCAGAGACACAGGTATGGCGGTCTTTTCACCTCTCCGCCTCTTCTGGCCTCAACGTGAGATGGCTGTCACAGCAGCAGCAACTGTGTGATGAGGGAAGGGTCCATGGACCAGAGACATGCTGAGCCCAGCCCCTACCCCTTTCACCATGGTGGCTCTGCACCCTGGCACATGGGCTTGGGGACATCCAAAGGTGGTATACCCGCAAAAGTGGGAAGGGGGCCCACGGGCTGCCAGCCAGAGCAGAGGCTGCTGGAATCCTGGGAGACCATGCATAGCTCCCCCCTGGGAGCTCTGGCCACCACCAGGGCCCTCTAAGTCAGGCAGGTCAGCTGGCCAGGGTTGCCTGCATCTGTGCAGCCCAAGGGGAGTAGGAAAAGCCCTGGCCTCTACACCCCATTCCCATTTCCTGACCCAAGGGGTCATCGGCCTGTAGGCCGCCTGTAGGCCTCTTCCAAGACGCCCCCTCACCACACACTCACGCAAGCCTGCCACAACTTGGCCAAGTGGCAGCTACTGCCCAGTGCCCCTACTGGGACCCTGTGGACCAACAATACCACCCAGAGGGACAGCCAGTCTCGGGGGCCTTAGGGAGCAGGAACAAAGGCCAGACCCCCAGGAAGGGGGCAGGGCTGCTGCCTCCCGTGGCTCAGCACTACCTGTGGGCTGTACCTGACTTGCCCCAGGAACTGCTTCAGAGCGAGCCTAGAGCCCAGAGGACGGCCGCCCATGCCTGCCCCACCACGAGGCAGGCTGCGTCATCACAAGGCAGGCTCCTTTGTGCTGCTGTAATAGAATGCCTGAGACTGGCTAACTTGAAAGAAACAAGGTTTATTTAGCTCATGGTCCTGGAGCTGGAAAGTTGAAGCCAGGGCCCCAGCATACGGCGAGGGCTCCTCCAATCACAGCAGGTACAGAGGGGAATTCAGAGCTTGGATGAAGGAAGCCCATTCCACAGCAACCCGCTCTCAGGAGCCAAATTGTTCCTGAGCCCAAGCTCCCCAAGGCCGTACCCCAGGACCCATCTGTGGAAAACGTCTGTCCTGTTAGCCCAAGCTCCCCGAGGCCATATCCCGGGACCCGTCTGCGGGAAGCGTCTGTCCTGTTAGCCCAAGCTCCCTGAGGCCATACTCTGGGACCCGTCTGCGGGAAGCGTCTGTCCTGTTAGCCCAAGCTCCCTGAGGCCATATCCTGGGGCCCATCTGCAGGAAGCGTCTGTCCCGTTAGCCCAAGCTCCCCGAGGCCATATCCCGGGACCCGTCTGCGGGAAGCGTCTGTCCTGTTGAGGTAATCCTGGCCTCTGGAGCCCTGGTGGAAGAGGGCATGGCACACCACCGCACCGAACTTGGGACTCCGGATGCTGCCTTTCCCAGCCTCCGTGCAGCCAGGGCACCCTCCCAGAATTGGGGTGGGGTGCAGAGCCTGCAGGCAGCTGTAGGAATGGTGCATGTGGCAGCATCCAGGGCCAGGATGGTGGCTGCAGCTCTGCCGACGCCCATGGGGCCTGCTTCCTGCACAGTCCAGGCTGTGCCCAATGTCTGAGCCCTGTTCACAAACTCTTCCTGTGAGTCCATTGCTGTGGCTTCATCATGCTGTCCAGAGGCAATGGCTTCGGATCCCCTTCCACCAGGCCCAGGAGAGACTTGAGAACCCTTACCCAGGCCACACAGAGCACCGGTCACCCCGCTCGCCACTGTCAATAGCCAGCGAGGGTCAGCCCCGTGGCTGCATGTTGTCAGAGCCCAGCCACTGCATGCTGGACACGACCCCCAGGGCTTTTTCAGTCACAAACGCCTGTGTTCCCAGGATGACTGAGGTCCCATCTGCGCCCGGCCTCTGGAAGGTGTGGCTTCTTAACTTGGTCCTGGAGCAGGGCACCCTGCAGGAGGTGCTGCTGGGTGCACAGGAGCACCAACATCCCTGTGGGCATGACAGCGGGGCCAGAGGACCACTCCCCAGCTGGCGGGACACAGCACCCTCCATGCAGGGAGCGGTCAGGCATGCTTCGGCGCTGTCTTGTGACTGGGGCCATGCTCAGGATACTCTGCAGAGATTAATATCAATGGGCACCCAGTAAACACACCCGGTCAGGAAACGTTATGGACACGGAACCTCCATGGTAACAGGAAGGCAGAACACACTCCTTTCTCAGGCTCACCAGTTACACAGAAAACGGGAGCAGCCCTCACCCCAGCCTGGCCCAGTGCTCCCACTGGCCTCTGCCAGGCCCCAACCACGGCCTGCCTGGGAAACACACACTATGTCAGGAACACAGGACTGACGTGGAATGAGGCCAGACACGCTGACGTCTGTGCCTCCCAAGACTGACCCCAGAACAGTGGTGTCTACAACGGCAGCAACTAGGGCTGGACCCACACATGATGCTCACACTGCAGGCAGCTCTGCAGCCTGGATACCCTTCACGTGTGACTCCACTCCTCAGGTCTCACGGGGCTGTGGACAGGAACTCTCTGCAGCCTGACCACGGGTTCACAGGGCTATGGACAGGGATACCCTTCACGTGTGACTCCACTCCTCAGGGCTCACGGGGCTGTGGACAGGGACACGCTTCACGTGTGACTCCACTCCTTGGGGCTCACGGGGCTGTGGACAGGGACACGCTTCACGTGTGACTCCACTCCTCGGGGCTCAAGGGGCTGTGGACAGGGACACGCTTCACATGTGACTCCACTCCTCGGGGTTCACGGGGCTGTGGACAGGGACTCTGCAGCCTGACCACGGGTTCACAGGGCTGTGGACAGAAACACGCTTCACGTGTGACTCCAGTCCTCAGGGCTCATGGGGCTGTGGACAGGGACACGCTTCACGTGTGACTCCACTCCTCGGGGCTCACGGGGCTGTGGACAGGGACACGCTTCACGTGTGACTCCACTCCTCGGGGCTCAAGGGGCTGTGGACAGGGACACGCTTCACGTGTGACTCCACTCCTCGGGGCTCATGGGGCTGTGGACAGGGACACGCTTCACGTGTGACTCCACTCCTCGGGGCTCACGGGGCTGTGGACAGGGACACGCTTCACGTGTGACTCCACTCCTCGGGGCTCAAGGGGCTGTGGACAGGGACACGCTTCACGTGTGACTCCACTCCTCGGGGCTCAAGGGGCTGTGGACAGGGACACGCTTCACATGTGACTCCACTCCTCAGGGTTCACGGGGCTGTGGACAGGGACTCTCTGCAGCCTGACCACGGGTTCACAGGGCTGTGGACAGAAACACGCTTCATGTCTGACTCCAGTCCTCAGGGCTCATGGGGCTGTGGACAGGGACACGCTTCACGTGTGACTCCACTCCTCGGGGTTCACGGGGCTGTGGACAGGGACTCTCTGCAGCCTGACCACGGGTTCACAGGGCTGTGGACAGGGACTCTCTGCAGCCTGACCACGGGTTCACGGGGCTGTGGACAGTGACTCTCTGCAGCCTGACCACGGGTTCACGGGGCTGTGGACAGGGACTCTGCTGACACGATACCACAGACAATTCATGACCATGATCTCCCCGGGGCTGCTTCCTGCAGGCCAAAGGGGACAAGATAAAAGTCCTTGTCTGATGACAAAAACTCCACACATGCAAATGAAAACTTAAAAAGAAAACAACAACAGCTGAAGCTGGCCCAGAGCTAGGTCTTGGCAGAGGCCGCAGGCTCTGGAGACTGAAGAAACTCATAGGGGTCGTGGGTTACGTCTGGCTGCTCCCCGACACTCAGGTGAGAAGGGCTGCCTGCAATTTTCAGAACACAGGACTTCAATACACAGGACAGACCCACAGCATGCATGAGCCCAGTGACTGCCCCATGACCACTGCCAGGACACGGGGCACCTCACTCACCCCCAGGGAGGGCTGTGTCTGGAGAGCTGGAGCAAGGGGCCGGCCTGACCCTGCATACATCACCAATGCTGCTCCTGAAGGGGAGAAGGCTCCTCGGCCAGGGGTCCCGCAGACACAGCCCAGACCCCAGGGCAGCTCCCTCAAGGCATACTGGGATTTCGGGGCCCTCTAACTTTGACCCACGGCCCTCCAGGGCCTGCTCCATGCACTGCTAATGCCCTGATCATGAGGTTAATAGGACCAAAAATACCGGTCCTTTTCCAGACAGTTGGAGCTAAACCTCTGTAGCTGAAAAACTGTCAAGATTCACTCTGCTGAAAGAGTGATTCAGTGCTTATACGTGAGAACAAAAAACCCCAAAAAACCGCTCCAGAACACGTGGCCAAGGAAGCCACTCTCCCTGCAGCAGAAACGCTGGAACCACAGTCCACAGACGCCACAGGGGTCAACAGAGCTGAGGACGGAATCTAGCAGAAAGCCTGTCATCCAGCATCCAGCCAGCCCAGCAACCCAGCTCCTGCTCTGCACCTTGAGGCTGGGACCGGATGTCTGTGGATACAGGCACGGACTGCCCGTCACAGAACTAACCGAACTCCACAACAACCCAGCGGACTCCACAGCCTCCAGCTTTTCTGCAACTCAAAGGCTGCCTACTGCCTTGTCAACATGCCACACGGACTGTGCTGGGGTCTCTGGGGACCCGGCATGGGTGCGGGCGTCTTACCCAGGTGGTGCTGGTCCCTCTCGGAGGCGTTGGACAGGGAGCTGAGGTTGGACGAGGGCCGAGAGCCGCCACGCTCCGCTTGGGCTTCCTGCAGGTCCTGAAGGAGCTTGGTCGTCTCATCCAAGTTCAAGTGGCTGTCGTCGGGGTCCAGCTCCTTCTTCACCTTCCCTGCGTCAACACAGAAACAACCACGTCGGCTGAGCTCAGGAGCACACTGGCTGTCCCGATCTGACCTCTCCACTCAGGACAGTGATTGCTCTGGAAGTGGAGTGGGACGAGCTCACAGCAGACCAGTGGACAAGCCTAGAGGACGGACATTACCCTCGTCAGTGAGCGGAAGGGAAGGCAGACACCCAGGGTCCTCTGCTAAGCAACGCGTCTGCCAAGACCCAGCACCGCACAAAGTCATGCCACACACAGACTCCGTGGAGGGCTCCAGCCACAACCCAGGATGGGCCTGTCCTCAACATACGGAGGCCGGACAGCTGGATGGAGGGTGCAAGAGGCCTGCAGACACTGGCACCCACCCAGCTCACCGTGGAGCAGGCTGCAGGCCACAGTCACAGTGGACCCAGCACATCCAGCTGAGAGGCAGAAAGGACGGGCTCCCTAGAGAGCTCCCGGCCCCCTCCTGGACTGTGCGCTGGACATGCCAAGAGCCTGCACACAGGTCTCTGGTGACCCAAGCCCCACCAGCCAGGCCATCCAGTCAAGCCTGGGACCCACCCAGCTCACCGTGGAGCAGGCTGCAGGCCACAGTCACAGTGGACCAGGTGCAGCCTGACAGGGGCCTGGCTTTACCCTCTGCTGGGGAGGCTCTGGGCTTATCCTGACAATGCCTGGGGAAGGTCCCACAGAGTCTGAGCCACTTCTCAGACTCAGAACAAAGGCCACCAGGTCTCAAAGGTGTGTAAGCAGACCCACCACCCCACCGCGTCAACTACAAACTCCACCTGGCATCCAGTACACAATCCACACACACACAAAGGGGCAGGAAGACACAGCCCCAAACCAGGAGAGAATCAGAAGACAGGGTGAGAACGGTACTACAGGCGTGCTCCACGTTTCGAGAGGTGGAGGACACTGACTGTGAGGCAGGAAGGGAAGACAATGCGGGAAGCCAGCGGAGTTTCGAGATGAACAGAAACAAGCATCTGCAGCAAAAGCCCCATGGAGCAGGCCGGCCACAGATCACCCACGAGAGGGCACGGGCGACAGACACAGCCTCGGTCCAGGACGCGGGCAGGGGCCACACATGGAACCAGAGTCCCAGAGAACAGGTGCGCTGGTGATGTGGAAGAAACCGTAGCCGGAATGTCTGCATTTGGTCCAGGCTATAACTCCGCTGGCCCACCCAGAGGGCAGGAGCGCAGGCTGTGGTCACAGGAGGGTGGCACCCCCCCATCCGTGTGGAACCTCTCACTCAGGACAGCATTTGGCCTGCGAAGCTAAACAAACCCAAGGATAACAGACCTAAAGAAAAGCAATCGATGCAATATGGTCTGGCTCAGGGTCCCCACCCAAGTCTCATGTCTAATTTCCCCATGTTGGGGTAGGAGCCTGGTGAGAGGCTGAATTTCCTCCTTGCTGTTTTCATGAGATCTGGTGTTTAAAAGTACGTGGCAGCATCCCCTTCTCTCTCCCTCTCTATCCTGCTTCTCCGCCTTCCACCATGACTGCAAGTTTCCTGAGGCTTCCCCAGCCATGCCTCCTGTGTAGCCAGTGGAACTGCTTTTCAGGAGAAAAATCAATTGTACTGCTTTTCTTCATAAATCATCCAGTCTCGGGTAGTTCTTTATAGCAGTGCAAGTACAGACTAATACAAAAAACTTGTAATGAAATGTGGGGCATTGCTATGAAGATACCTGAAAACGCTGAAGCAGCTTTGGAACTGGGTAACAGGCAAAGGTTGGAACAGTTTGGAGAGCTTGAGGACAGGAAGGTGACGGCAAGTTTGGAACGTCCTAGAGACTTGCAGAATGGCTGTAATTCAAATGCTGACAGTAATATGGACAGTGAAGTCCAGGCTGAGGTGGTCTTGGAGATGAGGAACTCACTGGGAACTGAAGCAAAGGTCACTCTTGCTGTACTGTAGCAGAGACTGGCAGCACTGTGCCCATGCTCTAGAGATCTGTGAACTTTGAACTTGAGAGAGATGAATTTAGGGCACCTGATGGAAGACACTTCTAAGCACCAAAATGTTCAAGAGGTGGCCTGGCCACTTCTAAAAGTCTATGCATGAAGAAAACAGTGACCTGAAACGGGAACTTACATTTAAAAGGGAAGCAAAAGTTTGGAAAATTTGCAGCCCAGCATTGTGGTAGAAAAGAAAAACCCCTTTTCTGGGAAGGAATTAAAGAGGGCTGAAGACATTTGTTAAGTAAAGAGGACCCCAAATGTTAGTAGCCAAGACAACGGAGAAAATACCTCAGGGGCATTTCAAAGATCTTGCACAGCCCCTCCCATCACAGGCCTGGAGGTTTAGGAGGGAAAAATGGTTTTGTGGGCCAGGCCCAGGGACCCACTGCTCTGTGTAGCCTTGGGACATGGTGCCATGGTGCCCTGTGCCCCAGCATGGCTAAAAGGGACCAAGGTACAGCTTGGGCCAATGCTTCAGTGGGTACAAGCCCCAAGCCTTGGCAGCTTCCACATGGTGGCAGAAAGCAAGAGGTGAGGTTTGGGAGCCTCTGCTTAGATTTCAGAGATCTATGGAAAAGCCAGGGTGTCCAGGCGGAAGTCTGCTACAGGGGTGGGGCCCTCATGGAGAACCTCCGCTAGGGCACTGCAGAGGGGAAATGTGGGGTTGCAGCCCACACACAGAGTCCCCATTGGGGCACTGCCTAGTGGAGCTGTGAGAAAAGGGCCATCATCCTCCAGAACCCAGAATGGTAGATTTGACAGCTTGACAGCTTGAACCAAGCATCTAGAAAAGCTGCAGGCACTCAACACCAGCCCAAGAAAGCAGCCACAGGAGCTGTACCCTGCAGAGACACAAGGGTGGGGAGCCCATCCCTTGCATCAGTGTGGCCTAGATATGAGACAAGGGAATAAAACAGATTATTTTGGAGCTTTAAGATATAATGAGCACCGTGCCGGGCTTCAGATTTGCACAGGGCCTTTGTTTTGGCTGATTTCTCCCTCTTGACATGGGTCTACTTACCTAATGCCTGTACCGATTTGTATCCTGGAATTAACTAACTCCTTTTTGATTTTACAGGTTCACAGGCAGAAGGAACTTGCCTTTTCTCTGATGAATCTTTGGACTGTGGACTTCTGAGTTAATGCTAGAATGAGTTAAGACTTTGGTGGACTGTTGGGAAGGCATGTGTTTTGAAATGTGAGAAAGACAAGAGATTTGGGAGGGGACGGGGGCAGAATGATATCATTTGGCTCTGCATTCCCACCCAAATCCCATGCTGAATTGTAATTCCTGATGTTGGGAGAGGTTCCTGGTGGAAGGTGACAGGATTGTGGGGCTGGCTTTCCCCACTGCTGTTCTCTGTTCCTGTGATCGTGAGTGACTTCTCGTGAGATCTGGGTTTTTAAAAGTACTTCCCCCTCTGTGCTCTCTCCTGCTCCGCCATGTGAAGACATGCATGCTTTTCCTTCATCTTCCGCCGATTGTAAGTTTCCTGAGACCTCCCAGCCACGCCTCCTGTAGAGCCTGAGAAACTGTAAGTCAATTAAACCTCTTTTCTTCACCAATTACCAGTCTCAGGTGGTGCTTTGTAACAGAGTGAGGACAGACTAATACACCATAGCACATCAGCACCAAGCTGCTGAAAAGTAATAATAAGGACAAGATCTCAGAAGCACTGAGAAAAACAGCTGCTGTGCAGAAAAGTGCTGTCACAGTAGCCTGGGGCCAGGGTCCCCTAGAAGGCAAGGCCACCCAACGCGGGCAGCAGGGGTCCCACCCAGTGCTAGGAGTATTCATAGCTCCAGCTACAGAACCAGGGTGGTTTATGCTAAAGCTCATCTTCCCTCTGGGATCTGGATTTTGGTACCTGCCTGACAAGGGGGTACCCTATGTGATCAGACCCCAGTGATCCTAGGCATGAAAGCCTCTGATGAGCTTCCCTGGCAGGCTTTGCACACGTGTTGTCACAACTCATTCCTAAGAATTAAACATATCCTATGTCCCTATGCTGGGAAGGGTTGGGCCTCACGCTAAATTCCCTGGGTGTCACCTGAACTCTTGTCCCTATGCTGGGAGGGGTCTGGGCCTCACTCTGGATTTCCCTGGGTGTCACCTACGCTCTTGTCCCTATGCTGGGAGAGGTCTGGGCCTCATGCTGGATTCCCTGGGTGTCACCTGCACTCTTGTCCCTATGCTACTGTTGGTGCCCTTTCCCTACAATAAATCATGGCCCTAAGTGCCAGAATAGAGCCAGCAGAGGCAGATGCAATGTCACCATGTGAACTAGGGGGATGTGTGGCTCCAGGCACCACAGACGCTGTTGGCAGTCAGAACAGCTGGGAGGCTTTGCACAGGCTGCCGTGTAGCTCCCAGAGGAGGGCTCCATCTCCAGGAATGTGCCCCCGCCCCACCCGATGCCAGGCTGGGGTCCGTGCTTCTGACTGAGCAGCTATAAAATGGGGTTCTCACAATACCTTACTTGAGTTCTATGAATTTGCTACTGTGACTCACAGAAGTCATGGCAACATCTGTAAGATTAAAATTCTAAGACCCACGGATCCAACGGATTCCCACTCTTGGCCAAGGGTGCTCCAAATTGAGTCTGGAAAGTGGTTCAGGCCATGGCGTGAAGCGGGACTGGACTTGCCTCTTTATCCTTCCATTTTGGAACTCAGGCACCGCTGATCAGCAGTAACATTAAACAGAGATCTTAACACTGAGAAAGCGGACCCTCTGTGGTCACAAGACACCACATTCCAACCCAACTCTAGTGCAGCATCACGCAACAGATGGCAGCCCCGAAAGAAACTCAAGTATTTTACCTCAAAATGTATTTCTCTGACATATTTTGAAATGGCTGCAAAGCTGTCTCTTGTGGGGGAAATGTACATTCGGGAGATCTCCTTCCCCTTCCAAGTCTCTTCCTGACCCAGGAGAGACGTAACCAACAATCCTTTCAGGAGCTGAGGAGTGACGCTGACCATCTACTCCATTCTTTTCGAAGCCTGCGACCTGAAGGCTTCATCTATGTGACAAGAACCTTGGCTTCCACAGCCCCTTGTCTTAACCACACGCACACTTCTCGATGACTTCCGCTCTTCAGAGCTCAACCAAATGCCAATCAGGATATCTCTGAATCCACCAATGACCTGAAGTTCCTCGCTTCAAGCTGTCCTACCTTTCCATCATGAGCCAATGTTAACACCTGACACATACTGATGGATGCCCTGCCTCCCTGGAACACATGAAAAGCCCAGACCTCTGGGCAAATGCTCTCAGGACCTCTTGGGACTGTGCCACAGCCACAGTCTTCGTATTTGACTCAGAATAAACCTCTCTAAATACTCTGCAGAGTCTCACTCTTTTCTGTCAGCACACTGGACTTACATTTACCCATTTACTACGCGGAGTGTCACCTAGGGTACAGATGAGCCCCGGGTGGGAGCGATGCAGAGAGAACCGTGGGAAGGGGATGCCTTCTTCCTGGAGCCTCAAGGCATCCAGCACTGAGGCAGCTCCTGAGGGAACCCCATCTTTTGGATTTCACAGAAGCAGAAGGCAACATCCATGAAGTCTACAAGTACTGGGGATCAGCCAGACCCCATCCTGATACCCAGGGGCTGCAACCACTTCTCATCAGCTTAAAAGAGATGCCTAACTCAGGAGATTCCAGGGGTTTCAGGAGCCATGGGCCAAAAACCAGGGACAAAGACCAAATACTAACAAAAGAGTTTCCCTGCATCCCTGTCTAGTCTGGAAGGGAGAGGAGGTGGAGACCAAGTGTTTTCTTCTTACATCACACCCGCTCTGGGCCCTGTGGGAAAGCGCTATCACCTGTTACCACTCACCCAGAGAGCTGAGCATGGAGATGTCCAGAGACACGTCAGGATACGGTTTCATCGACATGAAATCCAGAACAGAGCCACCACCGTCTCCAAGGGCGTCCCCAACCTGTGGAAGACAGACATGTATCAAGCTCGAATGAAACATCAAACAAAAAATGAAATGCTACTTAATCCTCAATTTGAAATCACTCTAATTATTTGCTAAATGTGGGTCCACCCCTCAGTATGTGACAAGACCAAGCCCTATTCACTGAGACTGCTGTTAAAGGGACTATCAGGTTTGAGCTCATGACCTGATGTGCAAATCTCCCTCAAAGAAATCTTATACGGATTGACAATGAGAACCATGATCCTCCACTGAACCAACAGTGCAGACCATGATCCTCTGCTCACACCAGCAGTGCAAACCATGCTCCTCTGCCAACCGAAAACTCCACTCACACCAATGCGAACCATGATCCTCTGCTCACACCAACAGTGCAGACCGTGATCCTCTGCTCACACCAACAGTGTGAACCGTGATCCTCTGCTCACACCAACAGTGCAGACCGTGATCCTCTGCTCACACCAACAGTGCAGACCATGATCCTCTGCTCACACCAGCAGTGCAAACCGTGCTCCTCTGCTCACACCAACAGTGCAGACCATGATCCTCTGCTCACACCAACAGTGCAGACTGTGATCCTCTGCTCACACCAACAGTGCAGACCGTGATCCTCTGCTCACACCAACAGTGCAGACCATGCTCCTCTGCCAACCGAAAACTCCACTCACACCAATGCAAACCGTGATCCTCTGCTCACACCAACAGTGCAGACCGTGATCCTCTGCTCACACCAACAGTGAGAAGCGTGATCCTCTGCTCACACCAACAGTGTGAAGCGTGATCCTCTGCTCACACCAACAGTGCGAAGCGTGATCCTCTGCTCACACCAACAGTGCGAAGCGTGATCCTCTGCTCACACCAACAGTGCAGACCGTGATCCTCTGCTCACACCAACAGTGCAGACCGTGATCCTCTGCTCACACCAACAGTGTGAACCACGATCCTCTGCTCACACCAACAATGCGGACCGTGATCCTCTGCTCACACCAACAATGCGGACCGTGATCCTCTGCTCACACCAACAGTGCGGACCGTGATCCTCTGCTCACACCAACAGTGCGGACCGTGATCCTCTGCTCACACCAACAGTGCGAACCACGATCCTCTGCTCACACCAACAGTGCGAACCACGATCCTCTGCTCACACCAACAGTGCGGACCGTGATCCTCTGCTCACACCAACAGTGCGGACCGTGATCCTCTGCTCACACCAACAGTGCGGACCGTGATCCTCTGCTCACACCAACAGTGCAGACCGTGATCCTCTGCTAATGTCCTGGTGCTAAAGAAACTGGGGAGAGACATTACGAAGCCAGAACATATATGAGATTTCAGGGTCCACGACTATTTTTCAGGAACCTCACAGAGCACACCACTTTCCCTTTCCTTTCCTGGGAGGGGTGTCCTGAAGGCCTGACTACAGCACCCTAAGGCGCACTCTCCTCAGCTCCCTGCAGCCCGGCCTCTGCCCTCTGCCCTCACACAGATGTTAAGGGGTCTCTCCAAGTTCCCAGGGACTGTAGACCAAAGCCCATCCTGTCCATCCTGCCGATGGATGGAGACACATGCTTCCCAATGGGCTGGTGCAGCCGTCTGAGCTCACAGCACTGCCTACTCACCAAGCAGGTCCCAAGCAGGCCCCTCCTGCCCACCCCCTGCTAGGGTCCCGCAAGGACAGCACCCGGGGCCAACTGCTCTGAAACTACCAATTCTGGATTTGGAAGAAGGTACTGCAGCTTCACACTGCTCACCCCAAGTCATGAAAAAGCAGAGCAGGAGAAACACCACGAGTTAATCTCATCGGCCAGAAACAGACCGTTTCCCAACCGCAATGCACAGTCTCTCCCACCTCAAAGGCTAAACATGACCTTCCCAACGAGAATCCCAACCTAAGGCTTGCACTTCCACGTGCAAAACTCACCTTGGCTTCATCTGGAGGTTTCATGGGAACATTTCTTCTCTGCAAAGTAAATGAGGACAGAAACTAGTCTTTCCAGAGCAATTTTATATAAAAGGAAAATTCACTGACATTACACACACGTCAAAATGGCTTGTACGCTTCTGCGAATTCTGCTCCTCAGTCACACCATCTTAATGAATTCAGGCTAGGGGTCCTGCAAGCCTTCTTCATCACCAGCAGCTGACCCACCAGCAGCCAGCCCACATCTCACACCAGCCCTGTGTGAGCCAGCCCAGTCCTCACACCAGCCCTGTGTGAGCCAGCCCACTCCTCACACCAGCCCTGTGTGAGCCAGCCCACTCCTCACACCAGCCGTGTGAGCCAGCCCACTCCTCATACCAGCCCTGTGTGAGCCAGCCCAGTCCTCACAGCAGCACTGTGTGCCAGGAGAACACTCCACAGGATGAGATGGAGAGGACAGAGAGAGAGGACACTGATGCTGCTTTGGCAGCCTTGGGTAGATTAAAACAAAAGAAAATGAATGTGCTTAGATCCTATGGGCAGCTGAGGATAAACAGGCCTGGTGGGTTCCCCCTGGAATATGACCAGGTGCCTGAGACCAGCTGGAGTCCCGCAGGGGCAGGTGTGCGCAGGAGCAATGAGGCAGACACCGCCTGGCAACACCTGCGGCAGGTGGGCTGTGCGCATTGCTCCCTGCCACAGCCGTCAGCCTCCAGGGCACCTCCGTCCTGTGCTCCAGTGGAGCAGTGCCTTAGAAAGGCCGAGTTTTGCGTATGTGCCTCAAAGGCAGTCATTTGTATACACTCTTATCATCTATGATCTTTGCTCAAAATAATGTTTCTCAGATTCACTGATTTTCACAAGTTTTGAATTAGAAAATGAATACTGCCATTATGTTTGCGTGTTTCTGCACACAAGCCTTCTGTCCACATTAGAGCTGAGCATCCTCTACTGCAGGGGTGCACCTGGGGTCACTCAACTCTATATCAACATTCACTGTCCTGGAAGGAACCCAACCAGAACCCAGACAGGAAACCCACGGAGCCATCCCATTTCCGGGCTCTGAAAGGGGTCACTTTCCCTCCCACACAGCAATGCTGCTTCTAACACCGTGTGGAGGAGCCGGCTTCCTGCCTGGAGGGAACCCACAGGCCATGACACGGGAGGGTGACAGAGCTCAGTTAGAACCACAGGCTGGTGGGGCAGGTTCTGCAGAGGGGGCTGCTGCTCAGAGCTGCAGAAACCTGCGTGGGGGCTCCTGCCTTGCTGCAACCTCATCTGTGCAAGTGAGGCAGTGCAGGGACCCTCTCTCCAGGAGCCTGCGGGCCCCCCAAGCATGGAAATCAAGGAAAATCTTGAGCTCCTTCAAGGGACATTCCAGGTACCTAGCTAACCCAGAGAAGTAAATCAGCAACTTGATAAGCAAGAAGGTAACAGTATCCTAAAACAACAGCCAAGGAAGCTGGAGTCAGACATTTCTAGGGACAGAAAGTAAAGACAACATCCCAGCACTCTGGGAGGCCGAGACAGGCAGATCATTTGAGATCAGGGGTTCGAGACCAACCTGGCCAAAATGATGAGACCTCGTCTCTACTAAAAATACAAAAATGAGCTGGGCGAGGTGGCGCAGGCCTGTAGTCCCAGCTACTCGGGAGGCTAAGGCAGGAGAATCGCTTAAACATAGGAGGCGGAGGTTGAAGTGAGCCAAGATCGCGCCACTGCACTCCAGCCTGGATGACAGAGTGAGATTCTGTCTCAAAAAAAAAAAGTAAGTAAAGGTAACATCTGAATGCACATCCCTGAGTTGTCTTTCAGAAACCTAGACCCTCCACCTAGGACCCCACCAAACCAATCTACTGGCATGCAGGCCTCAGATAAGGAGAAACTGAAGACTGAACCCTGACCCCATTCTTTGTTCTGAATTTCTTCCTGAGGGGCCCGGAGAGAGCCACACCCACAAGCCTAAGCTAACGTTCTTTCCTTGTCACCCCAAATTTTTAAACAAAGCTTCTCCTTCTTAACAAACTGCCTCTGAATCCACCTATAACCCATAAGGCCCTGCCTGGAGATACGCCACCTTACAAGCCAAACCAACGCATGACCTCTGTGTACTGACGCCCAATTCTGCCTTTTGGTTCTGCTTTCTAGAGCTCTACCCCTGCTTTAAAAACCTTGCCTGTAGCCAGCGGGGGAGGCCAGGATTTACACACGAGCTTCCCGGCCCTCCTTGCTTGGCGCTCTGCAAATACATGTCTTCTTTTCTACCACGACAAAACCTCTGCGTGGAGGCCTGGGTTTACTACACCAGGCAAGTGGACCCAGTTCCTCTGTCACAAGCACAGATGAAATCGTGAAGTCAACAGACTGACTACCCCTGGGAGCCACGAGCCAAACGTCCTCAGAGCTTGGGCAGGACAGAGACTCATCCAAACTCCACCCATAGCACAGACTGAGAGGAAGAGTCAGGGCCAAGAGCTCCCAGGAGAGACACTCCTTAGCAAGGCCATGCCAACCCCAGAATAAGGCTGCCCTGGACCAGGTAAGATCAGGTGATCCGCAGGTAACAACTGCCAAAATGATGGTCAATACTCTCTGAAAGAGAGCAGAACCCTGATCAGCCTTGCCTAGCAGACATAAAGTGAGCACACACCTCATTCTAAATGTTTTCTGAGACAGGGTCTTGCACTATTGCCTAGGCTGGAGGGCAGTGGTGCAACCGCAGCTCACTGCAGCCTCGACCTCCTAGCCTCAAGTGATCTTCCCACCTCAGGCTCCTGAGGAGCTGGGATGACAGGTGGATGCTACTGTACCCAGCTCTTCAATTCAGCTGCCACATTAAAGTTACTCTTCACATTCTGCCAGGCACATGCTCCCAGTGCAGTGAAGCGGCAAACAAACAAACAGGAAACGGTATAGAGGTGACAGTCAGTGCCCAAGGACTCTGAAAGAGCTGCAGTAAGTACGACAAACATGGCTCAGGATTTCAGGGAAAACATAAACTAATATGAGGGAGAAGAGGCACAGAAGCAAATGGAGCCCCAGGGATGGGCAGCACGGGGCAGCGTCACCAGCAAAAACTGAACTGGGATGATAGGTTCAGGTGTGCCCTTGGGGAACAGGTCAGTGAACTTAAAGCCACAGCGTTAGAAACGAAACTAATCCCACCTGCCGTGTGCAGCAGCACACAGCGTCAGAGCCACGTGAGATAACACAAGCCGTCCTCAGCCGCCACAGTCCAGCAGGAAGAGGAAGAGGCAAGGGCGGAAAATGGCATTTGAGTAATGGCTTAAAATCTTCCAAATTTGATAGGAACTACAGACGAACAGACCCAAGAAACAACAAATGCTAAGCAGGACAGACACAAAGAGAAGCCCACCAAGGCACCTGAAAAAACAATGCTGAACATCACTGACGGAGTTTAACAGCTGCCAGAGCACCGGCCAGCAGCCCAACCTGCCGAGGGCCAGGAGCGACCATCTGAGGCCTGCGAGCCGCACACTGCCGGCAGCCTCTTCTTCTTCCCTTCCTTTAAACCACCTTTTAAACATGTCAAAGGCATCTTGGCTTGTGGTCTGTGCAGAAGCAGACTGCAGGGCAGATCTGGCCTATGGGCTGCAGTTTGCCAAAGACACGTCACATGTGGAAAACAAAGATGAACATGACTTCAGATGCTGTTTTACAGACACGATGCAAGTCAAACTTATTTTACGGTAGAAGAAAAAAGGTCATCTAAACTTCCATACCCAGGGAAAGGGGATTTCCAAAATGAAGATGAAATAAAGACTTTAGACAGACAGACACTGAGAGCTCACTGTCAGTAAATCTGTACTACAGGAACTGTCTTTAAAATTCTCCAGGATGAAGAAAAGTGTCAGCAGGTGAAAGGCATCTGGGAATAGAGGTCGTTACGAAGCACCCCAGGATGGGGAGCAGAGATGGTCTCTGAAGGATGCTGCTGTGCAGAGCAGCGCACAGATGCTGACGAGGAGCCGGCAGCACAGTTCCTGTGACAGCTTCTTGTCCCCGAGAGCCTGGTCGGGCTGCAGGCTCTTCCCATCAGGACCACCCCAAGGGCACCTACCCACCCGGCGCAAGAGCAGCCCACCTGCTTCAGCTGGAAAAGCGTCCTGGAGTGGTCTCCACCTGTAATCTGGTCTAGGAGGTCGTCCACCACTTTCTTGCTGTAGCTCCCAGCATCCTTCACAAACTCCTGCAGGCTGGAGGGGCCAAAGGAGAAGGCGTACTGAAAGGTATGCTGTGTGCTCCACGCCAAGCCCGTGTTGCCTGGTCCTCCCAGAGGCTCTGATCACCACTGGCCGTGCCAGCGCAGCTCCTCAGATGGTCCCATGATGCTCCCAGAGTGGGTATTTCTAGAGGAGTGACTGATAGTGTTCATGAGATTTTCAAAGTGGTCCATGACCCAAAAAGATTGAAAAGATCTCTGGGTGAGAGGGGAGAACAGTATCAATGCACACGCACACAGTCTAGGAACACACAAGCTGTACGGTGCCATCATCTGTAACAAGACAGCCTGATCTATGCGTTTAAAGACAGAAGTGGGTGTCGATGGAAGCACAGTGGTGGACAGTGCCTGCTGGCGAGGAAGGGGTGGGCGGGGCAAGCGTGGGGCAAGACTTCCAGGGTACCCCTTTAAGTATCACCCTGATTCTTGGCCATATAAATGAAACAGCTTAAAAAACTAAAATATAATACAATTTTAACAAAAGGCCAGGAACAAAAATGCATAGTCTTAGAATCAAAGCACCAAGCAAGGGCCTCCGAAAGGCTCCTCAGACTCCAAAGACCTTTGCATAGAGGAAAAGGGCGGCTGCTGGTCAGCTCAACCACGGTCCCAGAAGGCACTAAGGAGACTCCATGTCTTTGTTAAAATGCCCACAGCCCAGGACAGGCCAAGCTCTGCAATTAGAGCGTGCACAGGAAAGCACTCAGGGGCAGAGGATCTGGGTGCCTGTGCGCCGAAGCTGGTGTGGGACCACGCAGGCCCATGCCACGCCCCAGGGACATGCAAATACATGGGCCCATGCCAGGCCCCAGGAGATGTGCTACACGTGGGCCCATGCCAGGCCCCAGGAGATGTGCTACACGTGGGCCCACTCCAGGCCCCAGGGGATGTGCTACCATGCGAACCCACGCCAGGCCCTAGGAATTGGCTACCACACGGCCCACGCCAGGCCCCAGGGATGTGCTACCACACGGCCCACGCCAGGCCCCAGGGATGTGCTACCACACGGCCCACGCCAGGCCCCAGGGATGTGCTACCACACGGCCCACGCCAGGCCCCAGGGATGTGCTACCACACGGCCCACGCCAGGCCCCAGGGATGTGCTACCACACGGCCCACGCCAGGCCCCAGGGATGTGCTACCACACGGCCCACGCCAGGCCCCAGGGATGTGCTACCACGCAGGCCCACGCCAGGCCCCAGGGATGTGCTACCACACGGCCCACGCCAGGCCCTAGGAATTGGCTACCACTCGGCCCACGCCAGGCCCTAGGGATGTGCTATCACTTGGCCCACGCCAGGCCCCAGGGATGTGCTATCACTCGGCCCATGCCACGCCCTAGGGATGTGCTACCACACGGCCCACGCCAGGCCCTAGGGATGTGCTATCACACGGCCCACACCAGGCCCTACTAGGGATGTGCTACCACGCAGGCCCACGCCAGGCCCTAGGGATGTGCTACCACACGGCCCACGCCAGGCCCTAGGAATTGGCTACCACTCGGCCCACGCCAGGCCCTAGGGATGTGCTACCACACGGCCCACGCCAGGCCCCAGGGATGTGCTACCACTCGGCCCATGCCAGGCCCCAGGGATGTGCTATCACACGGCCCACTCCATGCCCCAGGGGATGTGCTACCACTCGGCCCACGCCAGGCCCTAGGAGACATGCTTCTTAGTGTTGCCCCTGCAGTTGCGAGGTAGGTGAGGTATGATTGCTGGGGCTGGCGAGGGAGGGGGCGACCAACTCTTTAATTTCCAAGTTATGATGCCATCATCTCCTACCAAAATTTCCTCTTCATTTTCCACATTTACTTCCTTTTTTACCACAAAAATCAGGGTCAGGTATTTACTCATTTTATTAAGCACTAACTGGATTCTTGTTTATTTTTCAAATATATTCTGCATTCGTGTTGGAATAAAATGAAGAACTGACATCTCAAGATTCCATTTCTTAGAGGCTAGCAAAATCAAGTTACTTTCCCCATAAAACACTGCTAAAATTTTACAGAAGTGAATCACTTTTATTTTGCCACAGAAACCAAAAAACACGCACAACAAAGTTTTATGGAAAGGCAGACCACCACACTTGTGATTTCAGGACCATACTTTAGCCTGCCATGGCCTGAACTGTGTCTCCCACTCAAAGTTCCTAAGCTGAAATCCCGACCCCAGTGCCTCTGAATGTGACTGTACTCGGTGCTAAGGCCTTTAGAAGTAACTGCGGTGACCCGAGGTCATTTAGGGTGGCCCTGATCCAATATGACCAGTGTCCTTGTAGAACGGTCAGTTCTCCAGGAGAGGTGAGGACAGACATGCATAGGACGAGCCCGGGAAGGCACAGGGGACGGCACCTGCAGGCCCAGAAGCAAGGGCTCAGGAGGAAGCAGCTCTGCACACAACTTCACTGCAGACACCAGCCTCCAGGACTAGGACCCCAGTCTGTGGCACTTTGTCATGGCAGCCTGGGCTAGTATGGCCACTTAAGAAACACAATTCAGTATGATGCAGTGGGCTGAACACGCCCCAACCCTTCACAAGCTTCGCCTGATCACCGCCTTCTTGCAACTCTGAGTTACCCAAATTTCAGGACTGGGCTGTGGCAGACTAGGGTGGAGACTGAAAGCAGTAGGAAGACCTATCTGCCATCTGGACAGCTGCCGGGTGGCTCTCTCCCCACCTGCACACACGCGGGGCCCCAGGCTCCGGGCCCCACGCCAGGACGCAGCTCACACTGCACAGCAGGCAAACGCTCCTCGGGGCCAACACTGACCTCAGCGCACACTGCACGCCCGTCTCATCTCCGTAGGCTGAATACAGCAGCTCCATCTCGTCCGACTTCAAGTCGCCAAATACTGAATTGTTCTGCATTGAAAGTGCAGTAGTGGCACTGGAGAGAAACGTAACTGGGAGGAAGAGGAGAAAGAGCATCACTGGGCTCCTGAAGGACTTGGAGCACAGGCCCCACCGCGTCTCCAGGGGCTGAGGGACAGCCTGGCTGGCAGCCAGCACCGCAGTCCCACCTCTCTTGGCTCTCCACAAATTTCTCGCTCCCGCGTGTAAGTTTTCCATGTGTAACCAGCAGGTGTATAATTCACCACCCCTTGTTTTACTGCTGCAGGCCAAAGACTGCAGAGAAATGAGCTTTCTGCAAAGGGGTGAGCTCTACAAGCAAAAGAGCTTCATGGGGACTCGGGCAGAGAGCACTGTCCAGCAGCACCTAGCATCCCAACCCATGCACACTGCAGGGACCAAGCCCACCCAGGGCCAGCTCTCACTGTAGGGACACAAGAGTCAATCAGACAGTCCATGCTAGCACAGGGCTTCTCAACCTCCACGAAACGACACCACGGGCCAGGTGTGCCATGCGGTGTCCCACAGGGCTTGGAGCAGCACCCCTGGCCTCTCCCCACCAGATGCCAGCAGCACCCCCACCCCAATGGGACCATCAACACATCCGGACATTGCCAAATGTCCCCAGGGACAGAACTGTTGTGGCTGAGAGCTGTGTTAGAAGGTGAGAACAAGGCTTGTGTCAGACACAAGAAAACTATCAACAGCCATGAGAGGCCCAAGAGAAAGAGGGACACAGGGGCTGAGGAAGGCAAGAGGATCCTTCCCTGTGGAGGGTGTCCTTCAACAGGAGACCCCGACCAGGCAGCATTCCAACCCTGGAGCTAGAGGAAAGAACATTCCAGAAAGAAGGACGCTCTTGAGCCAAGACCATGGTTTGGAGGGAAAAGTGAGCTGTCCCATTAGCAGACGGTGTGATGGCTGAGGCTGAGGCAGGAGCAGTGTCCCTGCAGACGTCTGCATGGGAGGGACCCAGCAGAGGTGGAGAAGTGGAAGGCAGGACTGTGCAGGAGGTCCCAGCCGCAGTGCAGCCAGGAGGGAGCAGTGCAGACGGAGAGGGGAACACACAAGGCTGGCCAGAGCCAGGGATCAGAGGCCACACAGACCCCTGAAAGGATGTTTTGTAAACGCGACAGGGACACAAACACAAGGACAGCAAAACACTGACCAAGGTGAAGTCCCGTGACAGCAGCCAAGGTGCTGTGCGTTTCACAGCAAACTCAGCCAACACAAGCTCTACTCCTGTCACCGTGACTGATCTCAGCCTCCCCCATGTGAAAATACAAATCCAGATAGAGGCACAAAAGCACAAAGGAAGCCCTGAAGTAGGTCAGTGGCATTTGCCTCCCCTCCATGAAACACCCCCACCTTCCTGGGCCGGCCAGCTCCTGGGACGGGACTGTGGATTTACCTTTGTTTCTTCTTTCATCTTTGAAGCCCAGCGTGGTGAAGCCTGGGAGCAGCTTACTGGACAGCGAGCTCAAGTCCACTGGGTGGGTCTCCTCCTCTGCATCATGGACAGGGCAGACATGAGCAGCAGCATGACCCCACATGCACCCCCGTGCAACGCCAGGAGCCCCAGTGCAGCGCTGTGAGCAGCAGCATGACCCCACACACGCCCTGCGCCACACCAGGAGCCCCAGTGCAGCGCTGTGAGCAGCAGCATAACCCCACACACGCCCTGCGCCACACCAGGAGCCCCAGTGCAGCGCTGTGAGCAGCAGCATGACCCCACACACGCCCTGCGCCACACCAGGAGCCCCAGTGCAGCGCTGTGAGCAGCAGCATGACCCCACATGCACCCCAGTGCAACGCTAGGAGCCCCAGTGCAGCGCTGTGAGCAGCAGCATGACCCCACATGCACCCCAGTGTGACGCCAGGAGCCCCAGTGCAGCGCTGTGAGCAGCAGCATGACCCCACACACGCCCTGCGCCACACCAGGAGCCCCAGTGCAGCGCTGTGAGCAGCAGCATGACCCCACACGCACCCCATGCAGCACCGGGAGCCCTTTCTCCACATCACAGTGGGTCTGACTGTGGAGGGCGGGGGATTTTATACTGATCACCTGGAAACGAATCTGCAACACCAACTGCCATTCTCAAAACTAACTGCAATTTCCCTTCTCACCCCAGTCAACACAACAAAAAATACCGCATCTTTGGCCACCACACCAGCAATACTGTGAACATTCTCAAATGGATAACTCAACACCTCCAAGAAGAAATCTTGTCCTCCGTGCTCTCACAGTGAAGCGTGGCACATGCACCCAGAAGGCATGAATCTGACAGGCGTCCCCTGTGCTAAGTCACCACCCACATGCCACTCACAGGGTCAGAGCAGGAGTTCCTCGGGTCCCAACCAGAACCTGTCTCGATACTCTCTTTCTGAAGCTAAATATGGACCAACAGTCTGTCCCCTTAAGGAAAATCAGCTGAGAATTAAATAGGTCAGCTAGTTTACATTCTTCACACACTGGGGAAATGAGGCTGGCACGCTGGAGCTGGATGAAAGACCATCTTAGCTTCACCCGCCAGCAGGCATGTGGTGGGAGCGAGGGAAGTGGAAGATGGAAAGGCAGCCCTTGCCAGACGGCATGGTCCTGTGTGTGCCTGCGAGTGTGCTTCAAAGCCGACTGAGTCACACTTTTATTCCAAGGACAAGCCTCTTAGTGACTCGCAGGCCATGAAGGCGCCCACGACAGGCTGGACAGGCCTAGGGTGCCGGCCGCCTCAGCATCTTCCTTGACATGATCACCAGACAGGCCTTTTCTTCTAAGGTCACTTCCCAGACTCAAGGAGCAGGGCGGGTCCGCACTCTGGTCTTTGCTGAAGACTGATGTGACCCATTTCCGACGCTGGCGAGGTTCAGCCTTAAGGGCTTCTCGGCAGCTTTTCAGGAACATGCCCAAGTCCCGCTGCTCCCAAGGAGCCCTGACGAGAAGGTCCACCTGGCACCCCAGCCTGCGGGACGGCCGTCTCCGCCTCCACTCGGCACGCATGTCACACCAGAGCATGCAGGGACAGGAAGCCACGCAGCTTCTCATGCTTCCCCCAGCCAATGGCTCAGGCTCTAAACAGACAACATGCTCTTTTCATCACAGAACATGAATGGAGACCCGAAAAGCAGTGTACAGAGAGCAGAAAGGCAGCCGCAAGCGGGCACCCACCATCGGCGTCCGGCTCGGCCGTGTTGACCACGCTGTAGAGCAGGCTGCCATCCCCGTTCCTCTTCAGATAGCCCATCTGGAAGGAAGCACGGCCTGAGCATCTGTCCCCGCCAAGGGGCAGCGCAGCACAAATGAAACGAAGGCCAATGAGCAGGACAAAACCAAGTTTGTCCAAGAATGAATGCCAGAGGCCCCTGCACGGCACCCCCGGGAATGTAACACTCACTGGCAATAGCAGAGTGCACCCTGGTGCCACAAGAACCTCTTAGGCTCCCTGTGGCCCTGCTGAAAAGGGCACCACTGAAACACAAACCTTTACCCAGAACAAACATTTAAAATTGCTTGTGAGCCTGAAGAAAATGGAATGGTCAGCAGGTTAGCACAACACCACCCTAACGGGGGGCAGCTCCAGCTCTCAAGCATGTGGGGACTGGTTCCCGTTTAAAAACCCACCATCGGGAGGATCCAGGATGAGGAGGCAGTGGTGTGTGCAGTGTGGGGGTTGGGGGAGGAGGGCTGTCATGTGGGCGTGGCTGGGCTCCAGTGCAGGGGTCAGAGCAGCCACCCGGCCAGAGGGGGAGGAGCAGGATGTTTGTGTGGGGGCAGCCCCCCAACCCATGCGAAGTATCAGAGTCCAGACAGGATGGCCAGGGCATTGGGGTAAAGACAGAATATCAGGTACAACGGGGCACTGATGTGATACATAGATTAAGGGAAGTGAGTCAGGTCCTCACGGTGCAGCTACAAAACCAAAAGGGAAGAAGTGGGGTGGACCCACGGTACGGGATGGAACTGGAAGTTTCACTGTAAACAGTTTTCAACACAGTCAACACAGGTGCCAACGGATTCCTTCTACACAGTGTCCACATATGTGGTGCAGAACACACACAGGCATTTCCCAGGTCTATATGCTGAGAGGGCTTCACTCAGCGCCTAGGTCTTGGCTTCTAAACAAGGTTCTCTAGCAAAGAAACCAGGGTTCCTTGGAGAAGGTGACAATTCCAAGGCTGAAGCACAGAGTGCAGAGCTAGGTTATCCAACAGAATTACAGTGCAAGCCACGCAGACCACAATTTCCCCAACACGCAAGCCACGCAGACCACAACTTCCCAACACACAAGCCATACAGACCACAACCCCCAACACACAAGCCACTCAGACCACAACCCCCAACACACAAGCCATACAGACCACAACTTCCCAGCACACAAGCCAGAGACCACAACTTCTCAACACGCAAGTCACACAGACCGCAATTTCCCTAACATACAAGCCACACAGGCCACAACTACCAGCATACAAGCCACACAGACCACAACTTCCCAACACACAAGCCAGAGACCACAACTTCCCAACATGCAAGTCACACAGACGACAACTTCCCCAACACACAAGCCACGCAGACCACACCCTCCCAACATGCAAGGTACGCAGACTACAACTTCCCAGCATGCAAGCCACATAGACCACAAACCGCTAGCACACAAGGCATGCAGACTACACCCTCCAACACACAAGCCACACGGACCACACCCTCCCAACACACAAGCCACACAGACCACAGCACCTCAACATGCAAGCCACGCAGTCCACACCCTTCCAACACAAAGCCATGCAGACCACGCCCTCCAACACACAAGCCACGCAGACCACGCCCTCCAACACACAAGCCACGCAGACCACGCCCTCCAACACACAAGCCACGCAGACCACGCCCTCCAACACACAAGCCACGCAGACCACGCCCTCCAACACACAAGCCACGCAGACCACACCCTCCCAACACACAAGCCACGCAGACCACACCCTCCCAACACACAAGCTACGGAGACCACAACTTCCCAACATGTAAGTCACACAGACCACAATTTCCCAACACACAAGCCACACAGACCACAACCTCCTAACATACAAGCCATGCAGACCACACCCTTCCAACACAAAAGCCATGCGGACCACAACCTCCCAACACACAAGCCATGCAGACCACAACCTCCCAACATACAAGCCATGCAGACCACAACTTCCCAGCATGCAAGCCACACAGACCACACCCTCTATCACACAAACCACAGACCACCCCCTCTAATACCGAAGCCACACAGACCACAACTCTCCAACCACACAAGCCATGCAGACCACAACTCCCCAATACGCAAGCCATGCAGACCACACCCTTCCAACACACAAGCCACACAGACCACAACTTTCCAACACACAAGCCACGCAGACCACAACTTCCCAATACACAAGTCACACAGAACACAACTTCCTAACACGAAAGCCACACAGACCACCACAACTTCCCAGCAGGTGGAGGCAAACAGAAGCAGACGCATCTGAAATGCCACTTCAGCGTTTTCTACATCTCATCCTATGTGCATTTCGGAAACTGTGAAAAAAAAATGTAAAGTTCAAATTAACATTTTCTACAGACTACATGTTGAGATTCAATGTTGGATCCAGAAGTAACTAACACCTGCTAGGATTAATGTCACCTGCATCAACTACTTCTGTTACCAGGGCTACTAGGAAATCTGAGACTGCAGATAGCCTGTGCTCTGTTTCCATTGCATGCCCTGGGTCTAAAACATCTCCTGCCAGAAAGGAGAGCACAGTCAGCTGAGTGGGCCTCACCACCACACAGACCATCTGTGGCAGCCACGTGAACACAGTAGGTAGTCTATCGTGGACCATCTGTCGGATCCAACTCCAGCCCTCGCTGGAATAACAAGGGCGGTGCCTCCGTCAACACTCGGTTACAGAGACACAGAAGTAACACTCAGTCCAAGGGAAGGGTTTAGCCTGCAGCAAGGCCTCCGTCCAGGAAATGGGGTCAGTGACTGCCTGGCCTCCACTGTGTGTGAGACGCATGCCTGCCGCGGCCCTGCCAGAGCCACCGGCCCCTGTGTGAAGGGACCATGAGCCTCGTATGTGTCTGACCTGGATCCCCCGTCAGGGCCCCAGTGACCTCCTGATGCCAGTGGCTGTGCTAGATTACATGGCACTGTCTCTGAGGTGATGCCACAGAGCGTCTGGGGCTGAGCGGCACCCTCTTGCGGGGGCCACGGAGCACTACCTTGCCGCCTGGGAGGAAGCGGTTGATCCTGTCCCGAGCCTCGTCAGCTGCGTGCTCCACCAGCGCCAGCACGTGCTCCTCTGCAGTGCTGTCTGTCAGGCTGCAGGCGCTCCCTTCCGGCTCAAACATACAGCTGCGAGGGGGGAACAACCAAGTCACCTGGAGGCAGCGTCCCCACCACATACCGGCTCCCCACACGCTGGCACCTAACCCCGCCTCTCCCCACCCTCCCCTCAGACACAGAGCAGGCAGAGAGTCCCCACTGCACACCTGCTCCCAACACATCAGCACCTAACCCGGCCTCTCCCCACCCTGCTCTCGGACACAGAGCGGGCAGAGAGTCCCCACTGCACACCTGCTCCCAACACATCAGCACCTAACCCGGCCTCTACCCCTGCTGCCCTCGGACACAGAGTGGGCAGAGAGTTCCCGCCACGCACCTGCTCCCAACACATCAGCACCTAACCCGGCCTCTACCCCTGCTGCCCTCGGACACAGAGTGGACAGAGAGTTCCCGCCACGCACCTGCTCCCAACACATCAGCACCTAACCCGGCCTCTACCCCTGCTGCCCTCGGACACAGAGTGGACAGAGAGTTCCCGCCACGCACCTGCTCCCAACACATCAGCACCTAACCCGGCCTCTACCCCTGCTGCCCTCGGACACAGAGTGGGCAGAGCGTTCCCGACACGCACCTGCTCCCAACACATCAGCACCTAACCCGGCCTCTACCCCTGCTGCCCTCAGACAGAGTGGGCAGAGAGTTCCCGCCACGCACCTGCTCCCAACACATCAGCACCTAACCCGGCCTCTCCCCCTGCTGCCCTCGGACACAGAGTGGGCAGAGAGTTCCCGCCACGCACCTGCTCCCAACACATCAGCACCTAACCCGGCCTCTCCCCCTGCTGCCCTCGGACACAGAGTGGGCAGAGGGTTCCCGCCACGCACCTGCTCCCAACACATCAGCACCTAACCCGGCCTCTACCCCTGCTGCCCTCAGACAGAGTGGGCAGAGAGTTCCCGCCACGCACCTGCTCCCAACACATCAGCACCTAACCCGGCCTCTCCCCCTGCTGCCCTCGGACACAGAGTGGGCAGAGGGTTCCCACCACGCACCTGCTCCCAACACATCAGCACCTAACCCGGCCTCTCCCCACCCTGCCCTCGGACACAGAGTGGGCAGAGAGTTCCCGCCACGCACCTGCTCCCAACACATCAGCACCTAACCCGGCCTCTCCCCACCCTGCCCTCGGACACAGAGTGGACAGAGCATACTCAACTCCTTTCAGGTCTCAAAGCATTCCTTTCCACCCTCAACAAAATAACAAAACAAGAGGCTTTTATTAAAATAAAGAGCAAGTCTAAGCCAAGTAGCCAGGCTCCCTGGTTTTGAAAGCAGTTAAAACCTAGTCACTCTAGCAACAAAAGAAAGTAACAGATAAGCCACAGGTTAATCATTAAAGGACCCATCAGAAACGGGGACCACAAAGCGCCCCTGTGGCTCCACGGGGCTCACAGGAACTAGGTGGCGCTGGTGGGGCGGGGCTGGGTGGAGAGCAGCCCCTCTGCTGTGGCCAAAGAACATACAAGGACTTCAGCCAGGGGCTTGGGGTTCCACCTGAAGCAGTTGTCAAACAGCTGAGGGGCACACGCTGCAGCACCCACGGAGTGTGGAAGGTTCTGGAAGCAGGCGCGTGGGCTCCTTCTGGGCACTTGCCTAGGCGTGGGTCTGAATGGCCTAGGGCCAGGTGCAGGCCTGGGACAAGCCCTGCTGGTGAGCATGACCACGCCCTCGCCTGACCCACAGCGAACCTTACACAGGAGTCAGGGCCCCGTGAGTTCGCAGGGAGGATCCACTGAGGCAGCTGCGCAAGCCTGCCCCACACATGCTGCTGTGGCCCTAGGTGAAGGTGAGCCGGAGCTCAGCACGCTCTATGGACCACAGATTGATGGCTGGGGACCCAGTTAAAGGGTCCGGATCCACAGGCAACCGCGGAGCCACAGCACCAGGGTCACCCAAACCCAACCTGGGGTGAGTCTGCCAGGACACGGCCCCACCACAGTGGAGATGGCGAGTGACACCAACTTCAATTCACTCCTGATGCTCGGCCACGAGGAGATGGGCAGCCATGAAACCCTGAACCGAGGGCCAGCAGCACACTCGAGTTGCGGGCTGAGGCCGGACACAACACCACGCGGTGAGTGTTCATTCGTGAGGCAGCAGGGTAGGAAACGTGCCGCACGTCGGGAGACCACCTCGGGGACTGTGAGCCCTTCCCAGGCAACACGCTCTGGCCACACAGAACACCCTCGTCTCCTCAGCTGAGGATACAGGACCGGAGGGGCTGGTCCCAAGACCGCTCTCCCTTTGACTGCTGGAGGAAGCTGCCCAGAGCAGACAGCACCAAGCCCAGCACCCCTGTCGCCCCACCTGTTCAGTCCACATGGGTCCCACACACACTCTGGGAAGGAACAGACGACAGAGGGCCGCGATCATCAGAATTTCCTCAAGGACATTCAACACCAACTCAACGGTCCCTGACTTTCCACAAGACAGTACAAGCAACACGGTTCAACAGAAACCATCCTTCAAATCTCATCTGTCCCCAAGCTGGCAGCAGGCCACAGTCCTCTCAGGATGCTGGGAACACCACAGGCCACAGTGCTGTCAGACACACAGACACAAGGGTGCTGTCCCAGGACCCGCTCCCTGGGGCCTGCACTCAAGAAGTGACACAACACACACGACACCTCGTGATGCAGCAGACTCTGTGCCAGGTGCCTCTGGCTGGCTGGAAGCTGCGGTAAGTGTTCTCAGTGCCTTAAAGCCAGCTGGTGATACCCCCACTTTGTCTGGCTTTATTAGGAGGCCGCCTCACACGTGTGGAGGAGCGTCCACAGGAATGACGAGTGATAGAGACTTTAGTAAGATCTCAATGCTCAGCCACCATGAGACAAAGAGGCCCCATGAAAACCACTCTGGGCTTTAGAGAAAAAGGAGGAAGGTTCCCTGAAGGACCACCGAGTCAGCTGCTCCCACAGGAAGGGAAGCTGCGGCCTGCAGTCCTCACCTGCTTCTGCTGCAGCATCCACACCTCCTGACCCCGGGGCTGCAGCTGCCACTCCAGCATCTACAGACACAGAGGCATCTACACAGACACAGAAGCATCTACACAGATACGGAAGCGAGCAGGTCAGGGGTGTGCACCCACCCCGTGGCAAGAAAGAAGCCCCTGCCAATGCTGGCTGCCCAAAGTGGGCCCATCTGTGCTGCAGTCTGGGACAAGGGCACAGCCTCGGCTGCCAGCAGGCACAGTACAGGGGAGGGAGGGGCTGATGAGTTTAAACAGCACTCATGTGGAGACAGCAACCACCAGTCAGCAGCAGATGCAGGGCAGAGTCCGGAGGGGCATGGGGTACCACACCCGGGTCAGAGAGGGCACGTGGCCGATGAGTGGGAGGGGCTGTCTGACCATGCTCCTCCTGCCTGGATAAGCTACACCAAGGCTGTCTATGTGATGTGACGTCGTCCCTCACTCACTCTCCCCACAAAGCACCTGCTTTGCAAGGCCGTGTACGTGACGTGACGTCGTCCCTCACTCACTCTCCCCACAAAGCACCTGCTTTGCAAGGCCGTCTACGTGACGTGACGTCGTTCCTCACTCACTCTCCCCACAAAGCACCTGCTTTGCAAGGCCGTCTACATGACGTGACGTTGTCCCTCACGCACTCTCCCACAAAGCCGTCTACGTGTGACGTCGTCCCTCACTCACTCTCCCCACAAAGCACCTGCTTTGCAAGGCCGTCTACGTGACGCGACATCGTCCCTCACTCACTCTCCCCACAAAGCACCTGCTTTGCAAGGCCGTGTATGTGACGTGACATCGTCCCTCACGCACTCTCCCCACAAAGCACCTGCTTTCCTGGAGGTGGTGCTCAACTCCACAGGCAGGCGCAGCTGCTAAGGAGCCTTTACCTGAGAGCTTCTCTACTCGGCTTTCTGGATTTCTTGGCAGTTTCTACTTGCACAGGCACAACCTCAGGAACAGGCTCCTCAACAGCTGTGTCTTCGCTGCCCAGAAGAGCTGCCTGCTGAGAGAAATCCATGTCCTGCATAAACGACATGCTGCGCTTCAAAGCTAACAGCCGCTCCTGGAACCAGAAAGGACAGAGCAGCAGGGATTTACCTCTGCCTCACAGCCAGGCGCATGACGATGGGATGGGATGGGGATGGCCACAGCCTCACCTGGCCTAACAGCTAACTTTCCACAGCAGAGCAGCGGGAGGCGGATGCGGGCCTGACCCGCCGCCAGAGCGCAGCAGGTGCTGCACCCCAGCTTCACCTTCACCTATGTGGGACGCATGCAGCCTGGCTCACGGCACAGATCTGGGAAACCACTCAGGATGGCCAAGGAAGACAAGGATGTCCCGTCTGGATTCAGTGAGGCAGCCACGCAAAACAAGCCCGCAAGGCTGGCTGCAATCCAGCAAGACGGACACCCAGGCTTAAGATCGAGAGATGCGGAACTTTCCACCAACCCTAAATGAGACATTACAGCTAGGTCATGAGCAGAAAGGGCGGCCGGAGAGGGCGGCTGGGGACGTCTACCCTAGAGCAAAGGGGCAACTCCATGAGGGCGGCAGTGGATGAGCATGTGTTCACGGTGAGGCTGCCTTCGCGGGGCAGAGCCCCTGCTCTCCGTGGCTCGCTGCTGCCAGTGGGTCTCTTACTTTGCTCATCATCTTAAAGCCTGCGTGAAGGATCTTCTTCGCCAACTTGTAGTACACGGTATCCGGTCTATTGTACGTCATCGCGTTATCACACATCAGCTTGAAATCTGCCTGAAAAAAGGAAAGACTCACTGAGTTTGAAACGCCACACAGACAACACCAAAGTTCCAGATTATTTTCACAAGAGACAAAAAGGAAAAAGCCACAATTTCGTAGAACACAATTAAACTTGGCTCTCTGATCCAAAAACAATGTCTAAGAACTTAGATCTTCTTAGCTGCTCATTGGTCTTGCATAAAAAGTTTTACAGTGAGGAGCTGGCCGAGCCCGTGAGTTCTAAGCATCACGCAAACGCTATGCGAGGACAAAGGAGCCTTACAGCCTGCGCTTCCAGCACTTCTGCAGAACACGCACAGGAACAAGAAGCAACAAGTAAAAGTCGAGGGAGAAAGGCAGGTGCGGGGCACAGCGATATCCTCTAGCTCTAGAATTTTTCCACAGAATACAATTCAAAATTTTGTCTACAAATAGTTCCCTCAAACTATTAGAAGACTTTGTACCCAAAAAGCAGATGCTTATTTCATAATTTATGCTAAAAATACGGAAAGATCGGTATTTTATCATGACAACTAGTTTCCTCAGCACAGGCCTCTCAAAGTGAGTACCAGTATCAGGCTGGAGTCACCCTGGAGCCAGCACCCTAATGGGAATGTGCCCTTGGGACTTCACCAAGTCCTGGTTCCGGAGCCAGCAGCCCCAGGGCCCGGCCCGAGGCTGTAGAGCCCCTCCCTGAAGACCCTCATTCAGGATACTCCCCAGAGTGAGCGCTGCTCCCCTGCTTACTTTGTTGCTAGGATGAGGAGACTGGGGCCCGAGGCTGGGAATGCAGGGGGCTTTAGGGCACGGAGCACTCCACAGCCGCCCTCAGGCACTGCCTGACCCTCTCCCAAGTTTCATTTTCTCCCACTCTGCCTTCAGTCTGTTCTGTAGTGTTTCTGTGAGTCAGCAAACCCTTCGGTCAATGTATAACAAAAATAGAGAAGTCAAGCTTCTCCAAAGCTAATGGATCCTAAGACAGAAACCTAATGCCTTTCTAAACTACATTAATGCCGATTTTATCAGGCGTCCATTTTGCTTTCTTCCCACGGGGGCAACACCAATGCTAATTTTCATAGCCAGGAGAAAGAAACAGAGTTAAGAGCAAGGTATTCAGGAGACAGAAAAACTTATGCTAAAAAAATTAAAAGCTCAACTATTATAAGACAAAAATAAGAATTAAAAAGAAGTGCTTTTTTTTTTTTTGAGACAGTCTTGCTCCGTCGCCAGGCTTGAATGCACTGGTGTAATCTGGGCTCACTGCAACCTCCGCCTCCCAGGTTCAAGCAATTCTCCCGCCTCAGCCTCTCTAGTAGCTGGGACTACAGGTACGCGCCACCACGCTCAGCTAATTTTAGTATTTTTTAGTAGAGACGGGGTTTCACCATGGTCTCGATCTCTTGACCTTCTGATCTGCCCGCCTTGGCCTCCCAAAGTGCAGGCATGAGCCACCGTGCCCAGCCAAGAAGTGTGTTTTTAAAAATGTCTAGCCTCAAGCCATGCCACAAAGGACACCTCATTGCTTAAGACAACATGTCCTGTTCATGCCAGCACAGTAACTGAGAAAGAAAAGGCAGGCTTCTAACAGCGCTGCAACAAGGTCTCGTTTCTAGACCGAAACACAGAGAACGCTCACAGCCAATCATTTCCTTAATGCGGCATTTGTAAAGCGTCACCCAAACACAGAAACGCTGGTGAATGCTCAGAAACTACAAATGGCCTGAGGTGAACCAAGTTTTCACTAGACACAAATATGCAGAACGAGGCCACGATGACTTCGGGCAACGAAAGTAACTTACCTTAAATTCCGTAACTGACTTGTATTCATTAGCTACAATTTTGTCTTTCATGGTGCCAAAATCCATGGGATGTTTTATTATCATTGAATATCCAGGAGCAATTGCATCCGTGACAGGAAAAGCAAAAAATCCATGGGGATCTTTTCTGAAAGCAAAGACATCTCTGTGGAAGAATCTAGATTTCTAAATGAAAAACCTCTTACAATCTAGAAATCTGATTCAACTGACAGAATTTCGTTTCTTAAAAATAAAAAGTTCCTAGGGTCTTTCAACCCATTGTGATAGGTATTTCAGATATAATAAAAATTCCCTCAACGTGTCCTGGCGGCTGTCATCGCCCCCGCTCTGCCTTGACTTCCCTCACCCTACTCTGACTTCAGAGTGGGCCCCTGGGGAGTCCGTGAACTCTTCCCATCCACCCCAACATGGACCAGGAGTCACCAAGAGAAGGTGTAGGGTCTGTTTCACAGCTGATGCAGCTGGGGTGCGGGATGAAACCTCAGAAAATAAAGATGGCGCCACCCCCCCAGACACAAGCTCTTCAGAAACACCCATTTACCTCTGGAGCTGGCGGAGGAAGTGCTCCAGGAGCTGCTGAATAGGTGTGCTCTCATTTTCGGCTGACAATTTAAGGAAAAAAAAATTGAATACAAAGACTTTGATATCCCTTCAATAGAGAGCTCCAAGTTCACAGAATCTGTCTGTTTGGTGTCTCACAGCATTTTAAGTTCCAGCGAGAACTGGGGATACAAAGACACATCCGACTCAGCCTTGGCTCCCACGAAGCTCAGCCAGGCGGGAAAGGGCACCCACATGCAGTGGGAATGGTGAAAGCCCCGTATGACACCCGGTAGCCCTTACATCAACAAACGTAGGGATCCCTAATCCATGCTGTCAGCTCCTGGCACTATTCTAGGCAGGGGATGAAGGACAGAACAAAGGCTCTGGGCATAAAGCTTGATCCTGTATTCACCGATCATTATTTCAGTTGAGGTCCCTCAACTTTCCACAAAAAGTAAATAACTAAATGGCTGGCCTGCTGGGGTGTGCCTGTAGTCCCAGCAACGAGGGAGGCTGAGGTGGGAGGACCGCTTGAGCCCAGGGTTATCCGAGCCCAGGAGTAACCATGACACTGCACTCTAGCCTGGGCGACAAAACAAGACCTCATTTCAAAACTAAATTAAGAAAAGAAAATGCCTGAAGAACAAAACGACCACAGAAACTCAGAGACCAGCAGTATTCCAGAACTTTCCTTTGGTGGAGTCAGCAGGGCTCAGACGGTTTCTGATGGCCTGAACCACCGTAGCACTAGCCTCCCACTCCCTGAGGTCCCACGGCCCAAAGCCCAACTGCCCCAGTTTCCCCACAATCCAGGAACCACTGGACACTGAGAGTCACCGGGAAGAGACACCGCTTGTCTTAGGTACAAATGCCTCGTCACTGGGATTCGTGCACACAAAGGTTGGGGACAAGGAGAACCCAGAGGGCATGCCCTTACTGGCTGGAGATTCCAGCCAAATGCCATCCTTGGCAGCCGGTGCCCATGAAAGAAATTCTACGGAAGGTCTCTAACTCCCTTCGCCTCAGCCTATGGTCACTTTCAGCTTCAGACCCACTCTTTGGGCCTCCAGGTCCCTTCTTCTAAGGGGAACTACCTGCGGTTTCACTGACATGCATCTCTCTTACCAGTCTGACCCTGTGGGGCAATTCTTTTGACGCTGTTCTGTTTGGTGCTAAGCGCGGACAAAACCAAACTTTTTCAGAACCAGGGATGGCAAACTTTTTACGTAAAGGCCAGAAAAAAATAGTCTAGGCTTTGCTGGTCACATATGACTGTTCTCTGTGGATACGCCTTTTTGTTTCTTTTTACAAGCCTTTAAAAATCATAGAAACCATCCACAGCTAACAAGTTAAAAACAAATCTCAAGGGCACCAGTAGTCACCAGCCAAGCGGTGCTCCAGACATTCAAAGATACTGGAGGAAACCTCAGATCCAGAGGACACCTGGAACGAGGCCCCAGAAATACCAGTCCTCCTCCCTCCCATGCTTCTCCCCAAAGCAAGATGACAGGGCTCCGACCCCTAATTTACAACAAGCAGCAGTGAACACCAGGAGAGTCTCTAAAAGCCGACCCTTGCCTGGCTGTGTCCGGCAGGCTCTGATGGGCCGATCTGGGGGCGGCTCCACCTCCACCTTCTTCCCGGGATCAAAGTCATCAGCCTCTCCCTCCGTGTCGCAGTGCTCCCGCTCGCGCTTCCGCTTCTTCTCTTCCTGGGAGGCAGAGTCAAGGCAGTGAGGGACGGGAGTAGGTGGGATCCAGACACCTCCGCCCAATCCCCTCTCAGTTCTCAGGAAGGACAGAGCTAAGGGAAAACCCCTCAGAGACCCTTCTCACAGAGACCCAGGCAGCTATAGAAACGCCCCTTGGCGACCCTCCCGACGTCAGGCCCCCTCCTCACAGAGACGCTGGCAGGGTCTGCAGAGGAACCACAAACCAGGTGCCTGGAACTGAGCCTATTGGCCTCAGCGGTTTGCATTCTGCTCCTCACGGAACCCCGTCCTCCGCCACACAGGTGCACTCTGCCTGCTGGGACCTGGTACCCGTGGGCGGGTCGGGGTCCCCGGGCTGCTGCTACTCCTTCACCTTTCGCTTCCTCCTCTCCTCATCATCCAGATGCTTCTCCTTCTCGGACTTCTTCTTCTTCTTCTTCTTCTTTTCTTTGTGCCTCTCTCGCTCATGGTCTGACCTGTCATCATAGTAACTGGAGTCGTGGCCAGATCCTGAGAGCTCGGTCACTTCGCTTCCTCCGACCTTGAGGACCAGCTTCAGGGGCTTCTCCAGGGGCTTGTCGGCATAATCTGCAGACACAGACAGAGTTTCAGGCGCAAACGCCCCCCAGTCAGGCGACACGTGAGGGTGCCAAGGGAAAAGGCCTCCCTCGGGAGCACGGCGGGGCTGCCAGCCATCGGGGAAAGCCAGAAGGGAAGACCACGGGGGCTGCCACAGTGCCTGCGTGTCGCTGCCTCCTTTTTCTCCCTTCCAAGCCAGTGTCCTCACCGGGGAAGGCCCTGTGGGATATTGTTCACTTCACTCGTCCAAGAAGATCCATGAATCAAGAGGAACCTGGAAGCCCGGAGCCTGACCTCCCTCCCAGAAGCCGCCAGCACCGCGGTTCACCCTGGCCTGACTTCCCGCTGACACCCACCGAGCTGCTGCGGGGACTGGGCAGAGGAAAGGCGGGAGAAGGGGCAGCCGAGCGCCACACAAAAGCCAGCACAGACGCTTCCCTAGTCTCCAGGACCGGGGAGGGTGGACCTGCAGCCTCCAGCCCAGAACCCCCTCCCAGAAACGCAGGCGCGCGGCAGGACCCCTCGCGCGAGCCCGGTGCCCTGCCCGAAACCCCAGGCCCCCCGTCCCGCGTACCCGGAACGCCGCCCCCGTGGCCGAGACTTCGCCAGGTGCCCAGGATCCCGGCCCGCGTGCCCAGAACTCCTCCCCCGAGCCCGGGACCCCGCCCGCCGCGCGTCACAAAGCGCCGCCGCCTCACCCTCGTAGGACGAGCGCCACTCGGCCTTGTGCTTCTTGTGCTTTTTGCCCATGACGACGCCGGCGGCGGGCCCGGGGCGAGGGCCAGGAGCAGTGGGGACCCGGCCGGACCGCGGCCTCCGCCGCCCCCTGGCCCTGGTTGGCCGCCCTCCGCCGAACCCTCCGAACCCTCCGGGCCGCGCCGGAAGCAGGGCGGGGCGGGGCGGGGCCGCCGCAGGAAGTGACCCTGCCGGACCCGAGCGCTTCCGGGTCAGGAGGCGGTGCGCCTCGCGCGGCAGATTCGAAGCTCGGGCGGGGCCCGCGGGCTGAGGCGGCGGTTGTGGCGGCGACGCTCCGGTCGGGTCCCCACTGCTCCCGGGGGCGCCATGGACGAGGCCGTGGGCGACCTGAAGCAGGCGCTTCCCTGTGTGGCGGAGTCGCCGACGGTCCACGTGGAGGTGCATCAGCGCGGCGGCAGGTGAGCGGGACCGGCCAGTACCCACCTCTGGGCGCCCACCCGCGGCGACCTCAGCGCGTGCACCGAGCCCCAACGCAGGGGCACCGACCCGCCCCGACCCCAGCGCACTGATTTCGATGCGCCTCCACCCCAGGGTATTGACCCGGATCCCACCCCAGGGCGCTTACCCTGCCCGACGGGACTCCAGCCACAGACCCAGCCCGGCCCCGACCCCGACCCGATCCTAGCGCACTGACCCGACCCCACCCCAGGGCGCTTACCCTGCCCGACTGGACCCCAGCCACAGACCCAGCCCGGCCCCGACCCCGACCCGATCCTAGCGCACTGACCCGACCCCACCCCAGGGCGCTTACCCTGCCCGACTGGACCCCAGCCACAGACCCAGCCCGGCCCCGACCCCGACCCGATCCTAGCGCACTGACCCGACCCCACCCCAGGGCGCTTACCCTGCCCGACTGGATTCCAGCCACAGACCCAGCCCGGCCCCGACCCCGACCCGATCCTAGCGCACTGACCCGACCCCACCCCAGGGCGCTTACCCTGCCCGACGGGACTCCAGCCACAGACCCAGCCCGGCCCCGGCCCCGACCCCGACCCGATCCTAGCGCACTGACCCGACCCCACCCCAGGGCGCCGACCCCGACCCGATCCTAGCGCACTGACTCGACCCCACCCCAGGGCACTGACCCAGCCGACCTGATCCCTGTGCGCAGGATCCCAGCTCACAGTGTGGCCCCCATTGCCAAGGGGCCACACGTCACCTGCCTGGCTCTGAGGGCCTGTCCAGGAGGGCTCAGGGGGAGGCAGACACTGACTAGAACCTAAAGCGTGACTGCAGCTGATGAGCCCATCTGACCCCAGCCCACTGACCGTGGCCCTGAGTCCCACGTTGGAGGATAGGCTGGCAGCATTACAGAGAGCTCAGCCGAAAGTTGGGGTTGTTATTTTTTGGGCCAGTGTTTTTCAGACTCTTTAATTATTTCCTGTTCCTCACAGATATTAAGTTTGTAGGGTTCAAGGCAAATCCCACTCATTTGTGACCAAGCCAGTTCATGGTATGGTGGGGCCTGTAGGCTGCTAACTGAAGTGGAGGGAACTCAGCAGCAGGGCCAGATCTTCACAGACCCTCCTCATGTCTATGGAGGGTGGCCCGAGGTCAGGTGAGACTCAGATCCTCACAGACCCTCCTCATGTCCGTGGAGGGTGGCCTGAGGTCAGGTGAGACTACCAGTCTCAGAGGGGATACAGAGGAAGAGACCTTTCCTTTGGCAGAACAGCTGTTGACTGGGCACCTTCTAGGTGCTGGAGTTCAGACACCTCAGTGTAATTGTGCCAGGGCCCAGAGACACCTGTGCAAAGCCCCACCACAGCCTTGCAACACCTGCATGAACACCTTCGAGCCCAGAGACACCTGCACACAGTGCCACTGCAGCCTGGAGACACCCAAGGACAACCACATGTGGGCTCAGACACTAGGCATAATCACACCAGAGCACAGCCGCACCTACAGGACACCTGTGCACAGCCGCACCTACAGGACACCTGTGCACAGCCGCACCTACAGGACACCTGTGCACAGCCGCACCTACAGGACACCAGAGCACAGCCGCACCTACAGGACACCTGTGCACAGCTGCAGCAGAGTTCATAGGCACCTGCATCAACCACACCATGCACTGCGGTCACTGCCTTATAGGCTGCTGGGACGATTGCCAAGGGGCCACACGTCACCTGCCTGGCTCTGAGGGCCTGTCCGGGAGGGCTCAGGGGGAGGCAGACACTGACTAGAACCTAAAGCGTGACTGCAGCTGATGAGCCCAGTAAGCTGGGACCGTGCACGGGGGACACAAAGGTGAGATCCAGGACCAGGTCACTGTCGTAGAAAGAGGAGCTCTCAGGACTACAGTGGCAAGGTGGCTGCGGGGAGCACTGGATGCCAAGCTTAAAGCATTAGGTTTTCTCAGCACGAATCACAGGACTCCAGGCCTGACTCCACAGCTGTGAATTTCAGTAATATCAAAAGCCAACATTTATTGGGTGCTTCTTATGTGCCAGATATCGTCCTAAACACTTTGAATGTATTAACGACTCTTCACAGTGCATAGCAAGAACGCTTACGGTTGCTGGGAGCTGAGGCACAGCTTTCTCAGGGCACAGCTGGTAGACCCCACATGCAAGGGGTGGCCCTAGATTTGGCCCCCAGGCTGGCCAGCTCCAGCCTGTCCTCTTAACCACCACACCTTCTTATATGTTGTCTAAGTTTTCAAAAAACACTTAATTGTAACATCTTGTTTTTGAACTAAGATCTTTTATGTGTGTTTTGTTTTTTTTAGCACTGCAAAAAAAGAAGACATAAAGCTGAGTGTTAGAAAGCTACTCAGCAGACACAATATTGTGTTTGGTGACTACACGTGGGCTGAGTTTGATGAGCCTTTTTTGACCAGAAATGTGCAGTCTGTGTCTATCGTTGACACAGAATTAAAGGTTAAAGACTCACAGGTAAGTTGCTAATTGCTGGGCCAAGTAACAGCTGAATGCAAAGGCTGTATCATGAATGTCTTTTCTGTTTTCATAGAGTATTGTCAGAAATGGGTTCACATATCTGTGGGTCTGGGTGATGAGACTAGTTTTTCTCAGCATCTGTCAGGAGCCAGGTGCTGGGAGTAGGAGTTGGCCCTGACGTCAGGGTGCTCTCAGTACAGCAGGGGACAGACTGGGAACCAAGAATGATAATGCAGCACTGTAGGACAGTGGGCTATGCTGGGGAGTCCTGTGCATTGTGTCTCATTCTTTCAGGGAAGAAATGTTTATGAAGTGCTCAGTGTGTGCTAGGGCCATCGGAGGTGTGGGGGCTCCAGGGATGAGGAGGTGGCATCGGAGATGTGGGTGCTCCAAGGATGAGGAGGTGGCATCGGAGGTGTGGGGTCTCCAGGGATGGGGAGGTAGCATCGGAGGTGTGGGGGCTCCAGGGATGAGGAGGTGGCATCGGAGGTGTGGGGGCTCCAGGGATGAGGAGGTGGCATCGGAGGTGTGGGGGCTCCAGGGATGAGGAGGTGGCATCGGAGGTGTGGGGGCTCCAGGGATGAGGAGGTGGCATCGGAGGTGTGGGGGCTCCAGGGATGAGGAGGTGGCATCGGAGGTGTGGGGGCTCCAGGGATGAGGAGGTGGCATCGGAGGTGGGGGGGCTCCAGGGATGAGGAGGTGGCATCGGAGGTGTGGGGGCTCCAGGGATGAGGAGGTGGCATCGGAGGTGTGGGGGCTCCAGGGATGAGGAGGTGGCATCGGAGGTGTGGGGGCACTAGAGAGCAGGTCTTCATCTCATCCCACACATGGCCACCTCCCCCACCATCTGAGTTCCTGTGTGGGAGTTGAGGAGCTTTGTGTGAGGGCGTGGATGCACTGGGGCAGTCCTGGCACCAGTGTAAGAAGACTGGAAATGTATTCCCGAGGAAGAAGGATCCCTTCAGTGTGCAGTCCCTGCCCTGTAGAGAACAGTGGTGCAGGACAAGCCTGGCACTAAATTCTGCTCGTGAGGTGGACCTCCTCAGTCATATGCTGGGACGTGTGTTTGTTCATGATCACTGAGAGCTGACGCTCCGTGGGTTCAGCCAGTCTGAGGAAGGAGGATCTTCCCACACTGGTATGGACGGATGGACAGCTAGCTGGAGGGCACCGGGGCTGCCCAGGGAAAGTTGTAATGTCCCGTCTTCAGCTGCAGATTCACTTGTAGGAATTTTTCTTGGCCGATAGTTCTGCAATTTCGTGGGTCTTTCTGAACAGATGTTGGTTAGATGTTGCTAATAGCCAACAATTTGAAATTTTTTTTAACTGATCTCTGTCCACCAGAGATCAGTTACTAACCGTAAGAATTCCACGCATCTGCACCATGTACAATATAGCCATGAAGAAGAATGAAATAGATTTCTATCTACTGCTGTAAACATTTCTCCGAGTTGAAACAAACACAAAAAGGCGCACGTGAGGGACCCGGCGGCTGAGGAGGCTCATGCCTGCAGTCCCAGCGCTGGGAGGCAGACGGAAGGATCACTTGAGGCCAGGAATTGGAGACTGGCCCGGGGAGCACAGCAAGAACCCGTCTCTAGAAAGAGTTTTTAAAAATTAGCCAATGTGGGGGCACACACACCTAGTACCAGCTACTCAGGAGGCTGAAGGTGGGAGGATCACTCACTTGAATCCAGGAATGTAATCTTGCTGCGAGCTGTGGTCTTGCCACTGTACTCTATCTTGGGCGACAGAGCAAGATCCTGTCTCAAAAAATAACCTAATTAAAAAAAAACACCCATGTGGTGAAAGTCAACTGCGATCGTGTTTCCAGAATCCAGTGACATCCCAGAGGCTGGACTTAGGCACTTGCTCTATCCAGGAAGTGGGTGTAGGGCCCAACAGGCCAGGGATGGGTATACACTTTTAAAAGAGCTAATTCTCAACCCCAAGTTAATTCATAGCCTTCTCATCTAATGTGAAAATTACTTTATCATACTATACATTCAGCTTTTATTTGTGGATCTTAACATCTAATGTGTATGGGTAGAATTGAGTGACATACCTTAAACGTGTGTCAATTAATGTGGCTTTTCTCTCATAGCCTATTGATTTGAGCACCTGCAAGGTTGTGCTTCACATCTTCCAGCTGAACGAAGATGGCCCCAGCAGCGAAAATCTGGAGGAAGAGACAGAAAACATAATTGCAGCAAATCACTGGGTTCTGCCTGCAGGTATGGGGGTGGCGCTGAGGCGCGGGTGTGATGCTGAGATGTGGGTGTGGTGCTGAGACGTGGGGGTGATGCTGAGACGTGGGAGTGATGCTGATACGTGCGGGTGATGCTGAACGTGGGGGTGATGCTGAGACCTGGGGGTGGCGCTGAACGTGGGGGTGATGCTGAGACCTGGGGGTGGCGCTGAGGCGCGGGTGTGATGCTGAGATGTGGTGTGATGCTGAGACGTGGGGGTGATGCTGAGACGTGGGGGTGATGCTGATACGGGGGGGTGATGCTGAACGTGGGGGTGATGCTGAGATGTGGGTGTGGCGCTGAGACGTGGGGGTGGCGCTGAGACGTGGGGGTGGCGCTGACACGCGGGGGTGGCGCTGACACGCGGGGGTGACGCTGAGACCTGGGGGTGACGCTGAGACCTGGGGGTGACGCTGAGACCTGGGGTGATCCTGAGATGTGGGGGTGATGCTGAGGCACGGGGGTGGCGCGGAGGCGTGGGGGTGGCGCTGAGACCTGGGGGTGGCGCTGAGATGCGGGTGTGATGGTGAGACGCGGGTGTGATGGTGAGACGTGGGTGTGATGGTGAAGTGCGGGTGTGATGAGATGTGGGTGTGATGGTGAAGTGTGGGTGTGATGCTGAGACGTGGGTGTGATGCTGAGACGTGGGTATGATGGTGAGATGCGGGTGTGATGGTGAGGTGTGGGTGTGATGCTGAGACGTGGGTATGATGGTGAGATGCGGGTATGATGGTGAGACGTGGGTGTGATGGTGAAGTGCGGGTGTGATGAGATGTGGGTGTGATGGTGAGGTGTGGGTGTGATGGTGAGACGTGGGTGTGATGGTGAGATGCGGGTGTGATGGTGAGGTGTGGGTGTGATGGTGAGGTGTGGGTGTGATGGTGAGGTGTGGGTGTGATGGTGAGATGCGGGTGTGATGGTGAGGTGCGGGTGTGATGCTGAGACGTGAGATGTGGGGTGTGGTGGCAAGGTGTAGTGTAGGCTGAAGTCAGAGGACTGCATACTCCCTGCCGTGTCACTTGTTCTGTTGGATTAGAATGTTTTATTTCTTGCCAAATGGAGAGTAGATGAGAACAGAGGAAAGTTGACATTTCCAGTGTGGGACCATACTGTTCCTTTGGTGGGTTCCTCAGTCACAGCCAACAGAGAGTGCCCGTGTGCTCCTCTCACGTGCCCCGTTGGCCTGTCCTGCTGAGCGGCTCCCGCCCTTCTCACGTGCCCCATTGGCCTGTCCTGCGGAGCGGCTCCCGCCCTTCTCACGTGCCCCGTTGGCCTGTCCTGCTGAGCGGCTCCCGCCCTTCTCACGTGCCCCGTTGGCCTGTCCTGCTGAGCGGCTCCCGCCCTTCTCACGTGCCCCATTGGCCTGTCCTGCGGAGCGGCTCCCGCCCTTCTCACGTGCCCCGTTGGCCTGTCCTGCGGAGCGGCTCCGTCCTGTCTTCCTTATGCTTCTCCGTGGGTGTGGCCGATGGGCTCTAGCAGGCTGGGGCCAGGGCTAATTCCGTCATCATCATCGTGTGGAGAAATGGGTGGATTTAGTGTCTGAGCTTGTGTTGAAGCATGGGTCCACAAAAGACAATTATCAGTGGTCATGATCATAAATGTTATGATGTGTTGTGTACCACAATAAAAATGGATAGTTTAATGAAAACATTGCATGTGGTGGTTATAATACACATAAATGTAAAATGTATGACAACAGAGCAGAAGATGGGTAGGAAATTAGCTAGAGTTTCTTGAAAGGATCATTGCGCATGATAACGAGGCATCCAGTTGTCTGCCAAAAGTTATACGTGACTGGCATTTGTTTTGCAATCAAAAATACTTAATACGAATTAAAATTTGAAGAAAAATGTGCAGAATTTACACTTTCCTGCAACCACAATTGTAGTCTTAGCTTGTGTGGCACAGTGGGAAGCTCGGGCATAGGCTCAGGGCAGACTGGCTGGTGGGTGTCATTGCCTGCATGCCTGAAATCAGGCCTTTGTTTGATTCTGTCACAGCTGAATTCCACGGGCTATGGGACAGCTTGGTGTACGACGTGGAAGTCAAATCCCATGTAAGTTGCTGTCCTTTTCCCAGAATGCCCTGTTATTTGAAGAAGAACCATTAGGGTTTGTTCTCCAGCACCCCTGAGCAACTTGATCCAGATGGGTTTGGGGAACCCCTGTCTGCTGGCAACTCTGGTCCTGGATGTCTGTCCTCTAGGTTTGCTCCAGGGTAGAGCTGGCCTCTGGGGAGCGCCCTGCGGGAGAAGAGGGAAGGAGAAGGGGAAGGCAAATTAGAGAGCTGAACCTTCTGGAGACGGGAGGAGGGAAGGTGAGCAGGCCTGGTCCACACGGAGGAAGGCCAGCGTCTCAACCCCTGCATCCTCTTTGTCGGGAAGGGCCTATGTTGGCACTTACATAAAAGGGATCATTTTGTTTCTCTTCTTATATTTATAATAGCAATAGACCGTGTTTTTCCTTTTACCTCTTTGAGGCACCTTCTCTTGTGAAATGAAGCGTTTGGAGGTGATGATCTCTTAGGAGGCGGCCTTGCTCCCTTTGCTCCCTCTTCTCCTGTAGGACTAGGCCCTGGGGGTACATTTGTTGGGAGCCCTGCCTTGTAGGCACCCTTATGTAACTTCTTCTCTGTCTCCCGTCAGCTGCTTGATTACGTGATGACGACGTTACTGTTCTCAGACAAGAAGGTCAACAGCAACCTCATCACCTGGAACCGGGTGGTGCTGCTCCACGGTAACGCGTGCAGGCTTTTTATTTACCCAGATAAGGCTCACAGATCAGCCTTCACTGTCCCTTTGACCTTTTGTCCTTCTGCAAGGAGTGACAGGTCTTTGTTTTCTGAAGGAGCCAGAGCTGTCCTGGAATGTCCCTCTTTGAAGCAGATCCAGCTCTTGACACTTGGGGCATTTATTCTTTTTTTTTTGAGACAGAGTCTTGCTCTGTTGCCCAGGCTGGAGTGCAATGGCCCAATCTCGGCTCCCTGCAACCTTTACCTCCTGGATTCCTTTTGGGTTCCAGCGACTCTCCTGCCTCAGCCTCCCAAGTAGCTGGGATTACAGGCATGTGCCACCACACCCATCTAAGTTTTGTATTTTTGGTAGAGACGGGGTTTTGCCATGTTGACCAGGCTGGTCTTGAACTCCTGACCTCAGGTGATCCACCCACCTCAGCCTCCCAAAGTGCTGGGATTACAGTCATGAGCCACCACGCCTGGCCTTTGGGGCACTTATCACTTGGCACTTCATCAAGTCATCCTGTGGGGACCACATTCCAAGACGTTCCTCAGGTGCCGCCAACGTGGAACGTGGCTAGTACTGAACCCTACGTAGACTTTTCCTATATATATGTTTCTGTGATAAAGCCTAATTCATCAATCAGGCACAGTAAGAGAGTCACAGTAATGACTAGTAGAAAAAGGGAACAATTATAACAACTCGTTAAAGTTATTTTAAACTTACGAATTGTTTATTTTTAGAATTTTCCGTTTAATATTTTTGGACTGCAGTGACCACAGGTAACCGAAACCTTGGAAAGTAAAATCTTGGATGGGGGCGATTGTGTCGTTAGACTGTCCCGGTAATTGTGCCTCGTTTCCCCAGCTGGTTGTGACTCTTCAGGACAGCAGTGCCTCCTATTTCTTTGTAGTGCTCAGAGCTTCACTTTGTGTGGAGTGAACTGGAAAAGCCTTATCTTAAAGAATTCTGTCTGGTTCGTCTCAGGAGAAAATGTTGATGGTTTGTTGTTTTGTTTTGTTTCCGGTGTCACGGGGTAGAACAGTGATGCAGGGACTGAGTGGACTAGAGAGAACCAAACTAGCAAAGCATTAAATAGAAGCTGGAAGAATACTTAGCTTCTTTACACGGTTAAGATTGCGTGATGGCGTGATCTTAATGACGTTCTTTTAAAGATCAGGTTTCCCCAGCACACTGCCCTCATAGCACCGTCAGAGTAGGCAGCGATTTCATTAGTGAGGTCAGTTGTTTCTGTTTGGAACTACTGATGTATTTCCTCTTTAATTCTTGAAAATGCTTGCACAGGGCCAGGCACCATGGGGATCACCTGAGGTCAAGAGTTCCAGACCAGCCTGGCAAACATGGTGAAACCCTGTCTCTACTCTTAAGTACAAAAATTAGCCAGGCGTGGTGGCATGCACCTGTAATCCCAGCTACTGGGGAGACTGAGGCAGGAGAATCGCTTGAACCTGGGGGGCGGAGATTGCAGAAAATGAAAGTTGTGTGTCTCCATTTTTCTGTTAGATGCTTTCCTTTTCCACATTGGTCACCCCACAGCTTCTGTGCGGCATCGTGCCGGGGGACCCTCGGCAGGCAGACATGCAAGAAGAGTGCTGGCCTCCACCACCCTTCGAGTTTAGTATGGGGTCTGAGCCCACTGAAAATTGTCTGTAGGAGAGGCTGGTTCTGGGGGCGACAGGAACAGCACTCGTCAGTGCCTGAGGAGGATGGGACCCTCCACCTCCATTGATCAGGAATGGTGTGTTGAAACTCTGAAAGGTGCTTTGATGAGTGGATTTCATAGAGAAAGCGTGGGGACAAGGACAGTGTCAGCAAAGACCTAGGCTAGAAAATGCAGTGGTCACTCCCAGTGCTGAGTGGGACTGCAGGCCACGAAGCTGTGAGCAGTGCCGGGGTGGGGAGGCGATGGAGGCTGGGACCAGAAATCAGAAGTTGAGTACAAATTAGAAAGAAAGGGGAGACGTAAGTGTATTGGTAGTATTTTACAGCATGTAAGCTTCTAAGCAGACTTCATTGTAGTGATGATGTTAGTAGCTTGTAACTGTTCTTTGCATGTTATTTGAAGGAGTTTGTTGCAGCGCTGACTTACACTCGCATTTGCTTGGAACTTTGTCACAGGTCCTCCTGGCACTGGAAAAACATCCCTGTGTAAAGCGTTAGCCCAGAAATTGACCATTAGACTTTCAAACAGGTAACTTTACTAATTTGTGAGAGGAGAGGAGTGGGACTGGGATATCTAACAGAAGGTCCTTTTTAATTTTCTATTCATTTTACACAAATAATAGGTTCTTCTCCTTCAGTGTGAGTCAGTTGAGTCTTCTACATTCACTGTAGTTTTGAGTATGATTTCAGTCTTTTGAGATGTGAGACTCATCTGATTGCCAGCATGTGGTCTCTGCTGGTGAGTTGCTTCAGAAGACTGCTTTCTGCCCCTTGCTGGATGGAGCGTTCTGCAGATTGCAGGTCAGGACGCTCGGCAGCTTTGCTGATTTTCTGTTCACTTGTTTTACCCATTGCTGAGAGAAGAGTGCTAAGTTCTCTAATAATGGATGTGTTTTTCCCTCTGGAGTTTGGCTCATGGTTCTCGTCACATTTGGAAAATAACTGGTCATTGTTTCCTCACCGAATTTCCTTGCCCCTCCCCTGTATCTGAGAATCCATCTATTTTCATGTTAAACTATTTGATGTTCCACAGGCCATTCATGTGTTTTTCTTTTTTATTTTTTGTTCCAGCTTTTTAGAAATCTCTGTTTTTTTCAAAAGGTTCTATTGCTCTGTTTTCAAGTTGACTGATTTTCTACATCGTCTAATCTGCTTTTGATTGCAGTCAGTGAAGTGTTTGTTTCTGGTGTGTATTTTTTTGCTCCAAATGTTCTATTTGGTTCTTTTGTATTTTTCTTTCATTATGTTCTTGTTAAAATCTTGAACAACTTACACCTGTTTTAATGTCTGTCTGCTAGTTCCATCGGGATTGTCATTTCTGATTCTGTTTCTTTTGACTGGTTTTTCTTCTGGTTATGGGTCACATGGTTTTGCTTCATTGGCATGTTTAGTGTTTGATTAGATGCTGAATGTTGTGATTTGAAGCGTTTGGATTTTGTCTTCCTTCAGTGAGTGTTGGGTTTTGTTCTGTTAGGCATTTCTATTACTTGTGATTCGGTACGATCCTTTGAGGTTTGTTTTTTTTTTAAGCTTTGATCAGGAGGGGTTTAGGTTTAGTCTTAATACTAAATCGTGGGCCTCTGGGGTCTCCACTGAGTGTTGGAGTGCGCACTCCTCCCAGCCTGTGTGAGCTCACAGATCCACAGGCGCCCTTCACACAGCTGCATGGACTGTCCCCTGCTCACAGACACCTGAGTATGCATCCAAGACACCAGGGACGTCCCGAGGATTCCCGGACACTCCCTCAGGTCTTTCTTCGTCTTTGCTTCCCCTCTGGAGTTCTGTTCTGCAGCCTGAGTATTCATCCAAGACACCAGGGACATCCCAAGGATTCCCGGACACTCCCTCTGAGGTCTTTCTTCGTCTTTGCTTCCCCTCTGGAGTTCTGTTCTGCAGCCTGAGTATTCATCCAAGACACCAGGGACATCCCAAGGATTCCCGGACACTCCCTCTGAGGTCTTTCTTCGTCTTTGCTTCCCCTCTGGAGTTCTGTTCTGCAGGCTTCAGTCACCTCAGACTCCCTGAACCCCAGTCTCCGTCTCCCCGGCTCCCCAAGTAGCTGTGCTCCTCTTGGGCTCCTCCCAGCAGAACGCCAGGAGTCCCAGCCCTCACTGCTACATACGGTTTCATTCATTTTGCCAGGTTTTCTCATTGTTTAAGATTAGATGGTAAATCTCCTTCCTGTTACTCCAGTATGACTGGAGGAAATCCTGTGAGGTCTAATTTCATATACATACATTTTAGTCTTCAAAAATGTGCTGTCAATGTTTTTACCTAGGGAAGTTCTTTATTTTGACACCTTGGGTTATGTTTAGCTTGCCCTTTGTTTTCACATGTTGAAATACATGTGTGTTTTCAGGATCTCCAGGAGCATCCTGGCATGGTGGCTTATGCCTGCAATCCCAGCACTTTGGGAGGCTGAGGCAGGAGGGAGGTCCAGGCCGTGGTGAGCCTGGTGTTAGGAGTGCATTCAGCCTGGGTGACGGGACGAGAAAAGAAGAACCAGAAAAGATCTTGAGGGGCAGAGAGGGAAACTCAAGAGAAGGAAAATGTGAATATGCCTTGGTTTTATGGCTTAGAAATGGCAAAAGGAAGCCTTAGCAAGCTTTTGTTCCTCACTCTGTTAAAGAAGCAAAATGTTTTATAATTAATTTTAATATTCAACTCAGTCTTTATTTTGTTAGATTTTCTGTATCCCTCCCCTGTTTTATAAACAGTCTGAGTACATGGTCTCTTTTTCACGTGGAATGCCAGTGAAGCTTTCTGAAAGTAGTTATTTTTCTTTTGTGGACTTCCAACCTGGAAGAAACTGAAAAGGGGACCTGGGAGTCAGCGTCTCTCTGGCCTCAGCCTTCTCTGGTGATGTAGTCAGCGGCTGGGCGCGTCCGCACCTGCCTGTAGTCCTGTGAAGGGATAGAGGCGTGTTTCCGGGCTGCAGTCAGTGTGTGTGTGTTGAGGTGAGCTTTAGGCCACCTGAGCATTCCTGAGCTCTCGGGTCTGTGCTGGAAAGCAAATTATCCTGCTCTTCAGGGTCTGTAGAAGGAGGGAAAATGCTCAGCTCCTGCCGAAAGCTCTTGATGCTTCTATTTTGTTTTGTTTTGCATATTATATAAGTACTGGTAATACTTTTTAAACATGGAAATATAATTTGTAAATGGATTTAAAATGGGAGAGTGTTTATTCTTTAACTCAGGTAATTTAACTGGTACAGTCTAGAACTGTTGATTGAATCTTGTTAGACTGTTTCATAATTATTCAGTACACGGAAGGCTAGATTCCTCAGATCCTCGTCAGTAACTGTAATTCCCCAGACACTGGGCACTGGAGACGTTGCATTCACGACGCACGAGTGGCTGCCGTGGAGGACGCCATGGGACTGATGAGTAATTTTCTCAATCCCTTTTTTATGTCTCAGGTACCAGTATGGCCAATTAATTGAAATAAACAGCCACAGCCTCTTTTCTAAGTGGTTTTCAGAAGTAAGTATTATATATTAATTGTGGGTGTTTAGATTGTCAACTTTGTAGCTAAAAAAATGTCTTGTATGTTAGGCAAATCCTCCTCCAGAAGCTTCAGCAGAGAACCAGGTGGGATAGGAGGGTGAGGATGGGGGCTGACTGTGATCAGAGAAGGTTCCGGAGCTGGGGCCTGGGGACCCTCGCTTGGTCCTCCCCAAACGTCTAGGTGGGACAGGGCATTCGACGGACTCTCAGGAGGTCAGCCCTGCCACACACACCCTTGATGCTCATGTACCCCAGCGCTGTCTGTGAGCTGAGGGGGTCAGACTGGGTGATGTCACAGGTGACCCTTACCTCTGAGGAGCTGTGCCCAAGTCACCTGGCATCCGCATGTCCCTCTGGTGAGGTGAAGTGAGGTGGGACCTAGCTCATTGTAAGGAGAGCACCCTAGCCTGTTTCCATCTGTTGTCTGTCACTTTCCTCGTCAGAGAGGACAGACAGGTGAGCAGAGGTCCAGGCTGCCCTCGCTGTGCCACCCCAGGCAGGTCAGGTGGGAGCTCAGGGCTAAGCACTCTGGCATTCAAATTAGAGCAGGGGAGTGTTAGGCAGACCTCCTCCCACGCCACCCTTGGGCATCAGCACCCTGGCATTCAAAGCAGAGGGGAGAGTGGTAGGCAGACCTCCTCCCATGCCGCCCATGCCACCCTGGCTCCTCTGACTTAGGGAGCTTTCTGAGGGGCCGTCAGGAGACAGTGGTCTTGTGGGGACAACTGGGACAGCAGGCCATGTCAGGGTCCCCCATGCACCTGGCAGTGTGGTCTCTGCACATTGACGCTGAAAGGGTGTTTCGGTTGCAGAGCGGGAAGCTGGTAAACAAGATGTTTCAGAAGATTCAGGATTTGATTGATGATAAAGACGCTCTGGTCTTTGTGCTGATTGATGAGGTAGGCATTTCCAGACAAGGACATTCATGACAATTGCCGATGGCTGTTGCGGGGACACAGCCTGCTCCTGATGCTCCTGGCCTTCGCCTCACACAGCCGGGCAGCCCTCCAGCCCTCCCTGTGCTGGATGCCTTTGCCCAGCATCCACAGGCTAGGCGGGGGAAACCCGCTCATTCACTTTTTCACAGGTGCCAGGCCCTGTCCTTTTTGACCCCCTTGCTCCATCCCCACAGGTGGAGAGTCTCACAGCCGCCCGAAACGCTTGCAGGGCGGGCACCGAGCCGTCAGATGCCATCCGCGTGGTCAATGCCGTCTTAACCCAGATTGATCAGATTAAAAGGTAACCAGGACACACAGCAGTTTGCCCTGTGACATGATAGAGAAGTTTGTTCCAAAGAAACGCGTGGAAAGTGCACAGCCGTAGGTCTTCGTGCCCAGCTCTTTAGCTAAAAGTGCATTTGGCATTGAGTATTGGCTCCTTTTCCACCTTGGAAGCAGAATATCATAAATGCTTTTTAAAGGAATTGTTTTTAGTTTGTTAAAAATGTGAAAGAAAACTTGGGCATGGTAAGAATTTTACGTAGCACAGAAAAGCATAAAAGGAAGAACTTCTGGGTTCCGGCCTTGGTGTCAGCACCAGCCAGTGCTGCCTGTAGGTGATCACAGCTGTGCCCTGCCGGCCCAGGGCAGAGGGCTTCATGGGCGGATTTCCACATCTCCACAGTATAGCCTCGCAGGGCCAGGGCCTCTTGTCAGCATAGCCCACGTTGATCAAGCCTGGGGAGGGACGGCTGCTGGCACAACTCACGAGGAAGCGATGGGCCTGCCAGAGCCTGTCTGTTCCTGTGTGGCGCTCAGCCAGGACTCAGCTTCCTTCTCTCAAGTGCTCTTTCTGCCCTCAGGGTACCTGGGGAGTCCAGGGCCTTCTCGGAAGCTGGATTGTTGAGTGTGGGGTGACAAGAAACTGAACCGTGCAGAGGAATGTTTTGATCAGGCCTTCACCACTGTCTCACCACAGGGAGCGTCTCCGGCTTCCTGAGAAGTGCTCATTTGGGGTCAGCTGCAGGAGAGTGCAGGTCCTGGAGGGTGCTTGCCTGCCTCTTGCTTCCTTCTCCTTGTGTCCACTTCCTTCCCTCCTGGCTCGTCCTTCAGTCTGCAGTGATCTGGCTCCTACCCCTGCCACAGCCCCACAGCCCCCATTCACATGAGTACTCACTTTTCTCTTTCTGGAACGTGGCACAGCGCTGATGCCCTGATGCCCCTTCCCTGAATCTCTTTGTGCCTCCCTCCCCGGCCTCCACTCTCCTGGCCTCCTTCTCAGTTTACGCTGTGCTGGTATCTCTCAGCAGGGAAGGGTCTACACGGCCTGTCTGTGGCCTCCTCTCCTGGCATGCGCATACTCCTGGCATGTACCCCTTTCCTCCAGCGTCACTCAGGGTTCTGTGGGGGGGGGGATTCCAGACCTGCACATTCACCTGTGACCAGACATCACAGTTTTGATGCCCGAGGCACCAGGCACACTCCCACGCTGCTCATGGGGCCCCAAATCCCTCGCTTCCTGGGATTCCGCATTTCACCAGTGCCCTCACTGTGCACTCCTGCTCCAGCCACAGGGTGGGCGTCACCATGACCCCTCCTTCCCAGCAGACACAAAGGCATGTGGCTCAGGAAGAAGCAAGGAGATACTCTTGCCTCTCGACCTCATTCCCTCGTGTTCCTGGTTCTGGCCCCTCTCTAGAGGACTCTGCCGGTCCCCCAGCATCCCTGTCCATGCCTGCATCTCTATGGAGTGTCAGCCCCTGGGTGGTGATCTCCAGGCCTAGACCTCCCTCTGGCCCTTCCTGCAGCCCCACTCTCCTGGTGCTGGACTGAGTATCTGTGAGCTCAGCCGACCTCTGTACCGTCTTCCTTCTGCCAGGGACCCACGTGCTCCCTGCCCTGCCTTTGCTTCACTCACCCCTGCTCACAGGCACAGGGCCTGCCCTCACTTGGCCAGGGTCTAGATAAAGCGGGCCTTCCCCAGGCTCCCCCGTCACTGAGCACCCTGCTCTACCACCTGCCCAGGAGGTGGCGCTGCCGCACGTGCAGCCAAGCCCCACCAGGCCGGTAAGGCGAGCTCCCCAGGGCACTGTGTGCCCACTGTGCTGGCTCCTGCTGAGCCCTTGGGGGACATCCATCAACAGGCCAGACAACAGGGGCTCTTTCTGTGGAGTTTAGACCTAGAGGGGAGAGCAGACCATGGATGCAGTAAGCGATCCAGCTCCACCACGTGTCCAGGGACGATGAGCGACTGTGCCCAGGTGGTGGTGGGCACCAGGGCGTACAGTAGGTGGCACAGTGAGGGACGCAGTGCAAAAGTGAGATCTCAGCCAAGGTTGAAGGCAGTGAGGGAATGAGCCAAGTGGGGCTTGAGGAGCAGCTCAAGCAAAGGCAGTGGGGTCTGTTTGGCCTGTCAGCAGTCTGCGGGCCATCGCCCTGCCAACCCTCTCGCCCGGTGGGCAGGATAGAATCGGGTCACCGACAGCCATGCTGACTGTGGTCCTTGCTCCACGGCCAAATAGGCATTCCAACGTGGTGATTCTGACCACCTCCAACATCACCGAGAAGATCGACGTGGCGTTCGTGGACAGGGCTGACATCAAGCAGTACATCGGGCTGCCCTCTGCGGCGGCCATCTTCAAAATCTACCTCTCTTGTTTGGAAGAACTGATGAAGGTACCTTTATTTTTTTTCCTCCTGATAAGTAATTTCTTATGTGTTCTTCATTAATTGAGATAGCTTAAAATAAGCTCGTCCTAATATGGAGGGTTTCAACATACGCATTTGTTACACCCTACCCGAGCAGTAAAGGAATATGCCACACTGAGGTTGAATCGGGAGTCCTTTTATTGCCGGTGACCGAGAGACAGCTAATGCTCAAAATTCTCTCGCCCCAAAGAGTTAGGGGGTTTTTTATGCCCTAGTTTGAAAAAGGCGAGGGGCAACCTATCTGAAGCAATTTTTCACAGATGCAGAGCAAGCAAAAAGTTGAAAGATACACAAGTACATAAGAAGTAAACAGTGCCAGGGGCAGTGCCAGCTGCCGCAGAAGACCTACACATACAGATACGGGGCTCTGGGTGCTTAACATCTGCGTTCCCAGGGTCTGCTGGTACCGCTTGACTCGGTATCTTACCAGCACATGCAGTCCTGGACGTGCCTGGTGTCGTCCTGCCGCAGCCACACACTACAGCTACATACTTAATGGGGGAAAATAACCATAAGTGAAGAAGCTAAGATGGGCTTTGTCCGGCTTCTGCAGTGAAGAATGACTTGGTTAGGCCAACACAAGGTCGGTTAACACACACTGACTCCCGTCTTAAAATGAACTAGTTTTGTATGTGGCCGGTTGAACTGACAGTTGAAACCAGGGCCACCGACTCAGTCTTGTTCTTTTGGCACAGTGCACTCATCATTGTTCATTATTTGAGGTTCCAGTCGATGTGGGGGATGTTAGTGACTGGCTGTGGTCACCCCACTGCGCAAATCCTAGTCCTCAGCTTACTCCAGGCTTTTCCAGTGCCTGGCCTCTTGGCCTGGATCCCTACCTGAAAGAGGAAGCATCATGGGCATAGTGCGGACTGGCAGTTGTGGTCATGGGGCCGTCACCCGATCGGAGGTCGGGGTCCACGTGACCTCATGTTCTTGAGTCATCTATTGTCATAACAGGCACGAACATGGTGGCCATGAGCACAGTGACGCATGTGGTGAGTGTATTGGGCTAGCAGCCCTGTGATAGGCACGAACATGGTGGCCATGAGCACAGTGACACGTGGCGAGTGGGTGAGTCAGGCTAGTAGGTGTGGTGAGTGTGTCGGGCGAGCAGTGTAGTGTGTCGGGCTAGTGTAGTGAGTGTGTCGGGCTAGCAGCCCTGTGATAGGCAGGAACATGGTGGCCATGAGCACAGTGACACGTGTGGTGAGTGGGTGAGTCAGGCTATCACGGACCTGCCCTGCGACTAGGCACTGGCAGGGTGGCCATGAGCACCCTGGCGTGTGAGGTGAGTGTGTGAGTGTCAGGCTAGCTGGGACCTGCCCCGTGCTCACGTTTCTGCTGCTCTAGCACCCGTGGGAACAGGCCTGTCCCTGACAAATCCTCCTGTAGGGGCATCCCTGGACCCTTCGTTTAGGGGAGTTGGGCAGTAACCAAGCAAATCAGTGAAGGGTGATTTTTGTTTTTTGAGATGAAGTTTCCCTCTTGTTACCCAGGCTGGAGTGCAATGGTGCGATCTCGGCTCACCACTTCTAGGCATGAATGGTGATTTAAACAGTGCTAAGTTTAACGCGGTTGTTGTCACCTCCACCAGGGCGGCACAGGCTGCTTGGGTTGGGGTCGGGAGAGCTGGTCTCAGCCGCGGGCCCACTGGGCCTGTGCAGGTCAGCACTGCCCAGGCATGGTTTTCTGTGGGGTGGGGGAAGGAGGCGGCGCTCTGTGGAGCTTTGGCTGGAGAAAGCCAGTGATCTGAAGACTGATTCTACAGCAGTTTTGCTGCCCAGGAGCCCCACGTGATGGCAGATCTGGCGAGGAAGTCATGTGTGGGAGATCCTCACGCACCTTCAGTGTGGGCTCCGGCCCGCAGTGTGACATTTGTACACTTGTGCTGTGAGTCTAGGGGATGTGTAAAGTTTTAGCTAAGAGGGATAGACTTTTTCTGGGACAGCGTAGGACAGGGGTAGTTTTGTTTCCTTTTGGGTTTTTTTGAGAGAGTCTTGCTCTGTTGCCAAGAGCTGGAAAGCAGTGGTGCGATCTTGGCTTACTGCAACCTCCGCCTCCTGGGTTCAAGCAGTTCTGCCTCAGCTTTGTGAGTATCTGGGATTATAGGCACACACCACCACATCCAGTTAATTTTGTACTTTTAGTAGAGACAGGGTTTTGCCATGTTGGCCTGACTGGTCTCAAACCCCTCACCTCAAGTGATCCGCCCGCCTCAGCCTCCGAAAGTGCTGAAGTTATAGGCGTGAGCCACCATGCCCAGTGATGGGTAGTTTCTTATTTCAGGCAGTTTATATGAAATTAAGACATGCAGATGTCATGGTGGATACTGAACGGGTTTCGAAACTGTCGGCATGGAAGTGGGACCCCGCCCTGTTGACGCCCTCTGGACTGTGTGGCGAGCGTCACTGGAGGGGCAGAGCAGGACAGGCCTGAAGAGGCTGCAGGGAGGCATGGTCAGCAGGGACCCTGAGGGAGTGTTGGGGAGGTCCGAACACCCCAAGCACAAGCAGTGTGTCTTAATTTTGCTCATAACCCTCAACAAACCTCCAAAACGTGCAGAGAATGCTATTTGCTTCCTTCTCTTGGTTCCTGAGTCAGAACGGTTCATATTAGAGTGCAGTCATAGTCAGTGTGACCACCTGACAGTGGGCAAGGCTACTTAGCATGACATCCCAACAACTGGTCTGTGAAGTGGACTTATGGTACCCAGCTCCTCGGTCAGTTAGACACTGTCACGCTGCCAACCAAGCTTTGCCTTTCAGACAGACCAGCTAGGACCCTGCTTTGGAATTCAGCCGAAGTCCTGGCTCCAGCAACCAGCTCTGCTCACTGTGGGTTTTGGTGTCCCTCCGAGGTGAGATAACGGGCTCACTGGGTGCCTCCAGGTCCCTTCTCTTCCGACACACAGGGAGGAGAATTTTTGGCCCAAAACAGCAAAGATGCTGGGTCACTACTGGTTTCTGAGGCACGTTCCATTATTTGTATGCTTTGTTTGAAGAAGCAGGATGTGTACGTTGACGCGTGGGAGAGTGAGCTTGTTCCCTGGTGCCGCCGTGCAGTTTGAGCCGTCACCGTCGCGATTTCTCTGGGCCGTGACGTGGTGTACAAGTGCTGACCCTCTTGCCGACGGTGCCCGGACCCCGCTGACCGCCTGTGCCTTTCTCCCCAGTGTCAGATCATATACCCTCGCCAGCAGCTGCTGACGCTCCGAGAGCTGGAGATGATCGGCTTCATCGAGAACAACGTGTCAGCATTGAGCCTTCTGCTGAGTGAGATTTCAAGGTGCGAATTGACCTCACGTTTGTAATCAAGAAGAATCCATTTGCTGTATTAACTAGGGACTCACTGCTTCCTCTGAGGAGACCAGGGAGGGTCCTGGTGCGAACTCCACACAGAACAGGTGTGAACATGCATGTTTGTGTGAGTGAGTGTGTGTGTGCACGCGCTTGTGTATGTGTACACGTGTGAGTGTGTGTTTGTGTGCAGAAATACACAGCACAGCCACCTCCTTCCAAAGGAGATGTGAGCAGGGAGGGCTGCGGCTCACGTGCTGGAGGTGTGCGGCCCGATGGCTGACAGCACTTCCAAGGATTCGCAGAGCCAACGGAAAGGAAATGGCTTTGGGTATCCAGGGAGGGTGGAAGGGAAGGTAGGAAAGGAACCAGTGCCTGAAGGATAGACTTTGGTTCCAGCTGGCGAGAAATCGGGAAGGCTGCTGGAGCGGTGTGTGCAGGTGACCTAGCGGGTTGCCATGAGGAAGCTGAGGAGGGGCTGGAGGGAGGGTGGAGCGGGCAGAGCCTCAGGTTTCTGGCCAGAGTTTCAATTTTATTTTGAAGCTGGCAAGAGTGTGGAAGGTTTTAAATGACGAATAACATGAAGAATGCAGTATTTTTTTAAGGATTTGGATTATCTGTTGGAGAGATTTAAATCACTTAAGATGGTAACAAAGAATAGTTCAGAGACTTCTACAAACATTGAAGATGTGAGCCCGCCCACTATCTGGGGAATCTGTGCCTACTGGCAATGTGCCCACTGCGTTATGCCCACACCTGGAGCTCCCAGGCAGCGGATGCGTTCCCTGAGTGCGAAGACGCTGGCCCTGGGCTGTGCCTTGGGTGTGCTTCGGAGGAGCGAGGGCACTGCGGGGAGCAGGAGCTGAGGACAGGGAGAGACCAGCCCCACACAAGAGGCTGTGGGGCAAAGGGGTATTCAGAGCACAAGGCCAGGGAGACGGGCAGGAAGTGCCCTGTGGGGCCCAGGGTGTACCTGAGAGCACTTAGGCTCGTGTTCCCATGGGTGCCTCAGCCAACAAGGAAAATTCCTCCTGAAACATGATCTTGTGAATTACTATCTCTGAACTGGGTTTTCTTTATACAGGAAGAGCGAAGGCCTCAGTGGCCGGGTCCTGAGAAAACTCCCCTTTCTGGCTCATGCGCTATACATCCAGGTGAGTCTCCACTGCTGTCCCCAGCACCCACCCTGTCCATAGGTCTCAGCCTCACTGGGGATTCCACTTACAAGCCCTGGGGTATCAGCCTTACTTTATCTCAGTTTCTTTTTTTTTTACTGAGACGGAGTTTCGCTCTTGTTACCCAGGCTGGAGTGCAATGGCGCGACCTCGGCTCACCACAACCTCCGCCTCCTGGGTTCAGGCAATTCTCCTGCCTCAGCCTCCTGAGTAGCTGGGATTACAGTCACACACCACCATGCCCAGCTAATTTTTTGTATTTTTAGTAGAGATGGGGTTTCACCATGTTGACCAGGATAGTCTCGATCTCTTGACCTCGTGATCCACCCGCCTCGGCCTCCCAAAGTGCTGGGATTGCAGGCTTGAGCCATCATGCCCGGCCTATCTCAGTTTCTAAACCACAGGGTCCTGGGGCAGGAGGAAGAGCTGACCTTGACACCCAACCAGTGAGGCTGTCTTGAGGCCTTTGGGAAGAGGCGGCTGTGCCACTTGCCTCTGCTCACACGCACGCACACACATGCACATCTGCCTCTGTGGTGCTGAGCTCATGGCCAGGGCCCTCGCTGGCCTCGTCAGAGGCTTGTGCTCTTTGAGCGTGGGCTCAGCTCACAGAGCAGCGACCTGGAGCCATGCCCTCACCCACTGGGTGCCACGCCTACTGCAGACTCTTCCGCCCAGGGCACTCACCCCTCCCCTTCCACCTGGGGCACTCACCCCTGCAGGAGAGGGGCACTCTTCCGCCCGGAGCACTCACCCCCTCCCCTGCATGGTCCCCAGCAGCTGGTGCGGTGAGGACTCTGGGTGTCTGGCAGAGCAGATGCACTTACATCTGAGAAGAGAAAACGCCCATCTTGGAATGGTTCCTTTCAAATTAGAAATGACCCAGGCTCTGTCTGGTCAGTAGCAGCCTCTGTGCTGGACACAGTGCTCAGCACAGAGGTGACAATGGCCATGGACCATGATGGCAGCCTTTTGATGCAGGGAGGTGACAGCTCAGGGCACCGGGCCATGGTGATTCTCTGGTTCTAAGCCCCAGACATAGGGTGGGCCCTTTGGAAAGGACTCCAGGGTCTGCTCCTGAAGCTTCTCATCCTTCTCAGTGTGTGGGTGGCTGCACTGGTGCTCCCCTACCTGCCCCCGTGGCCGTTTCTAATCTGCAGGACATGGGGGTCACATAGCCACCTTGCACGCCTTTTCTGAAGTAAAGAGCAGGGCTCATCTGCCCTGGACGTGTGTGGTATGCACTCACTGCTCAGCCTGTGAGCTGCAGCCCCCTTCTGGGCTGTCTGCACTGTGGGTGGCAGCAGGGGTGTGGATGCCAGGTGGCCCCACTGAAGGTGAGGCGGCCCCTCCAGTGATGACCTTGTACCCTTCCAGGCCCCCACCGTCACCATCGAGGGGTTCCTCCAGGCCCTGTCTCTGGCAGTGGACAAGCAGTTTGAAGAGAGAAAGAAGCTCGAGGCTCACGTGTGAGCCTGGGCTTCCCCGTCTGGTGCTTTTCCCACGGAGAACACGCAGCCAGGAAGTGAGGTGGCCCCGCACAGTGTCTCCCCGGGAGTCCCTTCTGCAAACACTGCTCAGACCGCAACCCAGAAAGCCACCAGGCCAGGCTTTGTTAGAAGAAGTGTGTTGCATTTATGTTGTTTCAAAATGCACACAGAGAGACAAACGGCTTGTCATTTTCACTGTTTGTAAAAGATGACTCAGAGGGTTTGTCTCCTTGTGGAGACGTGTTTGTTCCCAGCCTGCCCACAGTGGCTGGGACACATGACACCAACAAGTTTCATTTAACAGCAAAAAGGGAGATGAATGCAGTTGCCACAGCAGAAGAGACTGTGTCCCCCAAGGAACGTGTAATCGTAGCGTTCAGAAATGCACACACCGCTCCGGGTGGGAGGCAGCAATTGCTCTCCGGTAACAGCTCGTTTGATTTTGTGCAAAAATGTTTTCGAGACTAGGTAATGGGTAAGAAAAGCCTATTTCTACCTTATACCAGCTGAGAAAAAGGGGTCGGTAAAATATTCTTTTGTAATAATCAGACCTGGTCCCGTCTGCAGGAAGTGCAGGCGCTGAGTGGTCAGGGAGACGCATGACGGTCGTCCCGTGACTGAGCGCGGGCCCCTGCACTGCTGCCTTTTCCACCCTTCGTGCTGTGTGCAATAGTGTTACCACGTCTCTAATGAGCATTCCCGACTCCATTACTGGTTTCTCAAAATATTGTGTTTTGCTTTTATGCTGAAATAAATGTCATTAATGTTTTGCATGTGAAATTCACTTTTGAAAGACATTACCTTTTGTTTAGAACTTTTTAAGTATTAAAATATTTTTCAGAATTTTCTTGTTTTGATTCTAAGTATCTCTTCGAAGTGCTTTGAATTTTACTAGGAATTAACCCACACAGTTACTCAATGTTAAGCCTCATTTATGCTCCTAGGACCTTATGGTGTAACTGCATCATCCAGAAGGAGCTGGGAACGGTGCCAGCAGCCACAGGTGCACATTCAGGAAGGGGATCACCAGGGCTGAGATGTGTGCCAGTTTTGGTCACTGCCATCTGCTGGGCCTTAACTCCAGATTCAGGACCTGGAGCCACTCCCGTTGTGGAAGCAGAGCCTGGCTCTTGGGGTGGCAGATTGAGGAGTGGGCCCAGCCCTTGCATGTCAGTGCAGTTAAGGGATCTTCTCACCAGTGGGCACAACCCTAACAGCTCCCCACCTCCACTCTCCAGGAGTCAGCTGGGGGGCCACAGTGCCACATGGCCCTCGTACTCACAAGTTCTTCCAGAAACAAGTGGAGCATTTTAGAACAGTTGGGGTGGAGTATAACAAATGAAGCCCAAGACTCCTCTGAGAGGAAAGGCAGCGCATGAGTCAGGGTTCCCCAGAGGGACAGAGCTAACGGCACAGATAGATATGTATGTAAAGGGGAGTTTAGGAAGGGTTAATTTGCATGATCACAAGGCCCCACAACAGGCAAATTTCAAAACTGAAGAACCTGGAGTCTGATGTTCGAGGGCAGGAAGCGTCCAGCACGGGAGGAAGATGTAGGCTGGGGGCCAGGCCAGCATCTGCACATTTTTCTGCCTGCTTCTATTGTAGCCGTGCTGGTAGCTGATTAGATTGTGCCCATGTAGACTGAGGGTGGGTCTGCGTTTCCCAGCCACTGACTCAGATGTTAATCTCTGACAATGCCCTGGTCCTGGGATCAGTGCCTTGTATCCTTCAATCCAATCAAACTGACACTCAGTACTAAGCATCACAGTCTGGAAGACAAAAGGTTCAGAATTCTCGCTGCAGAAGGAAAAAAACTGCCGAACCTTAATGGCCGAGCAGGACATGGCTCGGAAGGCGTGACACAAAGCTCCCTGCAGTTGTGGAGGACGAGTGTGTGAGTGACTGCTGTGGACCGCGGCTCCCGTATCACCCGGAAGTCTTGCCAGGACACCAGGGTCAGGGAGGTCAGCCCTGTGGGGCCCGCACTGCACAGAGGAGCTCTGCTGAGTCCAGACAGCCCAGGCTGTCTGAGTTTGTGCTGTTCGATTTGCTTGACAGATAAAATCAATAGATAAATGATAAACGTGCCGTTTCATTGATACCACTTCTGAAATCACACTTGAATTCTGGAGGCCGCTGGCTCGTGTGTCTCAGGCGGGCCCACTCAATGTGGTGGGGCTCTGCAGTGACGGGCTTCTCAGGGACTCATCGCAGGGGTCAAGTTCCTGAAAACAAGATACCTGTGGAGGGAAGACTGGGCTGTGACCTTGAAGTCCTTCAGGCGATTAGCAGAGTGGGAATTCAGGGAGTTTCACGCCAGCAATAGGGTGAGGGTTGTGCTTGGCTGTGTGACCTCTGCAAAATGGGGACGAGAGAGCAACGGACAACGAAGGACTCGCCCAAGCTCAGAGACCTACCCCAGTGCAGCCTCACGAAGAAACAGAAGTTGAAAACGGCAGTTTCAGTATAGAAATGCAACTTTTAAACATGTTCATTCTAATAGCTTTTTGATAGAGTTCTTAGGATTTTTTATGCACTTGATTGTGCCGGCAGTGAGGAAAGACAATTTGCCTATTTTTCATCTGTCCGCTTTTTTTTCCCCCATGTTCTTGGCTTGCTGCATAGGCCAGGACAAGCGTGAGGTGGAATAGAAGATGCTGAGGGGGACACTTGGCCTCTAATGTCTGTAAGCTCTGGAGCCACGTGCCACTTTCATCCAAGTACCAGCTTTAGGTTTCACAGGTTTTATCTGTTGTTTTCTATTTTAATTTGGCACTTAACTTTCTTTTCTTCTTTAATTTGTCCCTTTCCCAGCTTCTTAAAGTGGAAGCTGAGCCCCTTCTCTGAGAGCTTTGTCTCAGCATTGAAAACATTCTTTTTGCCCATCGTGTAGCTGCTGCCCACAGACAGATGTAAACGTGTGACTTTTCGCTCATCCTGTTCAAAATATATTCTAATTTCCCATGTAATTTCTCCTTGGACCCACGGGTTATTAAAAAGAGAATTATTGCATTTCCAAATATTTGGGGATTTCCCAGGTAGCTGTCTGTTACTGACTTTCTCTAAATTGGTTGTGGTCAGATAACATATGCAGTATTATTTTAAACCTTTTAAATGTATTGAGACTTATTTGGTGGCTCAGCACGTGGCACGATCTGGAAAGAATCCTGCAGTCAGATGCAGTGGTCTCTACACACCAGTCAGCTCTTGTGGCCTGTGACTGATTTTTCTCTCCCCTACTGTCAACTGCTGGGAGAGAAGTATGGGAACCTCCACTGGACGTGTGAACTTGACTGTCTCTTCTTCCAGACCCGTCTGCTCCTACAGTGTATTCTGGAGCTGCTGGGGCGCAAACATGTGGGACTGTTGTCTTCATTGTAAACTGGTGCTTTCTCGAGGGATTTCCTCTCTTATCCCCTGTTCTGATGTCTACTTCGATGCCAGGTCAGCCATGCTGGCTTCTGATCAGCATTTACATGGTATAGCTGTTTCCATCCCTTGACTTTTAACCTATCTGTGCTCCTGTATTTAAAGTGAGTTTGTGACAGCATGTAGCTGGGTCTCATATTTTTATTCAGTCTGACACACTGCCTTTTATTTATTCACCATTTTTGCCATTCATTGTTCTTTGTTACCTTTTCCCTCTTTTCCTGCCCTCTGTATGAGTTGAATATTTTAAAGTATTCTATTTTATCTCTGCTACGGATTTATTTCCTATATATTTTGTTTTATTATTTCCTGGTTGCTGTAAGACTATCCTGTCTGATGTGGAAGCCACTGGCCACAGGTGGCTGCATAAATTAATGAAGTTCAATTTCTCTGTCACCCTGGCCGCATCTGAAATGCTCACATGTGGCTGTCGGCCGTCACACAGGTCCTGGAAACTGTTCATTTATCCGTCCTCTTTGCTTCAGTGTGAATATATTGTCTTCAGGTTGACGATATTTTTTCTCCCTACAGCATCTGTTCTGCTGTCCTGTAAGTCCGTGACATTTACATTCTGTGTAGTTGACTTTTCGTTACCAGAACTTCTGGTTTTTTGGTATGTCTCGCTTTTTACTTGTATTCATGCTTTCCTTTATATCCACCAGCATAAAACAAGCGTTTCTCTAAGCTCCGTCATGTCCTTGTGTTCTCATCTCATCATCTTCATCCTTCCTGGATGAATTCTGCTGACTGACTTTTCTTTCCTCCAGTTTATATATCACAGTTGGCTGCTTCTCACACCTGATAATGTGTGACTGGATTAGACATTGTGACCTTATACTGCTGAGTGCCCGTTTTGTCTTCCTTTAGAGAGTGTTCCGCTTCGTTCTGGCAGGCAGTTAGGCTGCTTGTGGGTCCATGTATGCCCGTGAGGCTCCTTTCAAGCTTTGTGGGGAGGTCTCAGGTCGCTTCTCCACTGGAGCTGCTTTAGCCCACTTTGAAGACGCGGCTCCTCCGGGTGTCCGCTCCGAGCCTCGTATGCTCTTGCTCTTGGTATACGCCGAGCCCGCCTCTCTCGGGCGGCAGGACCTGGAGTGCCTCCTGCGCTGTGTAAGCTCAATGGATCACTTTGCTTACCCACTTCTTAGGACATCATCCTCCATCTCTGTGGGTTCTGTGTCCGTGGATTCCGCCAACCACAGACTGAAAACATTTGGAGAAAAAACAATTAAAAATACAAAATGCAACAGTAAAAACAATACAAATTTAAAAACAGCATAACCACTATTGACATAGCATTTACACTGTGTTAGGTGTTAGCAGTGATCTAGAGGCCATATAAGGCAGCAGTCCCCAGCCTTTTTGGCACCAGGGAACCAGTTTTGTGGGAGACATTTTTCCACCAACCTAGGGTTTGGGGGTGCTGGGATGGTTTTGGGATGAAACAGTTCCACCTCAGATCATCAGGCATTAGATTTTCGCAACAAGCACCCACCCTAGGTCCCTCGCATGCACAGTTCACAATGAGGTTCACCCTCCTGTGAGAATCTAATGCTGCTGCTGACCTGACAGGAGGCAGAGCTTGGGAGGTAACACTCACCTGCCGTCGCCTGCCGCTCACCTCCTGCTGTGTGGCCCGGGGGCTGGGGACCCCCGGTATAAGGTACATGGGAGGATGCGTATATGTCATAAGCAAATGCTACACCACGTTATAGCAGGGATTTGAGCATCTGTGGACTTGGTACTGGAAACCCCTGTGACACTGAGGACCAGTTGTAGCTGTTCTTTTCCCAGGAGCTGTTTCTGCCCAGCCTTGAGGACTTTTATCCCATTCATTCACAGGTCGAGGTGCAGCCTGATCCCCCAGAGGGCCCATGACACTGCTGGAGCTCACTCTCTGGTATTGTGTCCCCCACGTTCCAGCAGCCCTGTCCTTGCTGAACTCTGACCTCTGTGCCTCCTCTGGAGGGACTGCTGGGCTCTGCTTGCCCCTCTGCATGAGACCAGAAATCACATCCAGGCAGTGCGATGGTAGGACCTTCCCGTCACAGGCCTGTCGGTGCTGCCGGCGTCTCCAACAGCTTTTCCGTGTGTCTGCCCTGGGTTTCTGGTTGTTGCTGGCAGGGAGGTAAGTCTGGACTCTGGACTTGCATGGCTAGGAGTGGGAGCCCTCACTGTGTTTTCTTTGGTGAGATGATGGCGTTTCCGGGTGCACTTCCCTCCACCTTCATCCTCAAGCTGGCCTTGCTCATGGTCACTGTGGTGGTCAGCAGCCCCAGGGCTCCATGCTTCCTTGCTCGTGTCTTGGGGTGGAGGAAGGAATGCTTGAGACCCCTCAAGCTAGACAGGCCACCTGTGAGTCCAGAATAATGCACACCTCAAGTCCCTGGACCAGCCAGCATCGGTGACCTACA